AATCAATGCATTTGGCCATTGAAATTCTGCCAATGTAATAGCTGCCATTGATCTGTTATGAGAATATTTTTCATACCTTCAAATGACAGTTTGTTTTCATTGATTGCATAGCAATTTAAAGTGTTTTATTCTGTGTTAATGCAATTCATTTCAAACTTGAGCATGCCTATACAAAATGGGCCATCTGTTTAGCAGATTTGCATAATTTCTCCCAGTACATATAAGATAGATAGAAAATTTGTTGAAGCAGACAGAAATTGAAATCATTTTTTTGTTGAGCCATGTTTTCACTGCTGTGATCTATTGAGTTTAGGAAAGAGGAAGAAAAAAATAGTACTTAATTATTGTTACAGCTCCAATTAATTAAACAGCACTATAAGAGTTCTCTTGTTAACAGAGTATTCCTATGAGCAGCCATAGTTAAGAGTTACTGGTAAATCAATTACCAAATAACATACAGTCCTGACTACACTCACTTATAAGTCCCATCATGAGAAGAACTCTCTGAGCAGTACTGTCACTTTGGCAGCAGCAGTCTATTAAAACAAGAGGGCTGATGGTGCCATTTAAATTACGGGGTCAAATATAAGGAAGTATAAAAATGCTGGTACTTTTCTATTAACAGAATAGCAGTTACCAAATATGGTAGCCTGTTCATATCACATCATGAATAGCTTTGCAGTGTGCAGTGCAAAATTTGTGAATTTCTTTCATGATTTTGCCCAAAAAATTTAATTTGAGATTTGCACAGATTTGGCAATGGCCACTTTAAATATTACATATATTGCTTGATACATACACAGTAAATATTATATATTACAGTTTCATTTATCATATATATATTATGGTAAAACACCGAAATCTGGAGAATGGACTTTCACTGGTGAATGTCAACATTCACACAGTCACTTGGTGTATGTCCGAAATATTTTCCAAATACTCTTATTTTTAACTTACACCAGTAAATGTCGACATTCACCGTATACTATGTTGAATGTTGGACATATAAGAATATTATATTTTCTTCTCCGTAATTCAGTCACAAAAAAATGCACGTGAGACTTAAAATAAGAACATAAGAACTTTAAACACACTGTACATTCAAAATGAGTCACTTGGTGTATGTCCAAAATATTTTCCAAATACTCTTATTTCTAACTTACACCGGTAAATGTCGACATTCACCGTGTACTAATGGTGAATGTTGAACATATAAGAAGAATATTATATTTTCTTCTCCGTAATTCAGTCGCGAAAAAACGCACTTCAGAGTTAAAATAAGAACTTAAAACACACTGTACATTCAAAATGATAAAGGAAAATAATAGAAGTTAAAAACTTACTTAATTATACAGTACATTCTAAATGAGAAAATAAAATAATAGTAATAAAAAACTTAATAAATTATGCGATTCAAATCTTCAAATCTTATTTATTGCAACAACTTAAACTATTATGACACTTTATGACCTCTCTTTTCGACCTACACCAGAGCATATCTGTGATTGTTGACATGCATCAATGAGGGTTTGAATGTACAAGAATGTAATGCAATGTTCGATCTTTCACCGACATATTTGGTGAATGTCGACATTCTCTAATTCTGGTCTTTCACAGTAACATATACATATGATATATGAAACTTATAACTACATTACTGTTAGTACAAGTTTATTTTTTTCGCATATAACTTTAGGGTTACTGGCATAATATTTAAAAAACATATGATTTTTGCTGCCATAGATTATCTTCAGCATATTTAGACTGAAATATAGGACTTTGTCTTATACACTAGCTAATATTTCCTTCAAAAAATGCACACATATGAAAAGCCAGAACTTGATGATTCCAAGAAGAGAATTTTTTAAGTGCTTCTCTGTTAATAGGATGCCGTTTAGTGGCAGACATAAACATTGTTGCAAAATCTAACTGGATGCCAGTAATCCTAATGATATGTAAAACTTCAGAAAAAGAATGGTTAATATATTAAAATCCAGAATAAGTCTGGTACAATCTGTTTCAGGATTTTATTAAAATCCTAAAACATTTTATGACTTATTTCAGATTACAGAGGAGGCATAAAACTGCCAATTTCATTTAATGTTGCTGAAAATTGCAGTTTTTCATGTAATCACAGTCCCATGAATTCTATGATATCTCATAGAATGATCTAGAACCAACACTGCACTGTTGTTAATTATTTTTTACATGGAATCAGGAATCATAAGCATTTGTGATTAACTTGCATGTGCCAATTCATCTGCCTAAGCAACTGAAAAATCTGGAAGAGAAAATTCCTGCCATATGCTCATTTTTCCTGCTTATTCACAGAGAAGTCATTGCAGATGCTATTTAAATAAGCTATCACATTGGTGCTCCATTAACAGAAAAGTATCATTTTAGATTTTTAGCTTTTAAAAATAATTTCTCCATAAAATTTGTTTCACATGTTTTCTTATAGGGCGACGCAGTAATGGAATTCAACTTTCTTTTGTAATTGCTGTATAATTTTCTATCTAATATATTTAATTATTGAATATATACATATAGATAATTTTGCAACATCTTTCTGTGCTCATTGATTTCTTGCCTGCTACTTGTAAAGGTAAGTTTCTGTGAACAGAAAACTATATCAGCTTTTTCTCTGTAGCCTTATATAGTAAAACCTAAGCTATATAACCTTACTGCATATGAATTTAAGTCTCAAATCTTTTCAAATTATGTAGGACATTATGAGAGAACAGCTCTCATATATGTGGGTAAAAACTGCAATTAAAAAAAGTATTCCTTATTTTATATTTTGAACTTGCTCAAATTAAATTCTCGAAGATAGATTTAAAACAGTGGCATCCTATGGTTTTCATTGAAGCAGAAAAGGAAAGAATGTGTTCCTTATTTTATAGTTTGAATTTGCTAAAATTTAATTCTGGGAGATAAGTTTAAAGCAGTGGTGCCCTGTGGTTTTCATCAAAGGGCTAGCCAAGAAGAAAAATTATGATCTCTAGAACAACAGTACATAGTGAATGAGTTGCTCATCATAAAGAGGTGAAATTACTAGTATTCCGTTTTGTTCTCAGAATTATTGCTCACTTTCAGAAATGATCATCACGATAGGCTTTATTACATTTTTGACAACTTTTTCAAAATGGGATTAAGAGGAGAAATCAGAATGATCACACCATAATAAATATATAATTTTTTTAATCTGATGGATATCGTGAAACTTCACTAGTTAATAAAAAAACATTTTTTCTCTAAAAGAATACAAGGATAGCAAAATAAATTATTTCCTAGTTTGCATATTGTTACACTTTTAGAATGGTGGGTAAAATGTTTCTTGTTTGTATGAATAAAAATATATGAAATGCATCTATGTTTTAGAATTATTTTCTTTTGAAAATGTATTATCCCAAATAACATATTAGCCAAGCTATCAAGACCATAGACATGTAATATTCATAAGTGGTGTATTGTCAGAACAACTTCAAAAGTTACTTGTGCATGCTGTGTAGTGATTCTAGTATGGGGACTAGCTTTTCATTCTCTGCTTCTTGGAATTGCTACATATATATATTTTACTTGACATTTTCGCATATCGCAAGAATGCTTTCATAGAAACAAGGCCCTAAAAGATGTAATGAACAGCATGTGTAAAGCAGCTATGGGAAAATGGGAAAGACAACCAGTTCTTTCTCGTGTAAAGCTGATACAACTTGAGCTCTTCTTATTCGTGCAAAATTCCAATTACACTCAAATGGCATGTGGTTTTCAAAAGAGGTAAAATCCTTTTAAATGTTAGCTGAAACTTATTGTTAATAAATGTTAGCTGAAACTTATTAATGTTAGCATGCAATGCAAATTTTTAGGTTTCTGAGGCAAACACTTTTAAAATCCAGGATTCCCACTTCACTGAATTTTTGCTTCAGAGTGAAGTCTCAATCTATAAGTGACATGGCACTTTCTTAACAACAGTTGAAAAAGTAGCATAAAATTGGACAGCCTGTCTCTGATATATACGATACCGTGGAACCTTTCTTCGTATTCAGCTTTCAAGCGCTGAAGCTTCTTGTCACATGTTTTGTACAAAATAGGCTCCATTTTGATATTTTTTATAGTTCCATTTTATTATTATAATTTGCTAGTTTTTTATTTTCTCGGGTGTGAATCGTAGAAAAATGACCCGAGGCCCTCATGTGTCCCATAGGCTGAAAGTAGTTCATTGATGGCTGCACCAAGTGGCTGCTTTAATCATAACACACCTGTAAATGTAGAAATTCACTTTACCTTTTAGTAGTGAGGATTTGGTTAAACTTTAGGAAAATAAATTTCTCTTTCTTTGAATTCATGTGACAATTGACATTACCTTAAATGTGAATCTGAATATGGATTCTGTTGAGAAATTATATATCTAAATATGATTCTGTTGAGATATATCTAAATATGATTCTGTTGAGAAATTAAAAGATATTTTATGATCTAGATACTGCAGCTTTTATAAATTAATTAATTATATTCAAGAATTGAAATATATGGAACATTTTTTAGATACTTTGAATTGTTTGTTTTTATATTTAATGACACTTGCAGGTTTTCACATTTTTTTCCTGATTTTGCTGCCGAAAATTTATATTTGTAAAAATTGGTATTTGTTGTTTAAAAACTTGGGTGAAATTATATAATAAACTGTTTCTCATTTCATGAAAATTTATTTAGAATTTTAATGTCTGAAGAAACTTTTGTTTTTTAGAAATGTAAGCTGAATATTAAATGGCTTTTTCTGAGGCAAAGTTCTTAGAATATTTTATTTGTAATATTATAAAGATCCATTAGGATAGGTTAAAGTTAGATTTGTATATATTTATAATCTTCTCTGATTGGGGAAAATTATACTAACATTCCTTCAGATATATAAAACTTGTTGATGTTATATGTACACTTAATAATGATCTGAAGCCTTGAAATGGCCCTCTTGTTCATTAGATATCAATTTTATGAAACAGATTTGGGATGCCACTGTAACGATCATATGGTGTCATTAACTACTATGTAAAGGGACCCAGGATAAAATCCCAAGAATCATCTCAAGGGTATATGAAGCTCATGCAGTGCTGCATTTCTCATTTGTACTAACAGATGGTGACACAAGCAAGCAACTACATACTGAGCAGCACCAAGCAAGCTTACGACACCATGTCATTGCTGCATTGTGAAACATTCAGTTCAATGCAGAAGTTCATCACCTATGAATATTGCAAAATTGCAGATCATTCATTGGAAAGGAATGGTTTTCTTTGCCTATGGATCGCTCAAAATGCATGTTTCTACTGTCTTTTTATCTCTGAAGTTCTACACTTCAGATGTAGATTTACCATATATCCCAGTTTGGGGGGGGGGAGGCTGCTCATTATGTATCAGATTTAAAACTGAGTAAGATCAGTATTTGATTTAATGACAACTTCCTTCAATTTCTTGATAATCATTAAATTGAGATTTGACCGTCTGTATGTATTATATCACAGATCAGTGTAATATAACTAATTCATCAATATTTCTCTACATAGTTATTTATGAATTACATTTATTTATTACATTAATGAAAATTTTTTGAATTTCTGTAAGTCCCAAAATTATATGCCACATATGATGTTGGTGCAATTGATTAACCTTATGGTTATTCACATTATGAAAAAATAAGTTCTACTTCGATTTCACATCTCTGGAACAAATAGGCTAGTCTTGTAAGCTAGACAATTTACTATTAGTGTCACATAAGTTATGTAGAACAGAAAAAAAAAACAGTATATTTTATATTTACTCCCCACCTTTGACACTTATGAAAAACTGGAATTCTTCAATGCCCTTACTGAAACGAAAAATATAATGATGTACAATTTTATGTTGAATTACCAAATTTCTTTTAAATTTTTTAAAAGCTGAACTATTTATTTTACATTTTACTGAGTTTCTAAAAGAAATTAAATTATCTATAAAAGTAAGTTTTTAAAAACATTCTTTCTTTTAAATAATAGAAAGAATTGGGATTTGGTTTTATGCATAAATACAGATATTTATTTCATTTGCTGTAAATTGATTTTTACATTAAAAGCACTCAACATACTGACCAAATTTCAGCTACAAGATCTTTGTAAATAAAATATTTATATTTTTATGATTTAGATGTTTAAAATATTTAATTACTTTGAAGACAATAAAAATAAAACAATTTTGTAGTTTTGAATATTTTTTTGGAAAATCTGCAAAAATTTACTTGCACTTGGTATAAAAAATTATAGAAACAATAATCCTAGGTGTGCAATGCTCAAGAATAGAATAATTAACAGAATTACTAATATTGTGTACTTATTTCTGTAAAGAATCATTAAATCATATTGTTCTAAAAATTAACCATCATACATAGGAACACTTCTTGACTCCCAGGTATATAAATTGATTAACCCTCCGACTATGGGTAATTTTTTTTTAATACATATATTCCCTTCCCGGCATAAAATTAATCACAGTTGAAGACAAAGACTCTGTGCATTAATTACTATTTCTACAAAACTGAACCCTCCTCACATATATTCAGGATAAATGACAAAAGGGCTAATCATAGATCCACGTAATCAAAGGGTTAAACAAACAGAATCACCTATATTGTATACTTGTAAGCATTTCTATAAAGAGTCTGTATTACTATTACAATAGTTTTGATAGTCTGACTAAAGCAGACAAAAGAACATTCAAGCTTTTCTCATATGTGTGACATAATTTTAATGCAAGTCGTCATATTTATTACCTTTCTGTGTGCACTACCTTGTTTGTTAAAGTATTTAACAAGATAATGTTTATTTCCTTTAATGAGTTAGATATCATCCCAATGATCTAAAGATTATGAAAACAGAAAAATTAATAATTGTATAAATGCTATCTAAATAGCAGTTTAGGATTGGATAAAAAAAAACTGCATTAAGACTTAATATTTTATTGGTCAAATTTTACTTAAAAGTGATCACTTATGTTTTACTTCCTCTTACTTTTGTAAGTGAAAAAATAAGTATTTTACTTTGCAACCATATAACGTTGTTTATCTTCCCACCACGAAATAATTACCAACCTTTTCAGTGTTACATTTGCATTTGTATTGTTGTATTGAAATATATCTCACAAGATATTGTACAGGCATATTTGTTCAACTACAGGTAAGAGCAAGACTGCATTATAACCTATTACTTTAATATAGGGTCAGGCCATAATGAATCTTCCTTCAAATATATCATCACCGCACAGAGGGGAGTAAAGAATTTTAGAAAATTAGAGGACTCAACAGTTATTACCATGGTTGTGAGGCAAGCCAGAAGAGAAAATAACCTTGAAGTGCCTATTCTAAAGTAATGCCTTACAATAAAGTACAAGGGCGAGTCAAATGAAAGTGAGCCAATGCGAATATATGACAAACAGAGTACTTTATTTAAAGGTAGTCTCCATGAACATTGAGACATTTATCCCCGTTGACAAATGAGCCCGTGTGATCCCCGTCTCATAAAACTCCTTGGGCTGTGTCGATTCAAAAAGTCTGTAACCGACTCCTTCACACGGCGTCGTCCGACACGAATCGGTACCCTTGAGATGTTTTTTCAGTTTCCCGAAAATGTGAAAGTCGCATGGCGACAATCTGGCTGTATGGAGGATGTTGCAGCGTGTCCCACTTAACTTTGCCAGTTGTGTCTTAACCACATCAGCGACGTGGGGACGAGCATTGTCGTGTAGCAAGATCACACCATTGGTCAATCTTCCAGGTCGTTTGTTCTTGATTGCGACACGCAGCCGATACAGCGTTGCACAATATCGCGAACTATTGATAGTCTCTCCACGTTTAGCAAATTCAATCAGTAATGGCTCCTGACGATCGAAATAAAAAGTCAATAGCACCTTTCTCGAGGAAATGACAGCCTTTGCTTTCTTCGGGGGTGGTGAATTCAAATGTTTCCACTGTAAGCTTTGCCGGCGTGTTTCAAGTTGGTAGTGGTGACACCATGATTCGTCTCCGGTCACAATTGCAGACAAGAAGTCGTCACCCTCATTGTGATACCGGATGAGATGAGTCAATCAGCTCCGAACCTCTCCGTCTTCTGGCGGTCGTTCAAAATCTTGGGCATCCATTGAGCACACAAAAGCCGATAACTGAGATGATCATGAACTATGGTGTGAACCGAACCGTGACTGATGTTCACACGCTCTGCCAGTTCATCGATGCTTATCCTCCGTTCTTGTCTAATCAGCTCATCAACCTGTGCAATAGTGTCGGGGATGATTGCAAGGTGGCTTTGGCCCGGTCTTGGATCGTCTTTGCACTTTCACGTCCTTCTCTGAAAACCGTTTGCTCCAACGCTTCACAGTGGCCAATGCGATGCAATTTCACCGTACACAGCAAGTCATACGGCGACTAATTTCATGTTGGGAAACACCTTCAGCTGTCAAAAACCTGACCACATCACGCTGTTCCTCTTTTGGAGCATCCATTATGTCACGCTACCGTCTTCAACCCAGTGTAAGAGCGCTTTAAAGAACTTTAACCTCACACTTTCACGCCACTTTCGTAAATGAAGGCTGTCTCTGTGCTACGCGCATGCGCCGCAGATGATGGACCGAACCATTCTTGCTGAGGAGAGGTTGGCTCACTTTCATTTGACTCGCCCTTATACATAAGAATATATTACCTATCAGAAAGATGATGCTTTACATGAAATCTAGTTAAATATATTAATTCAGCTGCATAATGTATCAAAGATAATAACATAAACTTCACTTAGATTATTTAAATCATTAGAGAGATTTTTTTTGTATTGACAACAGATGGATGTATATTTTCAAGCTTTTTTCTTATAATACGCAAATCCACACTGCACATGTAGATTTCTGATAACCTTACACATGAAAACTGATTTTGACAACTTTGTTCCTTCACTTCAACCACAATATTTTCTTTTACTTTATTTGTACTTTTGAATGGATTTACTGCTTTTATCCAATCATGAGATGTGTCATCACTTGGTATATATTAGTTACTTAAAACAGTTTTGATTTCTTATTTCCTTAAATGATCTATTATCATCTAAATAAATGAAAAGTTATGAAGATTAAAATATTTATTTATACTATTTAAAGGCAATTTATGAGCTGGTTAAAAAAACTGTCAAAAGATTAAGGACAAAAATATTAAAAATGGCATTTTAAATTTAATAGTAAATATAGAGTCAGCATCAGCTTATTTGTAAAAGTATTTCTAAAACGTAACTTGAAGCAAATGTTAAGTAACGGTATCATGAAATAATTTCTTTTCATTATTCCAAGATAATGAAATAATTTCTGTTCATTATTCCAAGATATATTACTTAATACTGTCTAAACCAGTAGTTCTCAACCTTTTCTGCCTCAAGTATTCCTTTTGCTCTTCCCAAACTCGAAAAATACATATGTACATTTATTTTGATTACTATCTATTATGTTTTATAAATAAAATTAAAACAAAGTATAGAAAATATTGGTAAATACCAAAATTTGTATAGTAAAGATAATTTTTAGTATTCATAAACTTAAAACTAAATACTTAACAGCTAAAAAGACTGACAGTCTACCCCCCTCCCGAACTAAGAAATTCCCCCCTCTGGTCTAAACAAAGCTGGCATATTAGGTTCATTAATACAGGGTCCAAAAGTCAAGCAAAAAATTAAAAAAGTCCAATTGCTCATTTTCTGCTTATGCGGGGGTGAGGAGATTTTTGGATTATAGTTTGATATTTAATGCCATTTGTTAAACATGGAGCAGTTATTGGGTGTACAGTATGCTGTCTGCGTAAAATCGTTTTTATAAGAATGGTGACTGTGCAATTTTAGTCACTACTGGAATGATGAAAATCCAGGTGAGTTGCATGAAAAGCCATTACATAGTCCAAAAGCTATAGTGTGGTACGCGCTTTTATTATCTGGCATTATTGAGCCATATTTTTTAAGGTAATCCAGGAAATGCCAAAATTGTTGATGCAGAGTGCTACACACACATGGTGAAAACATTTTTTATGCAACAGCTCCCTAGGTTTCCTGAAATTAATTTCTTCCAGTAGGGTGGGTCATAAGTGATATTGAGTGTGTGTCCATGACTGCTTTAAGAGAAATCTTCTTGGAAAAACTCATATCCATACATAGTGACATGACCTGCAAAATTCCCAGATTTGTCTGACTTTTTTCATTGGGGATTTCTGAAGAGATTACTAGACTACAAACCATATCAATATAAAAAAATGAACATCAGACAACAAGAAATTGCATGGTACAACCCGATCTGCTTCGTCAAATGATGGAAATTTTTCAGTCAAGATTAGAAGAATGTTTACACAGAAACTGCTCTCACTTGAGCACCATTATTACAAGTCCAAAAGGGCTTTAGCCTGAATGGGCTATTAGTCTTGAAACGGGATTCTGCGTTGTCCTTTAGAAACACCAAATCACTTTTCAAAGTGTTGCCACCAAATACTATCACCCTGTATTAACTAACCCTGCATTCTTCATTACTAAGAAACTGAGTAATAAAGAATCCGCATGTATGTTCCTCGAATTGGAAAAAAATTATAGTACCTATAGTCATTAAATTTTTAATAGCCTTGTCCTTGTGCACCCGAAAGCCCGAATTTTGGATTTCATATTTTGTAAAACTTTTAATGAACTTTTGTTTAACAAACTCAACACAGGGTTTGTACACATTTCTGCACACAGAAATTAAGTATTTTTAAGGACTTTTAATGACCATTAATGAAAAAATTAAGGACCTATGAGCAAATGGGAACTGGATAAATTCAATTAAAAATACTATTCTATGCCTGAATTGCACTTTTGTAATACCATCCTAAAAATAAAATAGATCCCTGAGTAGTATGCATTATTACTAAACATGAATTATTTAACATAATGATTAATAAGTTTGAGAATAAAATAAACTTTATACAATTTATCAAGTAGGATTAAATATTTTACACTTATAATAGTTGGACATATTTGAAAGATGACATTTACTTACGTTTTACTAATAGTTAGCTTTATGTTGATTTTTTTGTGTCTCATTTTGTTACATACTTAGTCAGTCTAGAGGTTTAGTAAATAGCAGGTAGATTTTATGTCAAACGGTATAGGTTAAAATGAAAAGTAAGATCATAATCATAGCATGATTCATAACAAAAGACTGAATGTTGTCACCGCTGTTGCTTGTCTAGAGAGAGACCTGCTCATTAGAACAAACCTGAAAGGTCTGATGTGGACACAGTTGGCAAGTGTTGAAACTTAGTCAGGCTCTGTTTGATGCAGTTAGTGTCATAGCTTGATTGTAGCCCAGTTAATATACTTTAATGTTCCAATAGCGATTAAAATACCAGAGATGATAAGTTGTTTTGTATTATTTTTAAGTTTCACTAGATGCAAAGAATAAGTTTTACTTGAATTTTTAAATTTTTGTGTTTTATCTTGTGACCACAGTAAGTGTTAATGAAAGGCAATAACTCGCTTTAATATGTAGAGATAACTTTTAAGGGTAAGCAGTTAGTTATAAATAATTAAATTAGGTAATTAGATAACCTTAGTCATTATGGATTTACATGGCCACTATTAGATTTTATTTTTTAACAATATTTGTTAAAAAAGCCTATTAAAATCAAAATCTAATAAAATTTCACAATTTAAAATGCATGTAATTTATCACATTGATTCTTAAACGATATTAGCATACACATTAAAAGCTACAAAGCATTTATGTTTTGTAACAACACTCAACAAAATATTTATCCTTCATTTTAATTTGATGCCTTTCTAAACATTTTCGCTAGTTTATATCGATTTCCTTCTCTTTAATAATTTTTTCTAACAATTAGAGAGTTGTCTCAATATGCAAACCAATGCTCTCGCTAGTTTCTGCGTGCTTATCTCCTAACTTGTCAACATCTCCACAAGGTACCAGGGGCGTAGCTAGAGTTTGCAGCGCCCGGGGACAACTGAAGAATTTGCACCTCTTTCTGTGTGCCAAGAATGGAAAACATTTCATTAAAAAATTTCATATCATCAATTTGGCGCCCTCTGGATGTTGCGCCCGGGAACAGATGCCCCCTTGCCCCACCCTAGCTATGCCACTGCAAGGTACCTATGAGAGTTTACTTGATCTGGTAAAAGTTTAATAGTCCCAAAACCCCGACTGAATAATAAACTGAAAGGCTGAAATTATAAACAATTGGGTAAGTTACATAATAATAACTGCACATATTTTTGAGGAGTAATATTCTTTATGTATTCAGTTTCTTTCTTCAACACGGTTCCTTTTCATTTTAGAACCTTTGGATCTAATTATTTCTGTTATTCTAAAAAACACTAAATGCATTTAGAATGTATAGAAAAAGTGGCTAATTCTATTTCTTTAGTAATATGAACATTCAGAAGAAATATGAAATATATATGGTAAAGCCTGGTTACAAAGCTGGTGTGGCAGAATTTTTAGAATTTAGAGACACACTGAACAACAAAAATCTAGAAATAGCAAAACGTTTAGGATCCACAGAAATTGCATCAGGTGGGAAAATGCCTAGTGTCAGCTCTGTGTATGATGCATTAAGACATATTAGATGAATCTTTTAAATTGTAAGTTTTCAATTTCTTTATTAATAAAAAAATTCCTTTCTATAATGCCTGCCCAGTGATAAGATTAGAAGCATTTTTGATATTTTTGATGCTTGTGTCTAGTGAAAGGTAGAGAAAATAAAGGGAAGATAAACATGTTAAGAAAAAGATTCTAGTATCAGGGAGTAAAACATTTAAATATTATGTTTTCATTGTTCTTCCAGAAGTTCTCCAAAATGTAAGAAATTCATTGCAAACTTTCTGTAAAAGTTCATTACCTGTTGATATCCATGGAGACATTTTTTTCATTTTGTCACATATTTCTCGGAATCTTCTAGAATCGTGGGTCTATAAATCTTGATTTCAAACCCTTCTAAACTTTCCAAGCTGCAAGCAGCAATGTCTAAAATACTAAAGAAAAATTATCCCTACCAATTCTGTAACAGCAAAAAGTCAGAAATATTTTGAAAAAAAAAAAGGAAGAGGGAAAAAGTGTAAAATTAATTTTATAGAGAAAACTGATGCATATTCTGAGAATTTTGAATATTCCGAGACAATTGCATGAGAAAAACGCTTACTATGAAAAAATTAAAAAGAATACACTTTTAATTAATTGCATAGCTAATTTTGCTCTTGCTAAGAGCTGTTTCGTAAGTTATGAGCAATATGCCTTATTTAGCAGATTCATAATATTGTATAAGTTGCCAAAATGAAACTTTATAATATGACAGCAAAAAATAGAATGTTTTATTTTAATGTTATTTTTTATATATAATTTCAATATATTACCATTATTTTAATGAAATTTATCAATGTTATGATGCTTTAAAAAAAAAACTGGTCACAAAATTGTCAGATCTCGGAGTTAAAAATTTTCTACAGAAACTGATCCTAAAATTGCCAAAATGTTGACAAGTCACCACATTTAGAGCTGTTTAATAAAAGAATTCACATCCCCAAAAGCGAAAAGTTGTTTAAGAGTTCTTTATTAGAAAAAAGGAATTTTGAAATGCTTATGTTTCACTTCTTGCTTAGAAACTCAAGTATCCCATCATTTTTATTAGAAATAGAAGCAAATTATAACCCATGAACCCATTCAAAGATAACCATATATGTCAGTGAATCGCCAAAAAATATTCCTCCAAATGCTAATTCACACTCAAAATGGCAGTCATAAAAATAGACAGAAATTTCAGATGATTAAAATTAAGGACCTTCTGCTGATTTTGGCCAAAATTAAGGACTTTTAAAGACCAAATATCAATTCCAAAAAATTTAAGGACTCTTAAGGACCATACGAACCCTGGCAACAATTTGGAAGTGAACAGTGGCAGCAATGCATGAAATAAAATATTTTTATCTCCAGTTGCGAGACCGTCTGTCGGAAATTCCAAAAATACGCTGTTTTGAAATGTTTTATGATTTTGCTGTTATGTGATGCAAATGCGAAGAATACAATATTTAATTATTAAATAAAGTTAACACAAAAACAAAAAAAGTTTTGTATGCGATCTTACTATGAAAACTAAACACTGATAAGAAAAACTGAAAATATCTGACAAAATGTTTAAAAAAAATTGCCAACGCTTAATTAGGGCTTTTACACAGATGCTGCTTTTACAATTTTTTAAATTTTGCAGTTGAATCATATATGGCATTAAGCACGGCGAAAATGGTACGTAATATTAACCCTCTAAGCAGCACAGGTTTTTGGAACTGTCATGAAGACTTGTATTTATGCAGCATTTGTTAGCTAAATTTATATATTTTAGCCTTTTTTTTTTCATAAATTCACATTCATTAAGAGTGCATTTACATTATTAAAGAAATATATCTTAAGTTATGCACTAATATGTATCAAGTAACAAAAAATCCCATGACTGGATAAAGCCAGTCACACCGCTCAAGAGGGTTAAAGCTAGCAAGCATGAGTACAACAGCAGTCTGGGTAGACTGCCAGCTCAGTGAGAGCATAAAACACGTTAAATCCTTTTGGGCTATCATTAAAATATGAACTCTTTTGGATTTTTTTAATTAAAAAGTAAAATATCATACTTTAGTCAACTCAAATTTGTAAAAAAAAATTCTGATAATAAATGTTTCACGAAAAAATTTCTTTCTTACCACTTTCTTTCTTACTTACTTTCTTTCTTACTTAAAAAACTTTCAAGAGGCACTGAATTAAGAAATTTCTTCTGTTTTCCAACATGAAGTTGTAATATAATACGGACATAAAAAATAAGAATAAATAATTTATAAAGGTAAACTATAACATAATAAATAATAGCTTTATGTGAAAAATTTCATGTGAATATTTTTGTATATGTTTCTAGGTTTTTATTATAATCTGAAAATATTCCCACATTCAATTCAAAAACTGTGTATTTTTTAATACGAAAAAAAATTATCTTCACACCTTCAGCAAGAAACACATACAAGAAATATTTGGCTTTTATTGAAATTGGGATTTCCGATAACAGTGGTCACAAATGTAGAATTGAAAGAATATCTTGACATATTTCAAGTTCTGTAAACACCTCACAAAAGGATTCTGGAAAGAAGCTCTCTGGCTCCAATAAACAAAACAAAATAAATTAATCATTATTCTTAATAAAGATTTTTATAATCAATGAACTGTGCTTGCAGATCTTCGTTTTCATCCCTTATCCACTTGACAATTATTTTAGAACATTAAGGCACACTTAACAAGCAAGGAAGAGGGCAACCAAATAAAAATTGCATTGAAATTTAAAATTCCCCTGAGTATAATCACAATACCGGATTTCTGCATATTTCAAACAGCATCAAAAAAAGTTAGTAACTTATCAAAAGTGTAACTAAAAGTTTTTCATCAAATTAAGTAAATTTTCATTCGTTTTATGAGGTAAGAGAAAAAGATGACAACCTTTTCACAAACACAGCTATATGTGAAAAGAAAGGCTCTGTACAAATCTGAGAAAGATACCATTGACTTTTTACATTTGAAATGTGTAAATAATCTCAAATATCCAAAAACACACTTGTGCTAGTTTTCTGTACAATCTTATAATAATGCAAAAGACCTGAAAGAGTTTTATGGAACTGAAACATCTTTTAAAACTCACACGTAGACTAATGAAAAACTTTAAATCTTAAATCTGTTGGACAGATATTTCCACACTTTTACTCTTTCGTCTTGGACAATTTTTTTACATCCATACCAATCACATCACCATTTAAATTATTGATAAAAGTCACTATCTTCTTCATATGTCACAGTCCTTCGACCACAATTGCGGGTTCGAATTTTAGCTGAAAAATCTTCCACCGGATTTAATTTTTTCCGAGCCCGAAAGGCACTACTGGTAGCTCTTGTGTTGATCCTTGTTGTTAAACGAGTTGATCTGTGTGACCATTTATTACCTTCCTCATAACCATTATTCATTTCATGATTTAAGTAATGCCGCTCATCTTTGCCACCAGGCCCTTTGCTTTGAATACTTTTCCATGATTTATTATTGCTAACAGAATTCTTTTTATTTTTTTCATACGTAGGCATATTTGAAAGATCATAATCCTGGCTTTCAGTTTTATTTTTTTGTTTATTATCTAAAGTTGTTTGACTCTGTGAGCTTTCTATGCCACACACTAATTTGCAATTCATTGATCGCTCTTTCAATGCCACTCTTTTTTTCTTCAACTTCATAGGTTCAGTTGGTGTTATGGCAAAACTGGATGGTATTGACAGTTTTGAGTTTGAAGAATTTGAATGCTCTTTCCTTAATGACTTTAATGCCACATTTTTATACCTTGATGCTAAAGGGCATACATTGCTTCTAATAAAATGCTGTGGTCGTGTTTTCCGATTTCTCAAAATTGGATTCAAATATTTGGGAACAATTTTAGCTCTCAATTCCCATTTTAAATCAACTCTTCCAATATCAGAACTACCAGATGTACTAGGAATGTTAGAAACATTACAATTTGAAACAGAGATTGCCTTATTGGTCTGGTTTTTCTTTGTATTATTTTCGCAAGCTTTCTTCACATTGCGGCGACCAAGCATTGTAGGTACAGGCACTCCAAGTTTACGAAATGCAGATCTGGTGTGAGCAGAAATTGAATTCGCATAAAATGTTTTTCGATGATACAAAGGTGGTCGGGCATATTTTACAGAACATTTTCTAGGAATTCTTGCATCATTTCTTATTTCTTTCCGAGTATCTATAGTTGATTTCTGATCTGAAGGTATATTTTCATTATGAACTTCTGAAGTACTAGGTAAATTGCTAATACTAGAGTTTTCTGACGTACCTTCCATATTAGCAGACTCCTTTTTCACAATGCTTTCTCTTTCGTGCATTTTCAACTTTTGAGTGGAAATTCTTTTACACATCCAAGGGCTTTTCTGCACACCATTACTCAATGGGAAACCTAAAACAGTGAATAGATGATAGTTTTAATTATATATATAAAATATTAAAAGATTTTATTATAAAAAGTTCCATAAAATCGGCAAAAATAAATTTACAGGCGAGTACCTCAAACCGCAGTAAAATTTTGATAATCGATCGCTGTCTGTGAACTGTACTTATTTTTTTTAATGTAAACAAACCAAATTTGATTTTTAAAAAATTTAGCACGTAAGTTTAATGATAATTTTTCTTTATATAAATATGTAAATATATTTTTAATAAAAGCATGCTATAATGTATTTTGATTGAAGAAATAGTTTATTTTATTATTGAAATTATATGGCATTTTTTGCATGCACTAAATTCACTTTTTCGTAAGAAACATCTGCAAATTTTTCATTTTGAATAAAGAAGTACTTTGGGTATAAGTGTTACTTTTGAGTTTGTGATTAATATATGTAAGGAACTTACACATCCACAACTTTCAGATGTCGAGTTCCAGCTTAAATTGCAGCTTACAGTAGATTTGTGCAACTTCTACACAACAAATTATCTATGCTTACATCGATGGTAAAAACGAATAGATTCTTAAAAATAATCCTTGTAGATTTAATTAGAAATAAAAAGCACGGTAATAAAAGGATAAAAAAAAATAGTTTTAATAAATCTAAAATTTCAGTTTCAGCACTTTAATAAGCTAATAACAGAATTAATAATCCAACTGCAGAAGCAAGAACATATTGCAAAGTTAGCACAGGGATTAAATTTAAGGAAACCTGTGGTGTTGGACTTTATGTAAACAGCTTACTTATTCATTTACCGACTTTTGTTTAAAAACATAAACATTCCTGTGAATGTAATTTCAAAAGAGAGATACAATTTTTTTTTCATAAACTACGATGATGTATTTTTTACGAAAGAATTCCTAAAAAAAATATATACCCCTTTTTCTTTCCTGTACATTTTCCTCTTGCACTTAAAATATTTTCTTTGTACCTAAAATATGTTTAGAAAATAAAAATTTTACGTTCCATAAATCTTGATTAAATAATTCTTGAGATATGATTTGGGGTTCATGAGCTGACAGGCCAAATGTAATTTTAAATTAAAAAGAAAAAAGTGTAAACAAGACTCAGGAAGACATGTAAAATTATTTAATCTGTACAATCTTCAATTCTATAGCATGTAATTATTGAAAATTATTGAAATCTCAATATTACATTCAGAGTCTAAAGGATTCTCATAATTTTTTTAACTAACATTTTTCATCTTTCTAAAAAATATTGTGTTTAATCCACAATATGTATGTATTTAATATAAAAAGAGTGATATGCAACTTAAAAACATCACATTTTTTTAATTTTCTTCAATTCTTTCAATCGATTTCATTCTTTAAATAAAAATTTAGAATAAGAATTTTTTTTAACAAATTAGCATTTCTAAATAATTTTCACCAGGCATAGTTTTCAGTAGAATTAATGATCTGAATAAAAGCTTTGATTTAAATAGGTTGTAATGCTGCATGATGACAACAAATATTATACCACACATTTCTAGTTTCATTTAGCATTCTCAAATTGATAATTTTAAGCTGCTGTAATTTATATGGGTGTTCACTGTGCTATAGTTTCATTTCATATAATATATCAGAACTGATTAAATAAATACTGTGATGGCTGTGTAATAAATTAAAGCAAACCCATATATCTATCTATTAATGAGATAATGAAACGTTTTTAACCTATGTTTCCTAGTAATATTAGCTTATGTACTGCATTAACTTTTAATATATAAATAACTGAAGAGTTGCAGCACAGGATAGCTTAACATTTTAAAATTTAAAATAGTTAAAAATTCAAAGCAAAGTCTATTAAAATACTTTTAAAACTTCAGTAATTCTGTTTAGTATTACACATAAGTGATGTCTCATTTAAAAAAAAAAAAAAAAAAAAAAAATTAAATTAATGTTTATTTTATTTAAAACTGTTAATTAAGCAGGTTTTTTTTTTTTTTCATGATTCAAAGAAAATATGTATCAGTTTATCACACAACATATACTAAATTTCCACAAACACATAACTTTTAAAAAAATGTGCATTTGAAAAATTTCAGAGACATACTGAGGAGAAAATTTATAATTCAACAAAAATCATTTTTTGATACATAACGTTTACAAACTATTACTATTAGTATTTGATTATAATTTGGAATTATAAAATGAAATAAGTCAAATTTTGGGGCAATAAATAATTAAATCTTTAAAATTACTGAACCACATTCTCAAAAATTCTTATATTCTAATTTAAAATAAAAAAATTTTAAACCCAAAGCACAAAGAAACTGGCACCGATTAATCAACATGTAAAAAGAAAGCACATACTTATCATTATGAAGAAACATATTCAGAAAATACAGTCAAAGTCATTAATTCGGACACTCATAATCCGGACCTCAAAGCTACAAACTTTCTGCGCATAAGACCTTTACGGCTGCAAATATGCATGTGCGCATACGCATGAGCGTTTAATGTATAATAACGGATGGTATAAGCTAAGCTAAAATTATCTCATTTAGTTAATGTTGCAGATTGTGTTGTTCCTTAATCTTCGAATTGGATCCGGCTGTTAGAGCCGAGACTGTTAGAGCAATTTTATAAAAGTAAGCTTGAACTTTCGATTATGTCAAATAGAATTTCCGATATATATTTTCTAATATGTAAAGGATCTACAAAGCAAAAGTACGTTTCGAAATCCATCAAACAAAAAGTGAAATTGCTGCAAAAAAATGGATAAAGGAATATCCTTTGTTTCTCTAACCATTCCGAAATCCGTTTATCAATTTCACACTGCTCTGCGGGGGATAAATGTAGTATTTCATTTCGATGTACTCCGTCTTTGATATGATTTAAATCAAATTCCTCATTGTTATAATTTGCTTTCGATAGTGAAGAAAGTGACACAGAGGTTATTGAAAACGAAAAAATTTCGATTGACAAATTTGTCGGTATTCTCAACACAGCAATTATAGGACTTGAACAACGGAACTTTGTAACTGAACAAGAAATTATGTCTGTTTAAAGAATAAAGAGAAAGTTTGTCAAAAAACGAAGCAAACTAAACATTACATTAAAAAGAAATGTTTAAAAAAGTAAATAAAAATATTAAGTCTTTTTTTTTTTTTTGTAAATTTTGATACCTTTAGATCATATTGTCTTTATTTTAAATTACGGTTCATTTTTTTAATTTTATAATTTAGCTGCCATCTTACAGATTAATGATGATCTATATCCGAACACCAAGTCCCGAGGAGTCCGGATTAACTACTTTTGACTGTATACAGAAAGAGGAAATTTTATCATTTGTAACAAAGTTTATTTTCCTGATTTAAATTGTATTTTTCTAATCAATCTATGTATGTTTATCCTAGTTAAAAAGCATATTTTCAACCTACAACTGTATATTTTTGCTCCCAGAAGAAGAGGAATTCCATGCCTACTCTTTTTGAAATACATATTTTTTAAACTCTATAAATTTTGCAGGATTAATCTAAGGATGAATTTAGCCTTAGTTCAGATGGTACTTACGTATTATGTCATTGACCGTGAAACTGTTGCCACGCAGCACAATTTGGTGCCAATTATGGACGAACGTAACGTCGTAGCACACTCGTTACATCTGCAACATCAACTGATGTAAACTTGATTGATGCTTGACAAATCATCTTTTGTATTTATCAACAAGGATTTAAATTAAGCGTTATTGCTATATTTTCCCCCTCCATTTTGATAGAAATGATTAAAATTTGTGACCTACCCTCTACAGAACAGCAAACAGTGGAAAGGCTGTGTGATTTTACCATGAAAAAAGCATATATTAATTGGACATGATACGGTTCATCTGAATATGGCTAACAAATAAGTAATAGACTGGAACAATTAGCTTTGAGAAATTTGTACTCATAGCTTTTTAGACAGAGTTTTCAGTAAAATCAGAAGGCCAAACAAAACAGTAGAAACTGACAGGCATTTTTACAAATTGCAAAACAAAGAGAGTCAAATACTGATTGTTTATTAGTTAAAATTCAAGAATTGAAGAGGCATCAGTTCTTTCTGCAGGAACAATTGATAACATTTGTGGTTCTATGGTAGCCAACTTTCACGGTCAATGGGATAATACATAAGTACTATTTATATTCATTTAAATATTTACAAAATAATGTTCAAACGTGTCCACTTAATGGACAGTGTGTAAAAGAGATATGTGTTACCATTCATATCATTAATTCAAATGCTACTTAAAATTATAGTATATTAGTTAAAGCCTTAATTAAAACTTCCAATTAATACATAAAATTTTCTGAGTAAGATAAACTGAATGTGTTGCATTTTATTCTTTTTATGACATAAATTATAACAACTGTCGTAAAAGTTTATAACAGCTTAAAAAAGTTTGCCATAAAACTAATTATTAAAAATTATCCAGCATGAAATTAATTGTAAAATTTTAATTATATAACAACTTTATGAATGCAAGTATCCCATTCCTCCAAAAAACATTAAACAAATAATATTTATCATATCAAACTTACTCATTCTAAACCAATATGTGTAAATGTCTACTTATTAAATAAACTGATAAACCAATATGTATTTACTAAATGTGCTGAATAAAATAGTAACTTATTTAAATACATCATTTCATTCACAATTTTAAACAGAGCAGCAAAATATTTAATTTTAAAAACTTAAAACAGTAGCACACTTTAAAAATTCATAAACTAAAAAAATGTACATTAAAAAAATTTTTTAGACCAGGAAAAGTTTAAATTATAGGGATATATTTTTATGTTCCACATATAATACAAAATTATGTTATGTTATATAAAAATTTGCCTAAAAATAAAAACTGATTTTTTTTAAAATTAAATTACCTTCAATCAAAACTCATTCAGAAAATATAAATGATTCTAATATAAATAGAATAGAATATAGCATAGCATACTTCATTTTTAATCATACATTTAATTTTAAAGGATTTTTAATAGACTCTTATTTTCTAATTAAAACTATATTCCAATGATTAAACTTTTCATAATTGAAACTATCAAATATATTGCAACAGAATGGGTAAATCCAATATCTGAGGAAGAAGTGAAAATTCTTGCTTTTATCAGCTAATAAAATGCATCATACCCTATAACTGCCAATGGATCAAATTATCAAAAAATTGCAAATGATTTCTCAGATAATAAAAAGACCAAAAATTTTAAGGTAATAAGCATTGGTATTAACTTTTACAAATGATAACTACAATTATTTGGGATTAGAAGGACTCTAGAAATACTTTGCAATAAATAAATAAATAAATAAATAAATCAAAATTCACAAAATATACTTGAAAGTTATATTTTTCGATCATATATCAGTTTAAGATTTAGAATTTCTTTGTTGTATTATATCGAAAATACTTAAGTAATAGTTAACACACATAAACAAGCTTCTTTAGATCAATTTATTTTTAACACTTAATTTAGAAAATATTTTTTGATTTTGAAAATGATTCCCATTCTTGTAATTAAAAATGAAGACATTGATATCAAAGGAAGAAAGAAGTTTTCAAAATTAGCTTTTAAAAAATCTAAATTGAGGTAAATCACCTATCTGATGATGATGGGATCTTTCTAAAGAAACTGGCTTGTACTTACATGTTACTTATAGGAAGCAGTGAAAACTCCACACAGCAAGCTGCGCCTCAGAATCCATAAATAGTTCCACATTATAAAAATTCTTCCAAACTGGAGACATGTGCATATGAAATAAAGTCCTCTTGATTCCATATTGAAAGTCCTTTTATGCAATATAGAAATTTTAAAGCACTGAATGGGGAATTATAACCAGAGTTATTAAAAAAGATTTGTTTGATTGCATCTTGTTAATTTCCGTTTAAACCCTGAAATAGTACATGAACATAGCTCTTTCCATAAATGTTTTGTCAGATATAATGGAGCACAGCCAGACTTTTATTGTCTTTCAATCATATCTAGCCCAAATCAATCTAGAACAAAATGTTTGATGCAACAGTCATAACAGATTATCATGATAAGATGATTCTGTTTTTACCAAAATGGAAACGAAAACTCAACTTCTTCCCAAATATATTGAAAAGCTTTTAAGGAAGTGCTTGATTAAAAATAAGTCTCTTTTTGGAAAAATATTTTTTTTTTTTTTAAATTGCATATTTCATGATTAGTATTTCTTTTAAAAGTGTGTAATTTCTTCTGCTACTATCTTAGTTCCAATGCAGAACTTTTAAAATAAAAAACAAATATTTTACAAAATTAAATAGGTATATCAAAAGCTATTTATTCTGAGTATAAAATGAATAGTTTTTACAAATTTTAATGATATTACAACATAAATAAAAGAGAGCTTAAAGAATTTTTTAAACAGCTTTAACACCATTAAAAGAAGTTTCGATCATATGATTAATGACTATTAATTAAATAAAACTTGATAGCTTTCCTAAAAGAAATAAGCAAAGAAGAGTGAAAATAGTTGCTCTTTGTTACTCAGCAAAGCCCAAATTCATACTACATCCTTATCATGATGGGCAGTGCCCCACTGTAAAAGTGCTGGTATTTTTATGGAGAGCTATTCTGAGTGATGAATGTAAACCCTGTCATTGAGTGGTACCCCATAATGAAAGTACCAGCACCTTTATAATAAAGCACCACTATATACCCGTTCTTTTTTAGACAATGGAAGAATATTACTTAACATCAGAAAAAGAACCAGGCCTTTTAATTTTTTTCCTCAATTACCGTAGAAGTATGTAAAAACTAACTATTATATAGCACTTTTTATGCACTTTTATGGATTTTCTTTTAGAATAAGAAAACCTTAAATGTCAAGTGTGAGTTCCGAGAAATTCTTCCCATGTATGTGAATTTCAACAAATTTTCTACCACAGTGAAAATACAAGACAACATCAAATTTTTCATAATTCCAGTTTACCAGTAGATGGATGAAAATCTATTAATACTTTGTTCAAATGCTTCTAAATAATGCTGTAATATTTACATAAAATAATAATGCTTGATTCATTTACATGAAAGATCACTGCTCAGAACATAAGTTCCTATGTAAAATATCAAAATTTGATTATCATAGGAAGATTATAAGTATCAAATGTTAGGAATTTTAAAATATGATACTTTATTAATTAATTTACAGTGTATTTTTTACAGTTCTATAGTAACAAATTTTATTTTGCAAAAGCTTGGATGAGTAGCTTACTAATAATTCTCAAAAATATCAAAATCATTACACAAAATTCTCAACAACATTATAGATGAACAACTGAAGAAGATGGAATATCCACACAACTAGAAAAAGCAATAATGTTTCACTGTGTTCCAGTTTTAATCCTTATCAGAAACAAATGAGTAACTTTGTAAAAGAATAAAGAATACCATGTTTCTAACAGTTCAAATTTTATTTAAAAACATAACAGAAAAGGTTATTTAATATTTTATTTTATACACTATTCATTTATTTGAAATAATGTACCGATCTAACAATTATATGCATATAAACTGATAAAACGATGTGAACCATTATTTAAGATAATGAGGGACACAAATTACTACTACTGATGGTATCAATTCTACACTAAAATAATTCCAAATTTTAATTCAAAAACTTTTCCCAGGAACACGATTTTGTATATTTATATCAATATAGATGAGAACACACATTATATTAAAAAAAAAAAACTTTTTTTTACTGTACTGCATATATTAGATAGAGATTTACATTACGAGATTTCCACCTCGTCAAAATATTCCTGCATAACTTTGATATGATGTGGCAGTGTTATCAACAGAAATAACTTGGCAAAACATACATAAAATATACACTAAATATTACTGTGCCTTTTACTTGCTCAAAAGAACTATCATTGAATGAGCTAACTAAATATAATATTTACAAATTTTTATCACTTCAAAGATGTTTTCATTAAAAACATACCATCCTTTTAAAGTTAACCAACCTTCCCTCTAAAAAATGTATTTTACATATACATTCTGGCAATATTTTAGTGCAAGAATATTTATAAAAAAAAAATTCATCAATAATATGGAACTTAATAAAAAAAATAAGCAAAGAGTACAATTTGAAAATGTAATTTTATTTCATTTTACAAATTGAAATTTTAATTTAATTTTGATCTTATCACACAAGTCATGCAGAACAATTTCCTGAATTAATTTTTCCATCCTGAGACACGAAATGCAATCAGCTGGCACAAAATAATAGCAATTACAACACAAAAAAGAACCGTGCACAATCTTTAACATTTGACATATATTTACAAGATCACTGTTTCAAACGACGTCGTTTTTTACTCGATAGTAAAGGGATGTAAAAATATGAATTAAAGAAATGAATTATATATAACAGACACTAAAACAATATTTTTTTCCTTCACGATCATAACTAAATTCATTAAAATATGGCTCTTCTGGCAGTCAAGAAAAATATAAATTAGTTTTTAAATAAATCCTACTGAGAGATTTCTTTAAATAACAAAAAGGGGAGAAAAACAATATGCTACCAACAGCTGGCAGATCTTCACGTATATATTTACATCACCACATGAAAACGAGATGCTCATATTGATATTTACTGAAAGACATTTTAAGCTGCTATCCTGAATGAGAGATATGTACATAATGAAATGGTCAGATACTTTTCTTCAAGATCTTTTCCATTTACTTATTAAATACCAAATTGTACAAGAGGAAACAAATACCAAAATTTCATTTGTACAAAAATACAACTAAATATGTGTACTTATCAAATTAATTAGATGCACTTTGCTTTAAAATTGAGCAAATGCATACTTGAATAAAACATTAAAAAATATGTTTGTACAAACTATAAGTTATTCATGAAAGAAGGCTCTAGCATGACTTTTAAACTTACGTAAACGGCCCCTGCTGCTGAAAGATATCACTGGCTCAGCGTTTTCAGAATCATAGTTTTGCAAAGAATCATCACTGCCTTCTTCGTAACGTACAGTCCTTTGGCCACAATTTCTGGTCTGAATTCTACTGGATAATTTCCTTGGGCTTTGACCCTTAGGCCCAGGTAAGGCACGGCTGGTAGCTCTTGTGCTGTCTCGTTTCGCTAAACGAGTGGATCTTCGCGATGTTTCTTCGTCTTCATCTGAATTGCCTTCGGATTCTGAATTTGAAGACGACTGTTGACTTTTACTGCTGCTCCTGGTCTCCTGAGTTGTATTTTTTGAGGATGCGGATGATGAATTCGAGCAGCCAGAACTATTAGAATTTTGACCACTCTTAGAGCTGCGAGTCTCCGAGGCATCACTCTCTGAGCTTTCACCTGAGCTTTTGTATTTCTGGGGTCTCGTTACATTCCTCCGAAGAGAACTTAATCTGCTTGGCGGCGGACTGCACAAAAGTCTCTTGGAACGAGTACGAAGAGGTGACAATTTATCATTTACAGGTCTCTTTTTTATAGATGGCCACTGGTTTTCTGGTGATGAAGATCTGGAATGAGACATAGATTGCAAAGATGCAGATAACTTGGTATGTGAACGAAGCGAACTGGAATACACTGGTGATTTTTTATGATAGGATGCTGTGGAACGAGTATGCCTCATAGAAATATGTTTTTTGATTATCCTAGGCCTTAGAGTTTTCTGTATTTGAGGTGCAGAATCTTTGCGAATTCTTTTCGCTTTCCTACCCCATCTCAGATCCTCGCTCCTGCTACTAACGGATGAGTTTGACTGATTACTGGCACTGGAATCTGACTGACTGCCATCGGAATTTGAGCGTTCTTTCTTTCGAACATTTTCAGTGTATTTCTTCGTAGACCTCTCACATTTCTTCCTTTTAGAAACTCTTAGGATTCTTTCACTTGCAACTCCATTTGTTCTTGAAGTACCTAAAAATAATCAACAGAGATACAATTGTGTTACATAAAAAGTAGAATTTGTAATAACTTTATAAACTCAAAAGCTAAGCAGCTGAAAGTATTTCATTTTTATTTGAATGCAAAATGTTCTGTACATTTACGTGCAAAAGTCACATAGTTACCATAGAATGAATTTACTGAGTCACATGATTTTAAGTAATTTTCATCAGGTTTACAGAAAATTTGCAAATTTGACTTGTCTGGTAAATTAATTTTTTCATAATAATTAATTATTACAAATTAATTAATTAATTATTAGTTTTGTAGCTGGCTCCAAGAAACTATTCATGACTAATATCTTAGTGAATTTTACACATGAAAATAGTACTTTTTTTTTACTTAATAAAGCATAATGAACATTTTACTAACTGAAATCTATAGTATATACAAGGAAATATAACGTCATTTTGTTTCCAAAACTCTCTTAAACACAATCCTAGTACAGTTTTTACACAAATTTCTGCCGTATTTTAACAAACTCTGTAACTGGAAATATATGCTAATGTTCAATATTTATGGAAATAAGGCCAACAGATCCTTTTTAGAATATACTATATAGCGTGACTGAAGGCCTGCATACTGACTTTTGTAAAAATCTGTAGACCTATAATACTTTTAGAATGAAATTTAATAACACCTTAAAAAATATATCAGAAAATTTCGTACTTCAGTATTATCGCAACTTGTCGAATTTTATTGAAGAAAAAGAATGGGCCATGTCGAATTTTACAGGAAAAAAGTTACTTTTATTGTAAAATATCATACATTATATACATGCATATCCTATGAATCAAATACATATTTATTTTAAATTAGTAAACCTAACATAACACGTAACACATCCAACTTCAGTACTACGGTTTACCGTAAACTTTCATCGGTTTGCCTTCCACCACACTTTAAACCATGTCATCTGACTAAACAAAAGTTAGCTTCATTTTATTCCTATGTTTTCCGTGCTCTTCAAGTTTGCTCCTCCAAATTAGCCCTTGATGAAGAACTAAATTATTTAAAAGCAATAGCTATTGACAGGGGCTTTTCACCCAACATTATTAATCAAGCAGTTAAAAATTTCTCATCTCAACACACTAAAAGGCACACTCTTATTTTAGGAAATTATAAAAATTCTGTTGTCATTCCCTTCTTTCCATCAATTAGCTACAAAGTTGCACATATTTTGCAGAAATTTAACTTTCGGGTTGTTTATTCTCCCATCAATAAAATTCCGAGTTTCATACTCAAGGACCCCATTCTGGATATGAATTCCTGGGGTATTTATAGGATTCCTTGCCAGTGTGGTTTAATTTACATTGGCCAAACTAAGAGAGCCTTAAATTTCGCGTCAAGGAACATGAGGCATATGTTAAAAAAAAAGGAAACACAGAAGTCTTCTGTTGCTCAACATTGTTGGTCCGAAAATCACACTTTCAATTTTTCTGCTGCCAAAATTATTCAAAAAACATCTTCCATTGGAGAACTGGATTTTTCTAGAGGCATTTCACATTCATAAAAATCTTTCTGTTCTAGTTAACGATCCTAATTCCAATCCAAATTTGCCTTCGGCCTTTAAGAAATTTATTTTAGTTCTGGTTTCACCAACAGATGGCGCCACTTGCTTATTCTTGTCCAGGCTTTCTTATCTTATCTAATCATTATTTCCTATCTTGTTCATTTGCGGTTTTGCAGCTGAGGATGGTGGTTCGGTAAAACCATCGAAACTAGTCCTGTGAAAAATTTTGTAAATATAACGCTGATTTTTGTTGTTTGACTTCTGAATTAGTAAACCTAGTTAAAAATGATATTTTGTTTTTGCTGTGGTGGAAATTTCATAGCAACTGCTTTGAGAAAGAATTTGAAGCACTGTTGCTTTGGCAATTTTGGGGCAAAATAATATGTTCCTGAAGAAATTTCACCTCTCTTTCTTCTATTATAAGAAAATCCTACAAGCACTCTAAAATCAAGTTTAAGACAAAAAATATCATAATTGTTCTATAAAAACCATTTGGACTTGGGGTACAACAGAGAGAATCATAGGAAAATGATGACATATGAAATTTAATATTTGTCATGCGCATGGTGGTCTAATTTATTGTTATGAGCAGAGTTTGATGTATTCCGAAGCTTTGGCGATTTCTACTCTTTAGTACAGAACAAATGGTTGTAATTCAAGCCTTCAAATGTAATGCAATGTAAGCATTACACTTGAAAATTTAACTACAAAAAGGAGGACCCTGGATTTCAATGTTTCCAGCAGCAAGAAATATGAGGTGGCTGCTAATGCATAAATAGCAGAGTACAGTTAGTACTATTCCTGCAGTTCTACTACATTATTCAGTTTGGATATGCCGCACATTACACTGACACCCAGCACAACTTGCTTGGCACTTTATATCCAATGACAGTATGTTCACACTAACTGATGTGCAATTGCCCAAGGCACTGCAACTGCAATTTCAAACACAGAATAACTGATCTCTCTTGAACTGGCAACATCTCCACAATAAAAATTTGCAACATTCGACAATTTTAGCGACTTTTCATACAACTTCGGAAAACCAGCATATACTCATATACAACACAGCCCACTAGTTACAGAAATATTCAAAGGAAGCAAAGTGTACACAAACCAACACAGCTGCAAATCGTTTTTCAGTTACTCAATATATTATTTGAAATCTTTCACAACAAAATTTCATTATTACTATACTGAACTCAAACAGGGTTAGTAGCCACATTTTAGTTAAAAAAATAAGCACTTTTCAAGCACATTTTAAGGGGAAAAAATAAGCACTTGTCTAATTACAATATACACATCTGCATAACCTTAAAAGAAATATTAGACTTGTAATTTAAGATATGAGAAATTCAGTATTTATTAAGAGAGAATGAGCATTACTCACCCATGCAAAACAATAACATTTTTTTTAAGTTATGAAAGAGGGGGAACTATGCAGAACTAAATTATATTCTAAGATTTAATGATGAAATTTCAGTTCAAAACAGAGAAAATAAATAATAGTAAGCCATATTTATTATATTCGCTTGGCACCTAAAAATAAATGCAATTTTTTCCCACTCATATTAATGTTTAAATAATTTAACTTAAATCAAAATTCTGAAGATTTTCTAAATTTTCATTGTAAAACAGTTTTCCCTTAACAGATATTGCAAGCAAAGTAATTTAAGTAAAAATAAGTAAAAAAAGGAACATTTCTGAAATCAGAAGACAGGAAATTGCTTCATGCAGTCATTCTGTAACAGTAAAAGCTTAACTAACCGGTATACTCGGAAATTGCCGAATATCTGAAAATTCTGGATAGTCGAGCGTAACTGGAAAAAGAGGAGGGGGGAGATTAGCTGTTCTTTAGATTTTTTAGCTCAATAATGATTTTGGAATTTTGATATGTGCATTATATAAAAATAGCCCAATGGAAGTAGAAAATAATCTGCTTAGCAAGCACAGTAAAACTCTTTTATCTCTGTGAAATATCTCAAACGCCGTTGCACACCTGCACCTTCATTGCCCCACACATGATATCATGCAATCGGAATCAACAGCTACTGGTATTTGGAGAATAAATAACTAAATAAAGGAAAACGCCTCTTTGCTTCGTTCGTTTTTCACCGCCATGCACCCATGTGGCATATTTATCACTGAGCAAGACGCGTTGCGCTCCGTGCGCTTTCTCTGCCATACTCATATTGATTGAGAGAGAGAGACTTACCAATCTGGGGTGTTTTCAATCTAATTTTGAACAGACTGCATTAAATTTCTGCAAAAGAATCATTCTTCGCTTGGGTTAGTAGACCGCAGAACTTTTAGTCCTACTCAATCCAGATTGGAAAGTGACCAAAAAAAAAAAAAAAAATTTTTGTGCTTGCTTTGTAATTTCAATATTCGAGATTTTGCGAAGAAAGGGGAGACCCCCCCCCCAACTTCCATACTGTATAATGCATTGGGGAAAAAAAAAAAAAAAAAAGACTATTTGATTACTTTTACTTTATTTATGCCATTCCGAATATTATTCCTTAGAAAACTAATCTGTGTTAAAACACACCCATTTTTTAAGTTTATCTATACTTCAGTTACTGCAAATATATTATAAACATACTTGCCAACCTATGACACTCAGAAATCAGGAGATTTTTTTAAAAAATCAGGAGATTTTTCACAATGTAAAAAGACTTTTTAAATGATAAAAATAGTTTTTAATAATGAATTAACTTTAAATAGTAATAATTCTTAAATGCAAGCAACACAAAAAATACCTCACACATAAAAACATTTTATTACTTGGCATCGTTTAAGGAAAAAAAAAAAAAAAAAAAAGACACTTTAATTAGTTTTGTACAAATGTTATAAACAGGGCAGATTTTGCTTTATTTAAGAAAGAAACTTCATAATTTTGTTCACAGCAATTGCCACGTAGGCCTGTTTTTGCTAATAAAAGTTTTCGAATGTGTCATCACTAATATTAGATCTAAATTTAGTCCTCGTTTTCGCAACAACACTGAGAATCCTCTCACACTCTGCATTACTATAGGGAACTGTCAAGATGGCAACACAATTTTAGACAGTTCACAATATTTAACAATTCCATCAACACTTTTCACTTTTCAATTAAACTTCATTGGGTGTCAATCCTAGATGATTTTATAACTTCATCCAAGTTTTCTAATTGTAAACTGCTGTTATGCAGCTGTTACAATTAGAAAACTTGAATGAAAACTTGGATGGATTGTTTCAATTTTTCCTTCCTTTTAGAACTCCTTTCAAGATAATAATAAATATCAGCAATGTGCTCATCCACATTTATTGGTAAAGAAGCTGCCCCTTTTTCAGCTGCTAAATTTATGAGGTGACAGGTGCACCTCCATAATCTGAATTTTCCTTTCTTAAGATGCCTTGCAACACCCAGTCTTCCAAGCACCAATATTGGTGCATTATCGGCACCAAGTGCTAGCAATTATCCAGAGGGCCTTCATTTTCTTTTAAAGTTTTAATAATTAGCTGTGCTATATTAAAGCCTGTCAAATGTCCTTCTAAAGTAGGAACATAAAGTAAACTGCACTCAGTTTCTGAAGACTCTGGATCAAAAAAAGAAACAACAATTGGATACAGTTTTGAATCAGTATTATTACTTCCATCCGTAGAGAGGCAGAACGAAGCTGTTTTAATGCAATCAATAACTGAAGATTTATTTTTAAAACCCATTTCTTTAGCAATTGCTCCTGTTTTGATTCTTGCACCTTGAGTATTTTTTAGTGATTTCACTATCGGGAAACATTTTTCTAAATAAAGCTCCAGTGTGATCCGATGCATTCAGTGGCAGGTTGTGCTCCAGTAAAAAGGCAGAGAACAGACAATCTGCATTAATAACTTTTTGGTCCTTTGTTTCCGAAGAAAAATTTAATTTTCTCATGTTATCCTTGTGTTTTTGTGCATGCACATGTTTGAGAACATCCGCCCTTCCACCATACGAAATTGAAAAATCGCAACGACAGGCGGTACACATCGCAAATTTATTACATTTCTTGAGGAAAAAGGAAGGAAGTCAAACTGTGTACGATTTTTGAAACGTACACGAGTATTTCACTTTCTCGCAGATGTAACAAAAGATGATAATTTCGAAAACTATTTCCCTAAGGCCGTGTACTCACACAACTCAGACAAAATGAACGAAAAATAACTAAAGCACGTCCAAATAACAACTTTCTTTGTCCTCATTGGCTAATATATGCCAGCTGACACGCAGTGGAGCTCGAAGCCCATGGAGAACTGAGAACGACGTTTCTGGATACGTATAATGCTCTCACTCACAAGCAGAAGCTATCTGATTAGCAAGGTTTTGTTTTAGATATAATGTAGAATAATTCAATTGCTTTCAGACGTCCAAAAGCACTTTTTTTTATTCATATAACAAAGTATTAAGCCAAGTTGCATAAAAGTCATGAGAAATTTTAAGAATAAGAAAATGTCGGAGAAATATATTGTAAATCGGGTTGGCGGGAGAGCGGTCGAAAATCGAGAGTCTCCCGCTTAAATCGGGAGAGTTGGCAACTCTGTATAAATATTCATACATATGCTCATAATATAAGCATAATGATCATAATAAATGCAAATATGAACTTATCACATGGAACAAAAATGCAAATTATTAAAATCTTGATAGAAATTCAAACATGTGTAGTATTGGGTGGGAGGAAAAGAATATGGAAATGTACGGGAATTTTCTACCGCTTTTGCAGTTCTTTGACCAATAGAACAACATGCACTTATCTGTACTCGTGCACACCAAAGGTTACATCAATGCAGAAAAAGGGGTGAAAAGCTATTTCCGGGAGCATGATTCACCATCTGATGTTCCATATAAGGAAGAAAAGTTAGTTATTTAGTTTCAACTTTGGTACAGGGAAAAAATGTGCGTTCGTTTAAAAAAAAAGACGCTAAAAGCAAAAAATAAGCACTAAAAAAGGGGGGAGGGGGGAATAAGTTCTATAGAGAAAAAGTAAGCACTTATAAGGAAGGACCTTTATATTTTATTTTAAAATATAAGGACTTATATTTTATTTTAAAATATAAGGACTTATAAGCACTTGTAAGAACCACTACGACCCCTGTCAAAATATATTGGTTCTAATACTATTATTACTTTCTTCTGATCATGAATAGAAAATTTTCAATTTTAGTAAGCTGCAGCTAAACAAAATTTTGAAATTAATCAATATAAATTAAATACTAATCCGATTAATCTTAATTATAATCTGATTTATAAATAAAAACAGAAAAAGAGTAAAACACTTTTTTTTATACGGCACCATTAAAAATATTTTTTTCTTCACACATACACGGATATTTGAGAAATCTAACTTGATAAATAGGCAAATATTTGCAAAGAATTCATTATTCTTAAATACTCCTAATTTGAAAACATTAATAGAATTTTTTTTAAAAATTAATAACAATGAGATGTGGCATTACCCATCGTAGGTCTCAATTCCTTCTTCCTAGTTCGGATGGTAGATGACTTAGATGGTTGGGGCTCTTCTTGTTTAACTTTCTTTTTGGGACCTACAGAAATATTAAATAAATAAATATAAAAATATAAATTAGCAAATTCCAATTACTTTTTATACATAAAAACATGACTATACTAAAGGATCACTTAAGATATACAATACATTAAGATATACAATATATTAGAAACTATAATAATTACACAGTTTCTAAAAAATAATCAATAAACATGCAATTTAATAGAGCAATGATAAATTAATAATATAAATTCCAATTCCTTCTTTGATAGTTCACCAAAGCTTTTAAAATATTTACTACAGTTAGTATACCATAACTTACGCCTTATTTGACATAGTGTTTCAGTGCTTTAAAAAACATAAAAAATATAGTGTAATCATGGTTCCTGAACTTAATTCATTCCTGAAAATAGTTCACCATTAAAAATATTCTTAAACCAAACCAACGTTTCTCGCAGGACTCTATGTAAAATGAATGAATCATTCCCAGATCCCAAATAATTGTTTAGAAAAGAGTACTTTGTATATAAATATGTAATGCAAAACCAGTGGAATTCATTAAATCTAACACACAGACAATAATAACATATATTATACTTAAGACAATACTAAACAAATAAAAATATGAAAACTTAATTAAATTTTGCTGTACCTCCATGAAGGAAAGTTGATGGTAGCAGCAGAGCTTAAATTGCACTGGAGCTGTGTTCCAATACCACGATTTTGGGATAAATCATAATTCTAGCCAGAGCGCACCAGAGCTCCAAAGAAGAAGGCTCCAGCACTTCTTTTATGTAATTCAACAACATTTTCAGTAGAAATTTGATAACGAAAACTTTATTTTTAGCAATAAAATTATACTAAAAATCACTTATTTTAATTTATTTTTTAGATTTTATTAAAATTTAATTATTATTTTAATGATTAATTATTTAACTTTTTAACTATTAATGACTGTATTAGTCATTTTATTTATTAGTCCAAAGAGGCTTTCTCTCTGAAGGACTATTGTTTCCATTTTGCGATTTTGTGCTGAATCTCTATAAACTGCGAATCACTTTTCAAACTGTCGCCACCTAATGTTAGAGTCCTGTATTATATTTGAAGAAATTAAATATTGGAAAATCTGCAAAAATGTATGCATATTTCTCACATTGTGATAAAACAACGGTACATACAGCCATTGAATTTTGAATGATGTAATCCTTCTACGAATATTGGCATGCGGAAACCTTTTATCTCCAGCGCGCGGATCTGTGTACTGGAAATTCTAAAGATATGCTCATTTTAAAATTGTTTTGTGACATTGCTATTGAACTGAATTTTATGGTTTAAGTGCAAAGAACATGATATTTAATAAATAAAGGTAGCACACAAAACGTTAAACAACAGCCCCATTGAACATAATTTACAATCTGAAATCATTCACTTTTTTTTTTTTTTTTTTTATATATATTATATAATTTTTCTTCCTCTTTCCTGATGGTCTAACATAGGGCTACAGCATTTCTAATTTTAGAAATTAAGCCCTGGGTAGAAGTAGAAAACAGCAAAGAAACCAAAGGTGAAAAATGTAATTGTCTGAAAGGAAAATCTAATTCTACAAAAATATCAGTTAGCTGCTTTGAAGTTCTTTTTCTTTTCTCTTAATAACACTCATCTCTACTTAAGAATCACTAAGCCTATGTCCCACTAAAAATTTATCTGTGACTTGTTTTTGTTTTTTATATTTGTTTTTGTTAAAAATGTTCCTAATCCAAGACATGGCATTGTCATTGCAAATATTTATGCTACAGCTTATTACTGCTTTGTTAGGGTGATAATGTTTTCACCCTTTTGGAATAGCAACTGCTTTTTTTTAGTATTAACTGCTCTTAGAGTAGCTTTTGTTGCCAGCTTATTTGTTTGCATCTTTACACATCATTCATCATCTAAGATATTTTTCATTTGGAAAATTAGTTTGCAAACCAAGGTTCCACTGTGTGTATATATATATATATATATCCTGGGATGCTTTCATAATGGTGCTTGATTAAAAGTGCTGCACCTCTGTACAAGACAGAAAATCTTCATCAGAGATGCTCTCATATAGTGCCCATACGTTTATGAAATTTATTTTCAACAGAGGAAAGTGCTATCACATTTGTGCCATGACACTTCTATGTAAGTAATTCTCGTTAATAAAGTAAAATAAAAAATCCTATGTGCATAGCAATACTTAACATAAAGATGCTGACACTTTTATGATTCTCAATGATTTATAGATAAACTCGAATGAAATGCGTAAATGAAAAAGGGTGATTTATAAAAGAACATCATACATTTCTAAGCATCATTATTAAACATTTTAATAATAGAAAATTATGCATTAGTTTGGTTACCTTATTTAAAGTACAATATAACTGAAATATATCAATAGCAAGAAAACCTTCAAATATACCTTCAAAATGAAAATATTTACCTGTTCCATTAGTTATTCTACTGTGACTACTCCGAGAACTACCTGATTCAATAAATGCATTATTTAAGATGCGACTCGAAGAGTGACGAGTTGTATCTGATCTTGAAGATGAAGGTAAACTTGGCATAAAAGAGCGAGATGTTGAAGCACCAACATTAACTTCAGCTTCTTGAACAGGAAGAGGTTTCCTCCTGGAAATCATATGTTATGAAAAACATGCATTACAGTATTAATTTAGTGATGTACTCTTTAAAATATGTGAGATAATAAACTATAAAAACATGTGATATGGACATGACGATTTCTTTTTATGGCCTATTAAATTACACATATTTTTTGCTGCACTTCATTTAAATTTAATTTCCAGAATTATTCTAACTTCATTAAATGAGCCCTCAAAGCAAGTTCAAAATGACATAAAAAATGGCAAATTTTGAAACTGAATGTCCCGATCAATTTTTGTCGTATGGGAGTCAAAATTCTTGTACAGTCAAAAGTCGTTAATCCGGACTCGTCGGGACTTCGGCGATTTCCGGATTATCGATTTTTCCGGATTATAGATCATCAGTTTAAATCGTGTAAGATGGCATACAGAAATTCTAAAATTAAAAATATGAAACCGTCATTTATGAAAAAAAGAACAATTATAATCTAAAGGGTATCAAAATTTACAAAAAAAAAGCTTAATATTTATTTGTTTACTTTATTAAACATTTCTTTCAATGTAAGTTGTTTAAGTTGCTTCGTTTTATGTGATAATACTTTCTCTTTAATTCTATAAACAGACATAATTTTTTGTTTAGTTACAAAGTTCCGCTGTTCAAGTCCCGTTAATTGCTGTGCCGAGAATACCGACTAACTTGTCAATCGAAATTTTTTCATTTTCACTAACCTCTCTGTCACATTCTTCATGTCTTTATCCATTTTTTGCAGCAATTCCACTTTTTGTTTGATGGACATCGAAACATACTTTCCTTTTGGGAGCTCCAGATTCGGAAATTCTATTTGACATAATCGAAAGTTCAAGTTTACTTTTATAGTATTGCTCTTACAGTCTGCAAAAAATAATAAGCCGAATCCAATTCGAAAATTAAGGAACAACGCAATCATCAACATTAACTGAAATAGATAATTAGATAATTTTAGCTTACACCGTCCGTTATACATAAAACGCGCAAGCGAAAATGTATTCTGCGCTTGCGCACATGCAAATGCGCAGTCGTAAGAGGTTTTACGCACACGCGTAAACGCCTATGCGCATGTGTCGACGCGGCGCATGCGCAGAAAGTTTTTAGCTTTGAGGTCCGGATTTTAGATCATTCCGGATTATGGGTGTCCGAATTAATGACTTTTGACTGTATACATATTTTTTCATCATAAGTATAAAACTTTCCCAAATATACAGTACATGGGAACAGGGAAATTACATAATAAGTTAAGTTTTGTTACTTGACCCCCCTTTTTTAATATTGAGAAAAGATGAATATTTAAAACACTTCTGCAATTACACATACATGACAATGACCCAATGATTGGGGGGAAAGAGGCCAGGTAAGGGTGTGTATGTATACATACACATTTTGTACTGCCGGATCTATTCCAATAAAAAGGGAAGGTGTGCAACTAGATGCAGTCCCATATGCTTAATTTCTTTGGCATAGTTTAATATGCAAGTATATATACGTTCTTACTAGTTAGAGTGTTAAAATGATCGATAGCTGGGAGTTTTTTTTGGGGGGGGGAATTTAAAGTGGTTAGATAATCACAAAAAGCACTTCTGCTTAAATGGATAATAACTTATGTTACACTTGGTGAAAATTACAAAAATCCATGAAGCTGGTGCACTCAGACATCAAAAATGAAACCAGGGCAAATTACTAGCGTTCTGTGGCTTTACTGAAAGCCAACATCGCTCTGTTACAGGCTTAACAGTATCATATAAATTATCGATAAATCAATTTCTGCAAGAAAAACAAAGATATCAATAACTCTTCATCTGTTTTTTTATCATGAAAGACAATTTTTAATACTATTTAAAATATAAACTTTCCCCCCCCCTCCTTTCAGGGAACAGATCTGTACATTTTTCCCACCCTTAATTTCCAAGATATTTCCAATATATATATAGTTAAATAAATATTTTTTCTACACTTCACAGAAGAAAGTAACCTGAAATAAGACTAACATGCAAATTCGCAAAAAATAAAACTTATTCTAATTTTTTAAAAATAAGATAGTCACTCTGGTCTTAGAAAATTGAAAACTTGCTAACAGAGAAATAACACAGGAATTGGTACGCAAAATAACAGCTGCTTAACATTAAGTTATACTGAAGTGAGAAATTAAAAGTAAATACAATTTTGTAACCACTCTGCACTAAAGTGAAACATATAATATTATTTAAAATTTATATAAAAAAAATTGCACCTTTATTTTTTTATTATTTTTCCAATTTTTTACTACTATTTTTATTTATCACAATTAAAAGTAATGGCCAAGTACACATTCTCAAGAATAAAAATTAATCGAATACTTCCCATAAAATACATAATGATTACCTGTTGCTCACATACTGGTTGTTTCTAATTTTCTCTTCGTATTTCACAGCAGATTTCCAGTCACTCACTATACTCCTAATCTGCTCCTCAAACATCGCAGACAACCGGATTGTCATCGAATATATCTAAACAAAATGCACAGCAATTTTACTACTTTACCTACAGCTAAAATCTTATAAACACATTTTATGTCAAAGCAAGCATATTTTTTTTCTCTTTTTAACGAGGGTTTGCCATAAAAATACAAAACGCTATCAAAGAACTTCTGGAGTCTTTTCTCTATAAATTATAGCAAATCTATCTTCTATCATAGTTAAAAATCTTCAAAGCTACTTCTTGTGACTATTTCTCATAGCTCAAAACTTGACAATTTCGTTCCATTTTTTGGTGCTTCACAAAAATTTAGAAACAGTATGAGCATTACATCAAAACAAGGAAATAAGAAGTACAACGCCATAACACATTTAGCCATAAATCAGTAAATTAATATTAGTTCTGAAGATTTGTACACAATATTCAGTTAACAGAAACTGGCATAAATTTTTAGTATATACGACAAGTGTGTGTGTTTATATATATATAAGTAAAAAATTTAATTAATCGTAATAAATTGCCTAATACTTGTACAAAAACTACAAAGAAATAAAATAATAATTTATTTACTAATGGATTAAGTATGTTATCTCCTTTGATAAAGATAGTTAGAATTCTACTGAAATGAAGTAACTTATAAGCATATTTAAAAATTGAGTCTAGAATTTTTTTTAATTGAAACATTAAAAATGAATCTTGAATAAATTGAAAATGGAAACTTTTAAAAAGGTATAATTAAAATTGAAAATTTAATCAATAAATCAAGTAATTATCATCATTGACTGGAAATTAGTTAAATTTCAAGGGAAACAAACTAATCTCTGATCAATTAACAATAATAAATGTGAAGGTGTTTCGTCTTTTTCTCAAGTAAGAATTATTATGTTAAAAAAGATTTTTAGTAACAGGCCTGTCTTGGTTTATAAACTAATAAGCACATAATTAATTCATCTTCTGGCCATTTATGCATATTATGCCCATTTCCTTTTCATACATTTTAATTTTACCTTTTTGTCTTATGTGAATATAATTTTATTCACCTTTCTTACTTGTTTAATTGTTTTTACTAAGATTGCATTATGTTCATTATTTTTACAAATCAAAGTTTATACTGTGTAAATATGATTAAAGGCGAAGGTGTTGGGGGGCAATCTTTTCAAGTAACAAAATACAATTCACTCTTACAATAATATATCACAATTTTGAATTTTAAAACTTGACGAAACAGCCACTTTCTTACTGAATTCTACACAGTGCTTTTACTTCAATTCATCTCACTTAAACTCTGCTTACTTAGCTTAAACTCATCTTACCAAAAAACTTTTTTAACCTTCCAGCATGCACACTTGGCAATTTCACATGAGCACGCTATCGCGTCGTTTTTTTTAAAGTCATCTTTTATTTTACCATTTTGGGCACGAAAAACGACAGAAATGAGTGAATATTGATAATAAATTTGTTAAGAAATAAAATAATTTTATTACTGCAAAGTACAAATGATATCATATTCAAATATAATTAAATTATTTTTAAGTTCTTATGTTAGTGAGATGGAAATGCAAAGATGTATTTCATTATAGAAAGTTTTAAATGTATTATTTAATAATTATATTTTAAAATCGAAGCTAATTTTAATATTCATCTAAGATAAGTATAGACAATAAAAAAGGAAAACACCTTGGTAGGAAAAAAAGTGAGTTTAGCATTACTTATTTCTGCAAAGAAATTTACTTTTTACTGGTGACAAAAACGCACTTTAATGTTTTTATTGATTTCTAAAATATAGAAATAAAAGAAAATAAGGAATAAAAATCACTATTGTTCTCCCATCCAAAGGTTTCCTTGTCTTCCTTTTTCTTCATCAGATAATTCTTGAAGATTCTGAGCAAAATCAGCTGGTTGATCATATTTTTTGCCTTGAAAACTGATATAAAATTTAGAGAGCCAAATGTATACAAATTAAAATAATACACGGCAATTAATAACACAAAATTACAAAATATTTGAGAAAAAAATATTTTCCGAATTTTAAAACACAACCACGCATGTATTGTAACTTTTATGAAAAAGCTGCCACGTAGCACAAAAGCCCAGTTTTTGAAAAAAAGTTAAATTACTTCCTGTTGGCACATTCCATGATGTGGGGAAGGGTAGAAAGAAGGAATAGAAATGACATTCAGATGTCTCAGCTTTGATATGCGAAAGATGTGCATTAAAAACTGAATTTGTCGTAAATTTTGTGCATACGCACGTGCTGGAAGGCTAACATAATAATTCTTACTTCAGAAAAAGATTAAACATCTTCACATTTATTAATTACTGTTAATTGTTCGGAGGTTGGTTTGTTCCCCTTCCCGGCCAACTAATTTCTGGTCAATGACAATAATTACTTGGTTTATTGATTACATTTTCAATTTTAATTATATTTTTTTTAAAGTTTTCATTTTCAATTTATTCAAGATTTGTTTTTGATGTTTTAATTTTAAAAAAAATTCAAGACTCAATTTTTAAATATGCTTTTTAATTTACTTTATTTCAAGAGAAATCTTACTACCTTTTTCAAAGGATATATATGTAGTAACATTTTCATGTTATACATGAATACATGGTATATGTATAATAACAGATACATATATTAATAGATATAACATACCAGTCATATGAATACATATAGTATTTCAATATTTATTGATAAATGCAAATTTAGAAATAAAGTTTCATTAGAGGTACAGCCTATACTATGAGGGGTGTTCAAATGAAAAAGTACGAAACACCATATCAACTAAACCAGTTGAAATGTGAATAGGTTGCTTTGAGATTATGTAGTGAGACATACAAGGACATGAATGTAATGTCCAGCGAAGTTGTCATCATGCATGGGTGCCCGCTCATGACGTAGTAGTGAGTGTGAGGACACCACGATGTTCACATTGCAAAATTCGATGCCTTTGAAGCAGCAAAATATCATCAGATTTCTGCCTGTGGAAGGAAACTGGCCGATATTCAGAGCCAGATGCTGGCCGGAGACTGTGTGTCCAACAATGTCAGTCAGAAAATGGAGTACACGTTTTCACGAAGGCCAGGAGCATTACAGCAATGACCCAGGACCAGGCCAGGCAAACACGATAATCATAGCTGATCTCATCAACAAGGTGAACGACCTGATGAGAAGTGTTCAGCATATCACAATACGGGTTGGCAGCAATGGTGAGGGCCAACAATGAAAAGTGTGGACAGTTATGCATGATAAGTTGGGTTACTGGAAGGTGTGTGCGCAGTGAGTTCCGAAGATGCTCAGCGAACTTACAAAAGGAAGAGCATATGGAATTAGCACTGTGACACCTGTTCCGGTATCATGAAGACCCCCATTTTCTTGGAGAGGATCGGCGCCGTGATCAGAGGCTGCTGCCATCACTTCGTCCGAGAGTCTTCCACCCCTCTCCCAAGCCAGAGACAAAGTGAGACATCATGTGTCATCACCTCCCCTTAAAAAATTCAAAGCTGTACCCTCAGCAGGGAAGGTGATGCTCACCATCTTTTTCAATATCCAAGATCTGACACTCAAAAAATTCCTTAATCATGGAAAAACCACTAACAGTGACATGTACTGTGAGACACTCTGTAGCCTATGCAAGTCCATTAAGAGCAAACAGCCTGGGCTGCGCACAGAGGGAGTGCTTCTGCTCCAGAATAACGCACGTCCATTAAGTCTCCAAGGTTACACATGTCACAAGGTTACAATGGCCAAGTTCAAGTGGGAGCATCTTGTGTATCCACCCTACAGCCTGGATATGTCACATGGAGACTTCCATGTGTTTGGTCCACTAAAAAATATCTCAAAGGGAAACACTTTTACTTGCATGACGAACTAAAGGACATAGTGGAGGACTGCCTCCTGTTACAGCCACAGGAATTCTGAGAATAGGGAACACTTCAGCTCATGAAACAGTGGGAGAGCTGTGTTCAAGTGTCTGGTGATTACTTACGAATAAACACTTCAATTATACTCACAGTATTGTTTTGTACCTTTTCATTTGAACACTCCTCATACTTTTTCCATAGAGGCCGATTAAATTTATGCTGCATAAAATAAAAAATAGCTGCTTGCTGCCACCTTAAAACATTCCATGGCAATTTTGATGCATGGTTTAACTATGCTAACACCACATTTTTAATTTTATTTGCTATTTCAAGTAGCTCTCTAACAATATTGGCATCTTACAATTTTATACAGCCTTAATATGGCTAACAATGATAAAAATTACTTGTACCAGAATTTGATAAATATTTTTTCTGCATATAATAAACCATATTAGGAACATTATGTGGTTTCTATAGTCAAAATAAGTGACAGAATATTCAAATCCTAAAATCCCACAAATCTTGTGAAAAATTTCAGATTTGAAAATAAATGTGCAAAGCTTCTTCCCCCCCCCCCCCCCCGAAAAAAAAAAGCAAGAGAATTTTCTTGCTCTTTTTTGGCACAGAAATCTTTGGAACCTTTACTAAAAAATTGTTAAACATTTTCGTTCAAAGCTTTGGAAAACATTAGTTTTACTGAAGTCCTATACAAGAGTTCCCCCCCCCAAAGAAAAGGGTAACCTGAATCACCAGTATCACAATCTGGTGGCTTTGAATGCCTCACACTTTTACTTTTTACATAGAATTCTGTCTTCTGTGTTTAGTGTTAGCCAGCATTAATTCTTAAAATAATCCACTCGACTCTACTCTTGCTTTGATTGAACTTCATATGTTTTAATCACATGATTCAGTTATTAAATTTTACTTCTATCTTCTTAATACATACGCACATATTTTTAAAAATTGTATTCTTAAATTTGTATTCCAATAAAATCAGACTGCAAATTTTGCTTTTTATTAAAAACTTTTAATACTTCCTGCTTCTTTTTATTATTTTTATATGCATGATTTCAGAAATGATTTAAGACATTCCAGATACTTTCAGGATTTGGATTCTGCCTAAAAAGAGAACTTTCAAATTTTTTGTTGTGATAGCATATTTAAGTTTAAAACTGAATTAATAAAATAATTTAATATTGCATATTAAAGCATTTACTATAATAAAATACTGCATCAAGATTATAATTGAATATTATATTATTAAATAAATAATCTTAACACATTTGCTGGTAATCCCATTCAATCGGTATTATGTTTTGAGTACATATGCTGTTACTGGCATGGAGTGAAAGTTAGAAACTATTTGTACATGTAGTCTGATTTCAAATTAAAGTTAAAATGTATTTCATGCAAAGATTATACACGAAAATTCGATTCATGCAAAGATCACTAAACACGATTCATGCAAAGATTATACAATGAATAACATTCTGATTCTTTTGTAATAATAACATTAAAACTATTAGAAATAAATTCCTTTGTAATATATATATATATTTGTAACATAGTTTCATACAAAAAAAATACATATTGTTACTTACTGTGATTAATTTTTAAATGTAATGTGACATCGGAGAACTAATTTAATTTCATGCTGGTGTACAATCATAACATTCTATGATTAAAGGCTTAACAACCACTGTGACACACATAATCATCTTTCATTTGCACTTTTGTATCATATTTCTCATAATAATTAAATTAGCATATGGGTACAATCCACCTCTATGTCTGCGCAATAACATCAACGCAGCCTCACATGACAAACAGCACAAGTATAAAAGAATTTAACATTAGGCCAAAAAAAAAAGCAATCTCAGTGTGATATAGATTTTAAGGATGATCAGATATATGTCCTCTTCTTAAGGGAGAGGGTATTCCTCCTGAAGAAATTTTGCAAAATTTTCTTTGCTCCTGAAGAAGAGGGACCTGTGTGTGAAAGCCCTCAAAATCAATAAAATTTTACATTGGTGTGTTTCTTTCTCACACGATAAAAGCATTTGTTTAATAATTTTTTTATTATGTTTTGCCGTTTTCTTCTTATAAGATAATTATATTTGATAAAGTATAGGCTAATCAATTAAGTAACACAATATAACACATTTCTAAAAATATATTTTGCAAAGTATAGTTTAGTGAAACAAATTTAAAATGCAGAATTTTTTTAACCAAAATTAAAAAAAGGGGGGGAAGGAGAGGAGGAGGGAAAAGAAATACATTAAAAAAAACTTACCCTAGATTTTTTATTTGTATTATAATTCCGAGAATTCTGAAAAATTAACCGCATGTCCTTGCAAAACTCACATGGACTGGAGTAGAAATTGTTATTTAACTTTTCTCTAACTGTAGACAAATCCATAGGACAATCTATAATATTTCTATAATCCTAGAAAAAAATATTCGTTAATTATTACTTACATCTTACATAGTTAAAACACTATAGAAAAATATAAAAATAAAATAAAATATGAGAAATATATTATACAGACAATCAGCATGATAAAAACCTAAAAGCAAGGGTTTCCATCAAGGATGGTATCAATCCCTATCGCTTAATGAAATTTTAAAGAGGGCTCTATGATGATCAAGGGATCGATAGTCAATGACAATGCTGACAATGGATCAGGCATAATCAACATCCCATTGATTATAAAAATATTTATTAATAAACTGATAATTGTTTATTGATGTAAAGCTGCATCATATAGTCACTAAAGAAATTGTATAAAATTAATATAAGGGGGAAAATACATCAAAATGATTTATTTTAAAAATCAATAATATTTCTTTTAAATATATAAATTTTTATTCAATAACTGCAATATAAAGTAAAATGCAAGAACACAATAAAAATATACACACATATATATACGAAATTTTAAAGTATCTGCACAATTTCATCAAGATAGAAATAAAACCGTAGATTTGTATGAATTACAAACAAATAATAACTCTCCTTTATATATACTGATAAACTGAATTTTTAAAATTAATAAACCAAGTAATATTCCATAATTTTGAACACAGAATATGACAAAATGTTGTAAAATGGCGAAAACACATACATAACAGAATAAACTTACTGGATATTCATTAAGATTAACTGGATGGCGGAAAGGAGTTGAATCATCTGTTTGAAAAATGTAATTTAGTAAGGACATGCACTGTTGTCTCCAGCTGTTTGAGGTATATTTATCTTCCAGATGCACATGTTTACTTGAATTCACTGCATTTTGCTATTCAAAGAGAAATGGAGAAGCATAACTACAAAATCTATCTAAATCATACATAACTTAAGTCCAATACAAGAAGCATAAAAACACAGAATGATATATATTTAAGAAGTACGTTGCAACGATGCATAAACCCCCTCCCCCCCAAAAAAAAAATCTTTACGCACAGCTTCAGCATCATCATCATCACAGATAAAAATCAAATTTTTTATAAATATATGACTCATTATTACAAAATTTTTAATTTGAGTAGTAGCCCTAAAAATTTAAACCCCCTCCAAAAAGGTCCGATAGGTTTCAGATTTTAAATTACATCCAAAGGGGCTTTTTTTTAACATTTTGTGTGTTACCTTTATTTATTAAAGATCATGTTCTTTGCACTTAAATCATAACATTCAGTTCAATAGCAATGTCGAAAAACAATTTTAAAATGATCATATTTTTAGAATTTTTGATACGCAGTTCTGTGTGCTGGAGTTTAAAAATCCCCCCCCTTAGAGTGTTGCCATTGCTCGCTTTTAAATCGGCACGTTTGTTAATCAACAACTCGTAGAAGTTTTACAAAATATGAAATAGATAATAAAACATATTTCAAATTTGGGCTTTCAGATGCCCATATTTGCAGAAGGATTATATTTAAAATTGGATGGCTATAGGTACCATTGTTTTATAACAATGCGAGAAACATACATACATTTATGCAGATTCTTCATTATTTAATTTCTTCAAATATAATACAGGGTGATAGTATTTGGTGGCAATGATTTGAAAAGTGATATAGCCTTTTAAAATTTTCAACGCAAAATCTCAAAAACGAAAACAATAGGACAAAGCCCCTTTGAAATAAAATTATATATTCCTTTTATTTTAACAACAGCTGAATGTTATCAATTTTATTTAAAACTAAGAAAGTATTAAAATATCTGATTTCCCTGCCTGGAAGGATTAAAAATAACATTTAATTTTGAATACACGATAATTTATTTTGAAATAAAAGCATGTTCTAAAATAATTTTTTAATACTTTAAAATACTTTTTAATGACGGAAAGAATGAAAAAAGAAGGAAAAGGGAAACAGAAGAAAGAAATAAAAAGAGAGAGAAAGAAAGAGAAGGAAAAAAGAAAGGGAAAAGAAAAAATGCCAAAAAAATTATTATAATACATATAAAATAATATTAGAAGAAAAGTGTATAAACTCACCTTCTTTCTCTTTAACCTACTATTAGGATGTTCTCCATCACTATCTGATTCACTGCACAGTACATCTAATTCACTTTGTGAATCTTGAGACCTAGACTGTTTGGCTTCCATCATTTCATGATACAACACCATTGGGTCCCGGCAATTTGGAGAGCTAAAATTCCAAACAATGGTATATGAAATACAGCCAAATTAATACATACCCCAAGTACAACACATTTTTGTTGATCAAAATTTTAAAATTCCTCTGCATTTTGTTATTTCTTTAATTTATAGCAAAGATACATATATTATATTTATTTTATTTTTAACTGCATTTTCTATTAATGAATAAATAATAATTTTTAATCTAACCTGTATGCTTTGAAAATTTGTATACAGTTTTGTTTTTAAAATACTGAAATAAAAATTTTCATATGGTTTTGTTTTCAAGTACTGGATTATTTGCAAGTTTTAAATTATTTTGCTTTTAGTCTATTATTTTGCAATTTTTTACAATACAACTTTGGCCTCAAGGGGGATGGACTGACAAAGACAAAGATTACTTTTAATGTTTTCTAAGATTATTTTTAAACTTCAATTTGAGTCTTTTTCAATTCAGAAATAGGCTGTTTTATTTTTTTTATTTATCTATGTACTTCTTTTGTTGCACCAGTCCCCTGATGACGATGACAAAAGATGTAAATTTCACATTTTATTTTTGGTTTTGGCTTATTTAGCCTCCTTTGTAGTTTGAGCTTTTTGCATGCGATTTATTTCAAATTGAAATTTGAATGAATTTTTAGTATATTTTTTATTTTATTTTGCATTTTTATATACACTTTAATTTTGTATTATTTGTATTTCAACAGTTTATCACTTTTGCAAAGCAAATTTAAAAAGAAAAAAAAGGGGGGGGGAGTGTACAAGCAAATTCATTAAAACTCTTCCCACGTGTACGTGTAATTTTTAGGATTTTTTTTAATCCTACAAACATATGATGAATTATATGTCAAAAGAAGGAGAAAGAAAAAATACAACAGAGAAATGGAGGGGGGAAACTGTAGAATAAAACAAATATAGAAGGCTGTTAAATCAAATATTCTTAGCAGAAATTCGTATATTCATTATTCTAAAGACACAAATCTGTGTGAATTCATTATTTTTAGAAAAGGTATTTATAAAGATTTGATGCACATCTGAACTTTCAGAAGAATCAAGTTATGCCTCGTACATATTTTCTCATGTGTATCTTGGAAAATAAGCATGTTATTTTTAGCGTAGTGTAAAACAATGACAGCCAACGGATAGTCAGTAGGCAAACACTTTCTATTTTTCTGTGGCACAATACAGACTAACAAAATTTATTATTACCGAGCATGAATTTTCAAATGTATATATATTTACATAATTTTAATCATCCTAAAACTTTCTTTATGATTTAAATGCCAACAGCTATCTTTCAAAACTGACTTCATTGAACTTCAACACATGAGAACCCACTTCTCAAGCATATGTAAGACATTCTAGCTTTACAATTTATAGACATAAAATTTTTCTGAAAAGATTATTTTTCTGGTTTTTCAATATGCTGTTTTGGATTTCTTTGTGAAAGTCTACCTTTTGTCTCAGGACTAATTCTACTTGAAAACTCTTTATAACGACAATTATTTTAAACTAGTGGTACAATAATCTTGAAATAACTGACATTTAATACTCTAGAACAGGGATTCCCAACCCTATGCCTGAGGGCAATATGGCACCTGTTGATCGTTTAACATGTGCCTGCCACTGTGATATCCCAATAAAAGTGTTTTAGTTTTCAATAAAACTCCATGCGGAATTTTTCTCATTTTTAATGAAATAGAAATTGCGTCCAATATGGATATCATCTTCTGCATTAATGCACCAGTTGCATTATCAGTGTATCATTTCTTTTAATGTATAAGTGTTTATTGTTTGCCTATCTCATTAACCACTTAGACTAATATACATATTGTTATGAAATGTACAGGCGCGGTAAGATGGCTTCCCCCCAAAGCAAGTTTAGGTTTGCCATAAAATAGCAAGAGAAGGCAGGGTTGCCACATTTGGCGATATACCATGGACGGAACCTTCTGGAACGAATTCTTAACGGTTTAGCCCAGAATGTTCTCGAACACAAGCCGAAAGCTATATAAACCCTGCTGGTCTGCAGTCAGTGAGTGTGTCTCGTTTGCGAGTCAATTCCTGTGAAAGCGATCGCGTTGACAGCCAGCCAGCAAATGCGGAGTGGGTCGTCGAGTGCACCGAAAGAGTCTCGTTGAGTATCGCAGTTACTGCATCATCGAGAAAGCATGTTGAGCTCCAGAAAAGACTGAACCTAGAGTCAGGAGCTGTGCTTTGTCTGTCGTTGAATGCATGGCAAGTTGTAGCGTGGAGAGTCTCGAGAGTACGTGGAGTTCCAAGAACGACCAAGCAAAGTCGGGAGCTGTACTCCTGAAAGCAGAGTCGGGTGCTTTGCAGGAAGCTGTCTCCACCATGATAGCCTGATAACCTGAAGGCTGTGTCACTGATTCTGTCAGCGTGTTTATAGTAGTTCATCGACGACTGTAAAACGTGTTTTGGAGCTGTCCTGACAACATTGTCTAAATAAAGTGTGTTTCGATATTTCATCAAGTGTCGTCATTATTTACTCCAAATCCACGAACCCCGTACGAACGCGAAGGAAGAAAATAACATAACAACTGGTGTCAGAAGAATTAGAAATTACGCAACAATATAATATCCAATGTACCTATGTATGAAACTTTTAATTAATTGTATTATTGAAACATATATGCACACACCCTTATTTGTCCATGACAAAACCTCATATTCTCCATTAATATATTCCCGATGCAGCCTCGCAGGAAGCCGCGAGAGTTGTGTTGTTCTAGATGGTTGCAGATACCGGACGACACCCGATTTGTCATATTAAGCCGTGCAGGTGTCCGGGCCCTGCATTCACCTGCCCAATACGGATACCAACACAAAGCGAAATGTGAACAATCTCTTTTTTGTGTGTGCATTATCTCTATCCAATTATAAATTCGCCTTGAAAAAATAAATGGTACTCGCCATCCAAATTCTAGAACATGCACCTAGGAACAAAATGGTTGAGGGCCCCTGCCAGCCACAGAGGTAATTATTGGCTTTTCTAGAGATGTTTATCCTGAAAAACCTACTTATTACAAAATAAATCCAAATCTTAAAATTTCTATCTTAGAGGTATAAAACATAACACCAGATCTTTTAACTCCATATTCCCCCTCCCCCAACAAAACAGGAAAAAGGTGAAACCTTATAAGGTATTTCTCCCACCTTCTATATAGCATGCCTTCATGGCATAGTGGTCTTAGCATGCCTTTATAGCATAGTGGCCAGCAGACTGGGAGCATTTTCCAGAGGCCCGTGGTTCAATTTCCGGCAAAGGTGTTGCTAATTTTTCACTTCTTCCTGTTTCTAAAATAACCTAATGTCTCCACAAGCTAGCAAGCCAAATCAAATTTCTTATAAATCTTCATGTACCACAATTTGTTTGGATGCCATCAAACTTTTTATTAAAAACCAATTTCTAAAACTTGAATTAATTTTGCAATAATAAAACTTGTGCACTTTGCGATAATAACTTTTTTGTTGTTATTTAATCTATATTAATGATTTTATCCTCCCTATAAAAAACAGTTATTAAATGTACATATATTTTATATATATATTTGCTATTAAATATCCTGTACAATTAGTTGATAAAATAACAATACTAAAAATCAATTACTTAATATTTAATGTGTAAACTTACTTAATAAACTTCAAGCATAAATCCACAACACATTTTGCCTGCTTCACAATACGACTGGTGGGTTCATTAAACTTTTGAGCATTAATTTCTATATATTGCACATCAAACTTTACAGCATCCAAGCGCCTGTAAATTGTATTACATTAGACTTACTGCAGCTGTACAGTAAATATTTAAAACAATCATCATTATTTATTCATATAAAATACATAATAGCCTTTACCAATAATATTTTAAAAAGCTCAATCACCACTTCCTTTACATGATGGAAATTCTTAAACTCTTTTCCACTTTCTTACATGATGAAGACTGCAAACAAAATTTATGGAGTGAATTCCGCACCTAAGTACTATAATATAAATTATTATTTCACCTATCTTATGATAAATGAAATTCTTTCCTTATTTTCCTAAGTCATTTTCTTTAATAAAAATGCGTTAAAATAAGCTTTTATACATTTATGTAATAAGTTATTTTTAGTGCTGAAAAAAATCCTTTTATTTTAAACATTTGATATAAATATATACATACTTTTCAATTAAAGCCATACAAAATATTTTAAAATTTTGTGCAGCGTTTCAGCATTAGGTGCTGTGGTTTGGTTTGGCTTCTTTCCTTGTGATAATTGCCAAAATTTATCACCAGGCAAAAAAAAAAAAAAAAAAAAAAAGGCTAAATGAATGTGCCAATATGGTGCAGAAAATGCATGGTATGCTTATAATAGAAGTATGCATTTATATATAATAAAGCAGATGGAATTTTATACTTTAAAAAGTATTTATAAAATTTAAATATACAAAATAAATTTCATATTTGAAACTCTCCTGAAACTTTTTCCGTAGTATTTTAGTTTTGAGTGACTGTGTTAGCTTAAAAATCTGGTACTTTAATAATATACTTTAAAAAAATAGTATCATTTAGAATGCAGATCTTAAATGCATATGCTCCTAGACATAATTTCTAATTCAGTTACAAAGTTCCATTCTTCAAAGTCTAAAATGCAGATATGTTTGGTATGCAAATTTAAAATATCAAAATAAGGATTAGGATTAGGATTATTCAGTTATGGTAAAGCACACGAGGGCTATCTGCCTAAAGGGAGGGATGCCTTCGTGGAGGACTTTTTAAGGGATACTGGCTCGTATACACGTTACACATGGGGAAAACCACGAAAATGCCCATGCAGCCAGCCCGTTCGCGAGTTTCGAACCTCGACCAACTAACTACCAGTTCACCAGTGCTTTACCGTCTTTACCGGCTCGGCTTTTGGCCCGCTGGTGGGCCATCAAAATAAGAATACAGTCAAAACTCTTTAATACGAACTCGTCGGGACTTCAGCGATTCCGGATTATCGATTTTTCCAGATTATAGATCATCAGTTTAAATCTGGTAAGATAGCATGCAGAAATTATAAAATTAAAAATATGAAACCGTAATTTATAAAATGAAGAACAATTATGATCTAAACGGTATCAAAATTTACAAAAAAAAGCTTAATATTTATTTGTTTACTTTATTAAATATTTCTTTCAATGTAAGTTGTTTAAGTTGCGTCGTTTTATGTGATAATACTTTCTCTTTAATTCTATAAACAGACATAATTTCTTGTTCAGTTACAAAATTCCGCTGTTCAACTCCTATAATTGCTGTGTCGTGAATAACGACTAATTTGTCAATCGAAATTTTTCGTTTTCAATAACCTCTGTGTCACTTTCTTCACTATCAGAAGCGAATTATAATGACGAGGAATTTGATTTAAATCATAACAAAGATGGAGTACATCAAGATGAAATACTACATTTAGTAAGAAATTATAAGCCAAATAAAGTAAAAACACCTGCCCTAAAGATAATGATAGTGCTGACAGATCAACTTCCAATTCACTGCACATCGCGACGCATTATGCATTGACGCATGCGCAGAAAGTTTGTAGCTTTGAGGTCCGGATTATAGATTATTCCGGATTATGGGTGTACGGATTAACGACTTTTGACTGTATATATTTGAGAAAGAGAACTTGACTAAAAATCTGTTTTCCCAAGCTTCTTAAACCAGACTTAATTTAATTGAAAATACACAAATTCAGATTACTTTTTTAAACATTCACAGAATACAACAGGCTCTTTTATAAAAAATCATTTTATGCTTCTGAATTCACATAACAAGAATTTAAAGTAGTCAGTCTACTCATTTGCTGAAATTTTACACTGTCCTAGAATTATTTTAAATTATGCAAAATACAAAAGAAAGAAAAATAAAGGAAAGAAAAAATCTGAAAGTTTCCAGATTTTATATTATATCCAAAGGGGCTTTTTTAACATGTTTGTGTATTACCTTTATTAATTAAATATCATGTTCTTTGATCTTAAAACATAAAATTCAATTCAACAGCAATATTACAAAATATTTAAAAAGAACATATTTTTAGAATTTCCGGCACACAATCTCATGTGCTGGAGATAAAAATGTTTTTTATTCCCCCTTTACGATTTTTTATTTCCCCAACGATTTCAAAGCGAGCTGTGTCGCCACTGCTTGCTTTGAAATCATTGAGTTTGTTTCATAAAAGTTTCACAAAATATGAAATACATAATAAAGCAAACTCCAAATTCGGGTTTCCAGATTGATCACATTCGAGGGGAGGATTATGTTATTCAGAATTTGATATCTATAGGTATGGTTGTTTTTTCACAATGTGAGAAACCTACATACATTCATGCAGATTCTTTATTATTTAATTTATTAAAATATAATAGAGGGGTCTAATATTTGGTGGCAACAATTTGAAAAATAAAATGCTGTTTTATAGCGGGGAGAGACAAAATGCCAAAACAATATAAATAGCCCTTAAGGGCAAATTGCCCTTGTGGGCTTAAAAAAAATATGAATTGGCAAAATGAAGAATTCATCAACAAGAAAAAAGGTATACCTGTAGAAACGATTTTGTGCCCTTGCTCTGATTGTTCCCAAATCCATAGGATATTCCACTACAATAGCATAGGTAGGGTACAAATTCAAATCCACTGGCGCAACAAAAGGCTCCGCTATAGACAACTCCATTATCCTGGTGAGACCCCGGACTATTCTATCACAGTCTTGATCTCGACCATAAGATGACCATTCATGTGGATCTGGAACATACATCATTGCTATACGCTCCTCAGGTGTAATTTCCACACTACCTCCCTCTTCGTTCGGTAAACCTAAAAGTAATAATAAATAACATAGCAATGCAATATTAAATGAGTGATGAATTCGCTATAAATAAATTTTTTTAAAAAAATCATTATACTCTTGGAATATTTTATAGTTAACCCAATGCATTTCACCTTGTAGAAAGGCATTTTGCCAGATATATACCATCAAATTGTATAAAAAAGGATACTAGAAGACAGCGTTGTTGACATGCATAAAATAGTGATGGACTGTTGCCAATAGCGTGATAAACATTATGAACTGGAAACCCTGCAAAGGAGTTAATTGTGTAACTCGTTTTTTCCTTACTTTTACTTTTCTCACTCCTATTGGAAAGGACAGTGATATGACACTCTCTATTATATAACTCCCTTTTGATATATATTTGAATACTAACAAATCTTAATCTATTTTCATATGTAAATAAAAAAAAAAAATGTGTTTCAGTTATAATTTCCATATACAACCTCTTTTTGGATTACAAGTTAATTAGCCATGATCTTGCTTGACCCTGCACTGGCTACAAGGTAAGAGGAATCAATCTGCTCTCTACTTTTATTAATTTTGTTGTGAAATTTTCGAGGCTACAAAAACGTTTTACAACAAGCAAGCTATGTGTTGCACCGCAAAAGAAAATAAGTAAAGAGACTGAAACAAATAAAGCAACATTTCTATTAATATACTTAATTAAAAATTAAATTCACCTAAAATTAAAAATATTGAGTGCATTTTTTAACTAACAAATTATGTCCACTGAAGTCACATGCGCTGTATTATACATAATTTGAAACTACAAAAAGCAATTAAAATCCTAGTATTATTTAAAAGCTGTAGTTAAAAATGTAAATAGTAATAAATGTTGACAAAGAAAATAATAACAATAATAAAATAATACAAAATAAAAAAATAGGAAAGCTTTCAGATTTTATATTATGCCCAAAGGGGCTTTTTTTAACATTTTCTGTGTTACCTTTATTTGTTAAATATCATGTTTTTCACATCTAAAGCATAAAATTCAGTTCAATAGCGATATTGCAAAATAATTTTAAAATGAGCATATCTGTTGAGATCTAACATAGAGGGTATTGTAGCACCCCTCAACTGTGTGAGAAAAATTTCGATTTGAGCGAGAGTTGGCGCGAGTTTTGAGAATGTAGTGTGAAGAGCTGTGTAACGTGTATTTGCTATGTAACTGTACTATACAAAATAATGTACATAATTAAATCTGTTTACTTAAAATGTGGAGCAATTTTAAAGGAGTATACTTCACGATATCTTTAGAATTTCCGACAGACAGTTTCTCACGCTGGAGATAATTTTTTTCATAGGCTGCCATCGCTTGCTTTTAATCGTTGAGTTTGGTAATCAAAAATTTGTTTAAAGGTTTACAAAATATGAAATAGATAATAGTAAAACAAATTCCAAATTAGAACTTCCAGATGTCCATATTCAGTGGATGATTACATTATTCAAAATTTGATGGCTCTAGGTACCATTGTTTGATCACTATGCGAGAAAAACATACATACATTTATGCAGATTCTTCATTATTTAAAGTGTTTAAATATAACACAGGGCGATAATATTTGGAGGCAACAATTTGAAAAGCAAACCGACATTTATAGTGAATCAACGCAAAATGCCAAAACGAAATTAATAGCCCTTCTGAGCTAACACCCTTTAGGCTAAAAAAATCATCCCTTATTCAAAACCAGAAAATATGAAAACTCAGCAGTACACAGAGGGTTTAAGGAATGCCAGGTGTAGCTGCTATGAAACACTTTTATATAGCCTGATAGAACTCTATTGAAATTCCTATAGACTTTACAGAGGAATCTATTGATCCTCTATTGTTCCTATAGAAATGCTTCACCATAAATTTCAACAAAATTTTATAGGTAGTCAACAAATCATTTTATAGGTTATCAACAAATTTTTCTAGAATGGTATATTCTAAAGAAATATTCTTAGTTTTCAGACTGTAATCAAAGCAAATAGAAAAGCAAAAACAAACACTTTTCATTCAGAGTGCTGAATAATTTTAATTCAAAGTTTTGCCTTTTTCTACAACCTGACATTTTTTAGCTTTTAAATTTAAGTTGCAATGTTTTGTATAGTATTGCATATATAATATAAAACATACATCTTGTAAAATCATAAAATCAATTTAAATAGTAAAATTAAGTACAAGCGACTACATTTAAGTTTTAAAAGTTTAATTCTGAAATCAATACTTTTAATTACTCATACATACCCCTGATAAAAAAAAACTGTTTCTTAATTTTAATTATAAACAACTACTATTTAAAAGTGCATTTATTCGAATACTTTTAAATAAAGTGACATTGAATTTTTTTATTACAAAAAATGATATTTGTTCTGAAAGCTAACCCTTTTCCCAAATCACAGATCTTTTTAAAATTTAGGTTAAAAAATTCTATTCAAAAATGAAAATTTAATTCATTCTTTAATTCATTTAATTCATAATCCCAAGTGCAGATTTCATCGATTTTATAGTGCTTTTAAATACTCATAAGCTTCTACAGAAATCTTTTATAAAACACTAAAGAAATCAGTCTTGTTTAGAATTTTTTAGAGTTAGGCCTAATTTTCAATAAACTATATCTAATAATTTCAGAAAAATTCTATTAGCTGATTCTGTACATATTATGTAAGACTTTACATGTGGGACATTTGAAAAATTACAAATTTTTATAGAACCATTGCACAGATCTTTATAGAATCTCTAAACCACACAGTGGCCTAATAGCAAATTGAGCCATAATTCTAAAGAAGTTTAATACTGGATTTTTTTAAACAGAATTCTATTCTACGTCCAAGCTTAATTAAAAAAATAATAAATAAGAGAGAGAAAAGACAAAGATTTCTGGTAATCTAAAGGTCCAGATTTTAGATCACTCCAGATATTTGGATGTCCATATTTTGGACTTCGTACTAGATGTTTTTCTGCAATCGTGTGTGCTGCTATATTTGCTTCTATGGCAATAATATCAAAACTGTAAATATTCTTTAATAGGTACAAGTAGAGTGCCAAGTGAATTGTGGACACAAAATGGGAATTTAAATAAAAAAGGAATTTAATCCAGCTCGACTGCTTCTTCTTCAAAAATGGATGGATGCTCTAAGCACCAAATATCTATGCAATCAGCATTTCTACGCATTTACGTCTCAGTGTTCTTATTTCAGTGCCTCCAAAAGTGTTCTGTGATTACATTCTTCAGTCAGTTCTAATTATGAAGAAATCTGCATGGGTTTGTTATTCTGTGTTCACTGTGAATCATGGGAAAAGTTCTGTTTCACCGAAAATTTTAATGCAATTTAGTGCCACATTCTCAATCAAATGATTCATGTTGTGTCACCGAACCAGTTTCATTACATATATGTATATAAATTAATTTACTAAATAATATTGATTATATTATCTCCTAATAAGAAGCATAATAATACGTATAATAAGAATTTACTCACGTGCATTATCGATAGGCTCAAAATCCCAAGGACTCATATGTTCCTTTTCTCCATTATCCCATTTTACAAGAAAACACTGAAACATCGAATCGGGAAAATTGAGATTCAAAGGCTTTTGGGATTTTATTGTTCCCAGCCACCATGCTTTATCAATTGCAGACCTAAATCGATCACCTATAACAACAAAAAAAGTTTTAAAAAAAAATGCAAAAACAAAATAAAAACTTAATTTTCAGTTACTCCATATTTGCAGTTTAAAAAAAAAAAAAAAAATCATGATTCAAGCATGAACTTAAAGCATTGAAAATTCAAACATAAGTTTTTCTTCCACGCTCCCTTGTTTTTTATTTACTGTAATACTCAAACATGTAGTTTAGATTACATTTTCACACTTGACAACCGACACACAGCAAAGAGAAATTATAAAATTTTAAAGAAAAATATTAATATAAAACTACTGTTTCCTTAAAAAGGAGGCATTTCTTCTTATAATTTAATTTTATTTAAACTTGACAATTCACTACATATTTACAATGTAGATTTTGCACACATAATTTCAAACTTCTTGAAAATTTTCAATTTATCAATCACTGTATAAGGTATTTCTCCCGTCTTTCTAGCGTGCCTTCGTGGTGTAGTGGTTCTGCACACTGGGCTAGTATTCCAGAGATCCATGGTTTGATTGCTCATTTTTCATCTTGCTTGCTTCCAAAATACCTCATGTCTCTACAGTGGTGCCCAAACTAAAAGGGTGTTGGATTATGATTCTCCTCACCCAGGATTTGGCGATTGAGCCCCCATAAAACCACAGTCATCCTTTAAATGGGGAAGTATATAAGGTATTTCTCCCACCTTCCTAGCGTGCCTTCGTGGTGTAGTGGTTCTGCACACTGGGCCAGTATTCCAGAGGTCTGTGGTACAATTTCCGGCGAAGGCGACTGCTTATTTTTCATCTTGTCTGTTTCCAAAAAATACCTAATGTCTCTACAACTGAAAGAATAGGGTTCTTAATGGGGAAGAAAAGCTGAACTTCACAATTCCAGGAAGAATTTCACCAGACAGATTCGCAATATAACAAAAAGCTCACATTAAAGACTAACTGGAGCAAGATTGAAATCATGTGACTTGAAAATATCAAATGCTGAAAATACCAATGCATACACACAGTAAAATATAACAAAAAATAAAAATAAACTTATTTATATTTATTAATTTATATGCTATTAAATATGCAACTAATAAGCATTTATTAAATGTCAAACACTTTTAACATACTTTTACAAGAAAATATAATATTAAAATTTATATATATATTATTTGAGATTAATTAAATAACCTTAAATAAGATCATTTTCAAATTCATATATTGTTTTCTTGACAGATCATTACTCTGTCAAGAACATTACTCTGTCATTTTTTTACTCATGTCTCTCTCAGTATTTAGTCTTAATTTAAAAGAGAAAAAAAAAAAAAGAATTAAACTATATTTTAACAAGTTTCTCACTGAACCATCAAAATTATCAAATTATTTTGACATCAAAATTAAATAACCTCTAATAGGAAAAAAAAAAAAAAAAAAAAAAAAAAAAAAACGAAAGTTATTCAAAATATTGTTAGTTTTAATTTTAAAAAATAACCATTATGAGTTCATTTGCAAAAAATCAACAAAATATACTGCAATTTTCCCCATTATTCTGTAATATCGAAAGGCCCCAGCTTGTCAGCAACTGTGGTAGTGACTGCTACTAAGTGTGAATTTACACAGAAACATAAGAAGGGTTTAAAGCCCTTTTTATTCAACTTTTAAAATAACAGATGCGTCCACTTGACGTTCACAAACTACGCCGACCCCGCTTTAACTGAAACAGAATGTAGAACTGAAAAATAATGACTGGATGAATAAATAGGGAGATCACTATCCAGGAGACTCTGAGATCTTAAACAAACCTAACCGTGTTCTAAATTACTGATGAGATTCAGCGCGCTTACTAATTAAGCAGTTGAGAGATCTAGCAAAATCTGCCGAGATAGGCACACAGGCCGACACACGTGATCTAAATTTCTACCGAGCAACATTCACGTTCACGATTCAAGAAGCACACCTACAATCTCGTTTCCCTTCTATTTAAACTCAACTTACTTCCACTAAATTTGAATATACTGCGCTCTTTACTACAATTTACATACTCTAGCATTGCCAATTCTAGGGGAAAGTAAAGGCTAGACAGGAAAGATAACTTAAAATAAATGTTAGTTAAAATAAATATAAACTCTACAACTCTCTTAAAACCTTTTAAATACTTTCTAGAATTAATGACAAAATCTAACTTTATCAACCACCAGCATTCATATGTTAACAATGACCATTCCACAAAAAGCTTTATTCAAAAGTAGTATTTGAATAATATTGTTACGAATTTGGTATTTAAAAAGCTAATGTTAGTTCAATTATAAATTAAATGGTTTTATTTCTCGCGCAGTGCAGTGCGTGACGAATATTAAAAAAAAGCTAACCCAGAAAATTGAAAATACAAGAGCGCGTGCATTAAATAAATAAATATCTCTTTTTGATTTCGAGAAAGTACTGGAAAATTCTAGCGCGTGATTTTAAAATAATATAAAAGGAGGAAAAACATCTCAGTTTGTAGTAGTTGCTTAGTTTGTTGTTGTTTAGAAAAATGCTCTTGTTGATTGTAGCGAATTTGCGATTAGCGTTCTTTAGCTGTTTTGAATTACATTCTATTGGACATTTGAGTAGTTAAAAGATAACTACTGTGAGATATTGTAATACTGCATGATAATTTGAGAAAATTTAAGCATTTTTGTTGTGATAATAATAAATTTTTGTTCATTTTTCATCGGACTTGTGCATTCATTTCATAACGAACCCGTACGCACGCAACAATATGAATTTTTTTTAAATGAAAATAACTGAAGAATAAATTACCTGGTTTCCAGTCATAGTACATTGCTTGATCATAGTTCTGCTTCAGCACAATAAAATCAATAACATCTGCCATGTCATGGTATTTAACTGTAAAAGTATCGTTTTGTTTGGATGCAGGATTTAAAAGCACCAGCTTTAAACAACAAAGGCGAGGAGGATGATTTTCAAAAGTCATGTCTTCAATCCTTGCAATTTCTTGGTCCTGAAATTATTTTTTAGAAACATTATATTTATATCTAATAAAAATTAGCAACATACAGTTAAACCTCTATTAATAAGTACCCCATTGTAGTGGATATTTCCTTTAATGGACAGTTTCTAAATCACTAGACTCTCATTTAACTCTTTAAGTTCGGTGCATAAAAAAAAATTTTTTTTTGGAAAAAAATAACTTTAGATAACTAGCCCCTAATACAATGTTATTTAATGTCCCCCCCCAAAAAAAAGGTAAAACTTTTAAGGTAATACATGACATGGTGGGATACCGCTTATCCCACCACACACCTAGAGCAGTAAAATGGCATCTTTGCCACAGCATAAATTCTCCTAACATGCTTATCTAAGGTGCTAGTTTTAACAACCAAATGAAAATTCAAAATATAGAGAAAGCTTTTGAATAATTAAAAAAATTAGAAAATATTTTTTTCAAAACAAATTACATAATTTGTTTTAAAAAAAATCGCTCTCAACTTTTAGATATTTTTTAACGATTTCACAATAAATTTGAAACAGACAAGATTTTCGCTCCAGTACTTTATTTGCTACAGGTTTGAAAAGGAAGATATTTAGAAGGCTGTCATGATTTACATTTCACCTTTCCTCTGCTAGGATATTTTTCTATGGTGAATCACACTTACATATCTCAATGACATTTCATGTTACAGAATTATATTTTCATTTTTTTTTTTTTTTTTTTTTTTTTTTGGAAAAAATACTAAATATTTTTCAACATGACACTTGAATTTAAAAATATTTTAATGGTGCTGCCATCTAGTAGCAATAATTCCTACATGCGCAGTGGGACGCATTTTGTCCCACCTTTTAATTTCAACCATTTTTAATTAATATATATGAATTCAAAGAATAATTTTTTTAGAAAAGGAAACTTCCACATAAAAATATTTATTCTAACACCAGAAGTTGTTCAGACGATTTAAATTGCATTAGAAATAAATATTTAAAAAAAAAAAAAAAAAAAAAAACTGCTTCAAAATTAGATCTGCAAAGAATTTTTATTTTACATTATTTCCATTAATGAATACTAGTGCTACTATCTGTTATATATTTAAAGAACTAAAAGGTGTAATTGTATGTACTTAAATGGAATTTTGCAGCTTTCATCTGGGAGATAAAAACTAGCGTCCCACCACCCGTCAAAGGATTAAAAGGCCAACAGATTCCCATTAACCCCCCCTAACAAATTCATTCCAAATTTGCCTCATTTTCCCTCCCTAGTAATAGACAAAAGCCAATCACAGGAAGTTCCACTGTGTTCAAAAATAGAAACATTCAGTTATTTAAAAAATAAATAAAAAATATACGAGATTGCTTTTAAAGCCATAATGCCCTACATTTTCAATTTGCAAAAACTGCCTTCTTCAGAAAGATATTTTCAAAATATTTAAAGAAATCCACAAAGGTTATTACCACATGAAATGTTTCCAACTTTTAAGTATTTGTTAAATGCAAAATAGTCCCCCCTTTTGCTTAATTTCATTAAACCTTCATGACTTTTTGGATCTGCTCAAGAAGAATTGCACACATTTAGTCACGCCATTCAGGGAACTCAAAAGCCACTGAAGATACAGTTTAACAACTGACTTACATATAGGTAGTCAAATAGGGAAACTTTTGTTCTGCACGTTCTATACTTTTCCAAAAGAAAATACTTACTCTAAACAGTGAAGAACTTTTTTATGTACATATTTGTGGGGAAGGGGTGTTTATACAATCATAAAATTTTTCATTATAACAATTCATAAGTAACTTCAAAAGAGTAAAAAGAATGTTGCTTTGAAATCTTTAAAATAAACTCAATTCATTACCCTTAAGTTAATTTTTCTCCATGGCTGACTTCTCATGTATATGTCATATATTCTATTCCGTTTTACAGCCTGGACATACAGTTCATGACCTTGTCTAAAATATACAATTTCATCGCCTATCTGAGGTACATATGGTGCTTTATGAGGTGTCACATCCGTTAACCATTCAGGAGGACGGAACCTTTCTGGAAGCTTTTTGCCATTAACCTAAAAATCAGAGAAATCCATTTAACGGCAGAACATTTTTCAGACACTCTGAAAATAAAGTAGAATTTTTTAAAAACTAAACAATAACAAAAAGAAACTCACAGCAGTTTTCTTCATTGATGGTTTCTTTTTAATTTCTGGCCTTTTTCTGTGTTTTTTCTTAGCAGCAGAATCGGTTGCCGATGCCTCTTCTTCATCCTCTTCCTCACCCTTCTCTTCTTCAGATTCTTCCTCAGATGAAGTTACCTGTCTACGAGTTCTTCCTGATCTAGCAGACATACCAGATGTAGACGGCTTGGAACTAGGTTTCGCAGCAGGTCTTTCGTTTAATCCGACATCTTCTATCCAATCCGAATATTCTCCAGAATTACTATAAATAGTAATAAGCATAATAGGATTCATCATCAACTGTAGATTCAGTTGAATAACTGTATTTTCAAAATTTATGACAGTTACTTAGGCAGGATCCCCTGCATTTATAAATACATCTATGAATTATATGTAATTTGCACATTCAATTTTAATTTAATATAGATATTTATATTTACATTAATATTAATTTATAAAAAATACAATTTTATATTTATTACATTTAGTTGTTGTAATAATAACTAAAATCAACTGTAAATCTAAAAACTTCAGCAATTCAAAATGAAATTACATAAGCAAATAATAATATTTTCATAATCACATAACAATAACTAATAAAACAAATACATAAATGAAAATAACAGCAAATCAAAACTAAATTACATGATTGCACATGAACGTACTAAATTACATAATTAAATAAAAGACGTGTGCTATGTAACATGACAGATAAATTATTTTTTGACAGTTATACTGGTACCTGACATAATGATGACAAAAATTGCTTATTTAAGTATTTAAGAAAACAGGTTTTTATTGGCTGCATCACATTCAATATTCTTTATCCTTTCATTGTTCAATTAACACATCTTGAGGAGCACATTGTTATTAAAGCATGGACATGACAAAACTTGAATGATTAAGGATTATTGGTGGATTATTGCTATCAGCAGGTTTTTTCAGCTATAAAGTTACTTTTTTTACAATAATTTTAATTCTTTTGCAATAAATACTTAAAAATGGACCATAATAAAATAGAAAATTATGATAAAGAATTTTTCCTGCAAAAATGAGCTTACGATGATTCGAGTGACAACAAAAATATACCATGTCCTAGGATTTTTTTCTGACCAAGAACTTCAAGCCTGGATTCAGATGATTCTTTTTTCTGAAGAAAAATGGTCATCAATAGACAATCATCCACCAGTCTTGGAACAGCTTTTATGCCACTCAATAAAACGTTTTGGGTAGTGTAAAGGGAGCTGCAGCTCCAACTATGCTTTTTTTTTAAATTCCTTGTATAAGAATAAAATAGATATTATTACCAAAATGTTGATAAATTCACAAATCCCGAAAAGGCCTCAAATGGAAAGACATTACAATACCAGACATGAAGAAATTTCTGGGAGCTTATTCTTTTTACAGGACAAGTGTGTAAGACCAAAAATTAGACTACTGAAGCACAGTATATTCCTACTGTGTATAAGAACACCAATTTTTCTAAAAATAATGACAAGAGACAGATTGCATCAATTATGGAAAGGCCAGCACTTCAATAATAATAAAGACCTGGATGATGGATCAGATATGCTTTTGAAAGTTAGACCACTACTGAATTACTTTTTTCCAAGTTTATAAATGTTTATAAGGTTATTTAGCAACTGTCTTTAGAGGTGTTCTTGGAGAGAGAGATTATTTTCCACAGTTTATACTACAGGTATGTTCGTAAACTATGGAATTCTCATTTGCAATGTGTGTGAAAGTACTATAGGTTACATATGTAATTTTAAAATATACTGTATTCAAGGAAAGCTAGTGTTAGAAACAAATCAAACGGTTGCACCACCTTACACAGATTTGTAGCAACATTTCTACATAGGTAACTATCGCAATAGCGGGGAACATAGTGAAAAGCTGTTACAAAATAAAATTAGAAATTGTGTCCCTATTCAAAATAAATTTAAATAAAATATATTTTAATATACAACATTTTAATTTAAATATATATTAAAATATATTCATTTTAATATATTTTAATATATAACTATATTTAAAATATATTGTGTTCAAGGAAAGCTAGTACTGGAAGCAAATCAAATGGTTGCACCACCTTACACAAATTTGTGGCATCATTTCTATATAGGTAACTATCGCAATAGTGAGGAAAATAGTGAAAAGCTGTTACAAAATAAAATTTGATATTGTGGCCCTATTCAAAATAAATTTAAATAAAATATATTTTAACTATATTTTATAGATACGGATTGCCTGAAAACAAATTTCACTAAAATGCGCTTTAAAAAAAAAAAAAAAAAAAAAAGATATACTTAAGTACAAATGTGGAAATAAGAAAAACGGTGTATCTCTCATATCTATAACCGAATCATTTAAAATGAAAGATAGGCACAATATTGATAGAAACACCAGGGGAAAAATATGATACCCTGACTGACTATAATAAGGCAGATGAAAGATGTTTACTGGGCTCACCAATTTCTATCATATTACTCCATTCTAAGATAAACAGACAAAAATGTTGTTATGTACCTTATAAACTGTGCATTATTCAACTCATTTGTTGTTCATAATTCCATGAAGGAAAAGAAGATATAAAAATGTTTTTATTATCATAGCAGTCCATTAGCCATCAGATGAAATTTCACCAGAAGTTGTTCAAGACCCAGAAAAACCAATAACATTACCACTTGGCATTAAAAAAAAAAAAAAAAAAAAAAAAAAAAAAAAAAAAGAGTTCGATTCTCCGGGAAACTTTCCTTGAGAAACCATACATCAGGACCCATCGTTGGAACTTTGGGGGGGGGGGATATTTTGAAACAATATCTATTGTGCTTTGTCAAGAAAATACCCAGTGTGACTCGGTATATGTGTAAAATTTGCAATGTACCCTTGCACAAAGTAAAGTACTTTGAAAGATAAACACTTTAAAAGATTATTAAATTTCTTATTGTTGAGAAAGTGTTTCTATTTTTTTAACTCTTTAACGAACAATGATTCTGCCATGAAGCAGAAGTAATTTTGTACAGACTGAAAAAAAATTGCCTGCTACATGGTAAAGAGTTTTAAGATGAGTATACCCACTTAACATGTGTGTAAAATGCATATGTGTAAACCCACTTGAGATGTGCTAACACAAGATGTAATTTGGTATGCCTACTTTTAACATGATTGCACAATCCAATATCTATGTTGATCTTGAGTGTGACACTTTGAGAATATATCTACAAGACATGTAAATTCTACGCAATGCAATTAAAAATAGAGCATTTAAAAACTATTACAAACTAGTAGATAAACTCAAGACTGCCACTGAAAACAACCACAAAAAAGGAGAGGAGCTGCTGAAAGAAAAATGTTCAGGATCTGCTTGTGTCAATGCTGCATCTGAAAGCAAACACAAACAACTTCCGTCATAGGCAAAGTGATTTTTTGATCACCTGCATAGCCCTTAATCTTCGGCTATCAACATCAGTCTTTCTCCTCTATGAATCTCAACCACTCAATACACTGTATAACACATTTTATTAAAGATTTTTTAACAATTATTACACATTTTGGCATTCTCTTACAACTTACTAACTACAGTGGAACCTCAAGATATGAGCACCTCTATATATGAGAAATTCGAGGCATGAGGAAAGTATGAGCAAAAAATTTCCTCTCTAAATACGAGCATTGACTCAAGTAACGAGCCAGGCTGTTGGTATGCTAGGCACAAGGAATTCCCTCATCAGATCACTCAGTGTTTTTTGACCTACATGTTCGTGTGCTTGTGAGTTAATTGTTTTTTTACAATTAATGTGAAAATAATTATTTTCTGGAAGGAATTTCAGTTTCTAAAAGCCAAGTTTCTTCCTCCCAACACCACTCCACTTCTCCAGCCTATGGACCAGCAAGTTCCAACTTTAAGAAGCTGTACATGAAGGCCTTGTTTCAAATGTGTTTAAGTGACCGAAAATACAAACCTGACCCTCAGAAAATTTTGGAAAGATCACATCAACATCCTAAATTGTTTAAACCTTATTGATAATGCTTAGGAAGAAGTCTCAGTGAGGACACTGAATTCAGCATGGAAACTATGGCCTCAGAATATTCCTGACTTGGGTTTCAATCCTCAACTTGTGAACAACACAGTGCAGCTAGTCGAAGAAATTGTATCTCTGGGGAAAAGTATGGGTCTGGATGTGGATGGTGATGATCTGAATGAGTTAGTGGAGGAGCTCAGTGAGGAACTTACAACAGACAAACTTGAAGAACTTCACAAGGAGCAGCAGCGAGAGGTGGTGAGAAGAGCTTTCATTAGGAAAGGAGAGAATAGGAGATGAGGGCCTCTCTACCACTAAGATTAAAGAAGTGTTAGCAAAGTGAGAAGAAGTGAAAACTTTCTTCTTTGAAAAACTAATAAAGCAGTGAGTGAGAGCCCCATGAACTTGTAATGACAATGTAGTGTCGCATTTTAGAGGTTAGAAAAAAAGCTTAAAAAGGAGCCAGAAGCAAATGTTATTAGAAAAGCTTTTGGTAAAGCAACTTGCAACAAAAAGAAAGTTAAGTGATTCTGACACAGAATCTGCTTGCAGTGGGGTAACATTCTCAAGAAGAAAGAGCCTCCTGAATTAGATGGTGACTCTCCTTCGCCACAGTAGCCCGTTTCGTCTTCCCCCCAGCCCTATTGCCAATCAGGACTCTTCAAAAAGGTAAACTATGGTTATATTATTTAACATTGTTATTTATTAGGAAAATTGATTTTAATGTTGATATTTTTGGGGGTGCAGAACAGATCAAATGGATTTCCATTATTTTCAATGGGGGAGCTTGTATCTAAATACGAGAAATTCACTATACGAGCTCAATGCTGGAAGAAATTAAATTCACATCTTAAGGTTCCACAGTATTTCACATAGCCATAGAAATTATTCCACTACTTTGGGGAGTTTTAGGCACCGCACACAAGTAACAAGGTAAAAAACAATAAGGCATCAGAGGTTTTCTTCTAAATCTTTAGTGATATTTCACAATATTTAATCTCACATTTTATGCCAAAGAAAAATCTTCTTAATATTTACCATGAAGAAGAATAATACATTATTCTGAAACATGCTGCATTAAACTATCAACAATTGTAATAATTTTTATTTTGTCCTTTATATTAAAGAAAATTTGCACATTTAATTAAAGCCTTTAATAACTTTTCGGAACAGTTGTATTACATTCTAGTTACTTGTAAAATGTTTAATCTATTCCTTTTATTTGAGCATAAATAAATAAGAAACACTCAACTTTTATCAAAGCATAAATTTTTTCTTTCATTATTAACATGTTTCAAAAAAAAAAAAAAAAACTGATAAACTGGATGGGAAATCTTTCCAGCAAGATTTTATTTTTTACATATATCATATGAGAGAAAATTGGTTTCAGTCAGGATCAAATGGGTCACATTTATTTTAAATTTAGTATGTCAAACACCTCATATTATATTTCTAAATGAAAGCCAAAAGTAAGACTTCACTGCAAAGATTTAACAAAAGTTGAAAATCTCTGTATAGAACTTTAAATTGTTCAACAAATTCAGATATGTATATCGCCAAATGCTCAAATAATTAGTCATTTGGCACAACTAAACTTATCAGGTGAACTGAAGTTGAATGTCAATGCACCTTCAACTTCCATTTGAAAAAATAGAGGTGATAGCATGGCAGAAAGAAAAGACTTTTATAGCACCAACAGTTACTTAATTCTCTTAACTTTTTGGCTTACTTCTATGGTGCTTTGTCACCAGTCCAGTGAATTTCACTTTGGTTAAAATTGTTGGCAACACTTATCTAGCAAGAATAAGATTTTTTTTCTTCTCAGCTGCATTTCTTTTTAAAAGTGAAAAAGAATTCTTCATTTCTGTTATACAGTGAAAGATGATCATACAAAAAGGACAGCACTTGCTGCTAGTTTTAAACTAGAAGTTATCATCACTGAATACTGATGAGGCGATGTTATGGACTAAAAATTATCTACAAGATGGTAGCAACATCTCAATGGTAAAATAATGGAGAATGAGATTCATCTGAACTTGCTTCTAGCAGAGAGAGACTTCTAAAGATTGCTAGAAAATTTGAAAGTTGAATGTAATAAAGTAAAAATAATATTTTTTTAGATATTCAACCTATAACATTTCTCAAATCAAATTAAGTGGAAATCATTTTGAAATTGTGTGCAAACCAACTTCCCAAACTTCAGAAGTAAAATTTGTTAAAATTTCTCAGCTCACACATAGAAATATGCCGACTAGTATTATGGATAAATTTAAAATTCACATCACAAAACTATGAGATTACTTGGGCTAAGTGTGTCACTAACTGAAAAAGACAAGAGAAGCATAGTCTTAGACAAATTTCAAATCTTTAGAGTGGACGAAAGTGAACCAAACCTTAAAAGAACACAATGAAAACATAAGAAGATGTTTGCTCAACCTCCATAAAAAAGGGTAAGGATATGTTATAGTTATAATATGAATCTTTGATGTTCATTCACTTTTGATAATAACAATAACCCAGAGAAGACAGAAAGAAACAAATGAGGAAAAATATCAGTCGTTCCCTTTTTTAATCACAAAGTACCTGCCTGCGATCAAAAATAACAATGGTGAGAAAAATAAAAACAACAGAGAAATGAAAGCAGAGAAAAACATTTTTTCTATCAAAAATTCTGCCTATGATTAAAAAAAAAAAAAAAAAAAAAAAAAAGCAAACTTTTTTCTTAAATTTTCTGCTTGCAATTAAAAACAATTAAAAGGGAAAAAAGAAAGAAAATATCAATCCCCCTTCCTTATCAAGAATTTTCAGCTTGAAAACAAATGTTATATTTTAAGGATTTTATTAAACACAGTCCCACATCAGTAAATTAAGTTGCAATAAAAATATATGAAATTAATACATTTAACTATTAAAAATATACACACATATTTTTTTTTTTCCATAGTATTAGATTTATTATTAGCATTTTCCTAGATTCATTACAGTTTATTCATCATTCTTCATTTGTTTCTACCATTTGAATCTTAATTTTACGCTAATAAACTTATACGTGTTTTACCTAGCATTATTATTAGATTAAAAAAAGAGATACATAAAAAGAACTACCAATTATAAAATTACTCCATTTTTTACATTATATTTTTGCTCCAACAAAAGTATGCAGAATAGGCACCTATTTCATTTCAAACTAGACAGAAAAAATACACAAAAATGACAGAAAATTATATCAGATAGTAATGCATGCTGAACAAAAACTTCCAGTATTATGATAAAAATAACTAATAAAGAAAATCACTTTTTCAATTACAACAGTCTATTACTCATTTAAGAGGAAATTTCATTGTACCTTTCATTCGTCTATTATAAAATATCTCATACCATTAAGCATTATAATGCAAACGCTAATCAAATAATTAGCAAACGCTAATCAAATAATTATACTATAAGAAAATTAATGTACACTTTGCACACACACACACAAAAACGGGGGGGGGGCGGAACCGACAGTTCTGTTTTTCTTGCTGTACTAGGCTGACTGAAGAAATTTAACTCGCATTTCTCAAAGGCGACTTAGGATGTACTTAGATTTATACGTACAATTGTTCAAACATACTTATTTTAACAGAAAATCAGACCTTTTCTGAAACAACATATTAATTTTCCCCCCTCATATTTTGATTCTATGCCTCAAATAATGCCTAGATTTTTAAATTTTGTAAAATTTGGTTAGAAACTTACCAAGAAATTTTTAAATTTGTCTTGGTGAACTTTTTTCAATTTGCACCAAGAATAATTAACTCACTTGACAAAATTTGTAATGTATGGTAACCAGGTTTCGTTTCCTTTTCACTGTGCACAAGCTGAATCAAAAGTGCATACATAATTTGAAACTTCACAAAGAATTTCTACAGTCCTTCTATTTTGGAGCCACGGTAAAGCTCTCCTTTTCAAAACTTTTTAATCAATTTTCCTGTTCCCTCTAATCTGAATTGATTCAATTCCTAATTATCTCGCTGTGACATTAATACCACTCATTCCTACTATTTTAATGCTTGCAATCTCCAATTTCGATCAATAGCATGATAATACAATTTTGTGCAATGTTACTCATATCTAGCTTACTTGAATCTTTTAAAAAAAATTTAACACTTTGAAGATATGGAAAATAATAATCATACATTAACTATTTCCATGTTATTTACTAGCACACACGTATATAAAGACTTTTTTATATATACAATTAATTACCTTTCTTCTGTACTATCAGACATTGATTCTTCTTGCTCGGATTCTGAATCTGAAGAATGCACATTGTCCGGATTCTACACAAAACAAAAGAGTTTTGGCATATTATGAAAAGATTAAATGATTATGGAAATTTTTTTAGTAAAATTTTAACATTAGCTTTTTCCATTTTTAAACAACAATATAGTGTAATAATGAAAAGTTTAACTTTAGCTTATAAAAAATATTGTTTAATATCAATGAACTTAAACATAACAATTTAATAAAAAAAAGTTACATATAAATTAAATTTTTAATAAGAATGATTTGAAATCAACTTCAGAACTTTAATTCACAGGTTTTCAATGCCCACTGATGGACAATGAGGTGATCTCAGGGACATTAGTCTCAAAGGGAATAAATGGTCACTGAGAAACATGTGAGGAGTAATGACATGTCTAGAAAATTTGGTTACTTATGCAGTTTTGATACAAATATTTAATCATTCACTTTGATGGCACAATTATTACAGCCATGCATGTTTTTAAGAATCGCACCAAATTTCATTAGATGGTCTTTGATACATACAAATTCAAGCTTCATGTTTTTTTTTTTTTTTTTAATCACTAGGAATGAAAATTACTAACTAAAAACAAGAGCATAAATGCATATTCTAAGTCAAGGGTTCCCAACCTTTTTCTCCTTAAGAGCACACTCTAGAATATCTGTTGGACAGCAGGCATGATTTACTTTTTCAAGGTGAATTTATAGTTGGATAGAGTTATACATGCACATGAAAAAAAGATTGGTCCAATTCGCTTTGTGCTGGTATCTGTGCTGGATGCAATTTTTATTTCATTAAAAATGAGTAAACTTTCACATGGAGTTTTATTGAAAACTAAAATATTTTTATTGTGATCGCACAGCAGGGGGCATACGTTACACGATCAGTGTGTGCCATGGTGTCCACAGGTATAGGGTTTATGCTATTGCACACAGCATGTCAGGAATTGGAAGATGAGAAGCTTTTAATAATTATCATTCCATATCAATATATACAGTCAAAAGTCTTTAATCCGGACTCGTCGGGACTTCGGGGATTCCGGATTATCGATTTTTCCGGATTATAGATCATCAGTTTAAATCTGGTAAGATGGCATGCAGAAATTATAAAATTAAAATTATGAAACCGTAATTTATAAAATAATGAGCAATTATGATCTAAAGGGTATCAAAATTTACAAAAAAAAGCTTAATATTTATTTTTTTACTTTCTTAAACATTTCTTTCAACGCACGCATGCGTAAAGCATACTTATGCATAGCCGAATTAGAAAATTGCAACCAGAAAACTATTTGATTTGTTATTCGTGATATTTTAATGACGAGGAATTTGATTCAAATCATATCAAAGACGAAGTACATTGAGATGAAATACTACATTTAATAAGGAATTATAAGCCGAATAAAATAAAAACATCTGCCCTGAAGATAACAATAGTGTTGACAGATCAACTTCCAGTTCATTGTGCGCGCCACGTCCCCCCCCCCCCGCGCAGAGCAGCATGAAATTGATAAACAGATTTCGGAACGGTTAGATAAACAAAGGATATTATACCTTTATCCATTTTTTGGAGCAATTCCACTTTTTGTTTGATGGACATCGAAACATACTTTCGTTTTCGTAGATCCTTTGGGAGCTCCAGCATCGGAAATTCTATTTGACATAATCGAAAGTTCAAGCTTACTTTTATACAATTGCTCTTACAGTCTGCAAAAAATAATAAGCCGGATCCAATTCGAAGATTAAGGAACAATGCAATCATCAACATTAACTGAAATAGACAATTAGATAATTTTAGCTTATACCGTCTGTTATAAATTAAACGCGAAGCGAAAACGTATTCTGCGCTTGTGCACACGCAAATGCGCAGTCGTGAAGGTCTTACGTGCACGCTTAAATGCCTATGCGCATGCGTCAAAGCGGCGCATGCGCAGAAAGTTTTTAGTTTTGAGGTCCGGATTATAGATCATTCCGGATTATGGGTGTCCGAATTAACGACTTTTGACTGTATTCAGTTTTAATAACTACAGATTAATTGCAAGTACAATAAACATAAAAAATTTATATGCATTTCTTTAAGTGCCTAAAAATTACATTCATAGCACACTAATGGAAGTACGGAATGCTAAGCAAATTCAAAGGAGACGGACATTGGACAGAAAAACTGCAATGGGGTGGAGACCCACAAAAGTTTGGAAAACTATGCTTTAAAAAGGGGGGAATGAATTTTTAAAGATGTACTTACTTCAAATTCTTCTCCAAAAGCATTATTAAGTGCTTCCTCTTGAGTTCTAGATCTCAAGCCAGCCCTAAGGCCCTTTCGTTGTTGCCATCTTACATCTTTCATTTCTTGTTTATTATAATCCTGATGAATTAATAATTATTTTAAATTAGATGATGCATTTTAAATAAATACAACAGTTATTACTATAAACAACAAAAAATAAAACTCCTTCAAATATCCTGACATGTAATACTGCATTTCCCTCCCCATCAATCATGAAATCTGCATATTATTTGTTGCCATCTTATATCTTTCATTTCTTGTTTACTATAATCCTGATGAATTAATAATTATTTTAAATTAGATGCATTTTAAATAAATACAACAGTTATTTCTATGAACAACAAAAAATAAAACTCCTTCAAATATCCTGATATGCATGTTCTTACAAATATCACAAAAAATATTCTTACAGATACCACTTAAAGAGTTAAAGATATTATTTCAAATAAACTAGAACAAATGCTACTATTTGCAGTTTGCATTTATCTGTTACAATATATCGCTTTTAGAATTTTGCCAGAGAAATCTTTGCTAATTTAAATGCACTATTTTTTTATTTTGTTATTGTTTTTCTCATTTCGTATTTTCATTTCAAAAAAAAGGGGGGAGGCAATTTTAGTAAGAAAATACAGAAAAGTTCTATCCAACAAAACAGAAAAATTCAGCTTAAAAAATATTTCAAGTAAAAAAAAATTACTAAAAAACTGAATATGATTACACTGTTAGCTGCTTTGACTGTAACCTCCTAAATCAATAATGAACATCATTAGTGGCAAATACCTTTCTAAAAATTCAACAATAAACCAATACATTTAATTTTATTTCTTTGTGAAACTGAATTTAGGAATCTTATGAAGCCACTACAGTTAATCAGGCTGAATTTTCAGAAAAGGAAAATACACACAAGGGACTAGAAAGCTTAGACTTACTTCACTTGGATCTGGCAAGGGCCTCTTCTTTCGCTCTCTATTAAATAAATTTAATTCATGTTCAGCCAAGCCCATTCTCCTCTGGAGGTAAGCATTGGACAATGAGGAATTTATGGGCTTAACAACAACCCGTTTTACCCAAGACGGTAAATCAGCTTGATTTCCCCTGGATTGCCAGTTGCCAACTGACTGGACACCCTCAACATCTCCTGTACGCCGTAAACCTACCCGACTGTGACCTGAAAAACATATAACAAAATTTTCAGTTTTAATACTGAACATTTTAATACATATTGTTACATTATATATATATTTCTAACTTACATAACAAGTAAACTTAATGGATCATATTAAACTTTTATTCTTTATCGATTACTACAATTTATCATACTTTATCATCCCCCCAAATCACTATAGTTTTAGAAACTATAAAATATTTTATCAAAAAGAAAAAGCACAATGTACAAATGAAAAAATAACTTTGAATCTAAAACCCCAAAATGCAATGTAGATATGCAAGAGGTTCAAGTCACCTGCTTGAGATCGTGGTGTTCGTGGCGAAAATGCTTCAGATCCATTCCTTTCAACATTTCCATTTGGTGGTCTGTGACTAGAATGAGGAGATCTGAATGAATCAGAAGATGTTCTTCTTGGCGTATTATTATCGCTAACATCTCTTGATCCTAAGTTTTGGCTTTGCTCCATCTGAAGCCTTTCAATCATGTCATCAATTGTTGGTCGGACCGTACCATCGTTGGCAGGACGCACCGGTTCCAATATTTCTGCTTCCCCTAGATTTTTATATACTAAAGTTACTATAAAAATGAAACCTTTTAAAAATATATAACTACACACTCTCATTTCACTGGCATTTTGCTTATTATGTTAGATATTGATGACAATATAGCGATAGAAACATTTGCATGCATATATTGATGAACCATGAGTATAATTCCCTGAATTAATCACAAACGACCAATGAGCATCCACAAACTTAAATAAGAAAAAATGTGCTGATCTAAAAATACTTCAGTATCATATTATAATCCAATACATATATCCCAAGAAGATTATTTAAAACACATGTTTAGTGTAAAAATATTTTGCAAAACAGATATCTATTGCATACTTTTATTAAATTAAATTTCAGCCTTTCATGAGGAGTCAGGAATTAAAAAAATCCATACACCCTTATATTTGGCATACTCTTATAGTTTTACACTTTTGCTGTGTTATGGACCAGCACTCCATCATGCTGACTGGAACTGCTATGAGGAAATCAGGCACCTCTAGTTGAAAGAAGATATGGTACTTGTTTCCGCTGACATTTTCTGGTAGGCTATATGGGTACATTATGTGATCAAAGGTGAAACTCATGCATACATCAACAGAGCAATATTGTTCATCTGCAATGCAACTGTGTTTGCCTACATGTAAGTATTAAGTTCATTAACACATTTGCTTCTGAGTGACATCTACAAAAACGGTTCCACCACGCCAAAATGTTTTAATTAATAAATTGCAAAATAAAAGTGCAAAACATGTATTTATGGAAAAGATATCGAATTTAGATAATTTTAATTGCTTTATTAATTATATAAGTTATTTCATAATTGGATTTTCCGATAAAATGTTTTATGACAGTGATAATTACGAACATACTTGTTTCGAGTATATTTATACTTCGCAGTTGCTTTTGCTTATAACATTAATTTACTTGTAAATGAAAATAAAACTAAATATTTACCTTGCTTAAAGTTTGACTTACAACTTAGTCACTTAGAAATTGGCAATTGTAAGTTTGGAAAAGTTAACATTTTTACTTATTTGGGAACAGAGATAAATATTAAAAATGTGTTGGCCCCAGAAATATATAAATGAATCATTGCTGGAAATAGATGTTTTTATGCCCTGGACAGTTAATTAAAGTTCAGCTTTCTTAAATTAATTAAATTGCTTCTTTACAAAAGTCTTGTAACATCTGTTTCGACTTATGCATCAGAGATGTGGGCATGACTTTACGTGATAAGGAAGCTCTGGGAATTTTTTAGCAAAAGATCTTGTGTTGCATTCGTGGAGTCCAAGTGAATGGATCATGGAAAAGATCTAATTTAGAACTTTATAAAATTTACAAACAACCTGATATTCTAAGATTCATCAAATTACAGAGACTTAAATGGGCTGGCCATCTGACTAGCATGAATGAAGATTGTTGCTGCAAGAAAATCTTTTGGGCAAAGCCCATTAGAAATAGATCTCGGGGCAGATCCCCGCTAAGATGGTTTGAATGTGTCGAAAAAAGATCTTAATATTTTAAAGGTTCAAAACTGGAAAATGGTTGCCAAAAGTAGAGATGGCTGGAGAAGGACAGGGCCCACCCAGGGCTGTCGAGCCAATGAAGAAGAAGTTGCTTATAACAAATTGATTACTTTTACAACAACTATTATAACAAAGATTATTATAAATTGCTTGATCATTATTTATTTTTACAGTACCTGTGTTATTTACTTTATAATTATTTATATTATACCTGTATTAATTACAATAAATCTCTTGAATTGTGCTTTTTACTAATTCCCGGATACCTTCAAAGACCATAAAAATCCATAAACCATAAAAATCTCTTGAATTGTGCTTTTTACTAATTCCCAAAGCCAGATACCTTCAAAGACCATAAAAATACCGAGTTTGATCATATGTGTAGGTAAAACAAAAATGTTCTACAAATTAACTCGTAGCTGGAGTCTAAACACAACAAGACATACGAGATAACTCGTGGTTGGCAGCGAACATGTTAAACAAGCCAACACATATGAAAGTTGCTCTGTCTACAAGTCACTATCTTAATTTTTAATATATTACAAAAACTGTTACTTTTTCCATATCGTATCAACCCTTCACCCTCCAAGTGATCTCATTTGACATCAAAACCCTAAAGTTTCCATAAAAGGGCACAAGTAGTTATTTTCTTGATTACAATTTCACAAAATGATCCTCCCAATTTGTACACTGCCTACTTCCCCATCAATATATGTACTACTTTATTTGCCTAGACACACTTCAAGATGCACATCCATTTATGTACAATTGTCACAACTAATGCTTTTAAATGTGTACATACAGAGAGTACCTTTACTTTTGAATGCGTACATATAGAGGCCACAGAGTGGATTTAAGTTGTAGCCACTTTCTGCATTACATCATGCATACACAAAAGGAAGGGAAGCAGACACTATTCAAAATTAAGCGTAATGTATATTAATACCTTCTGCTGATACTGCAACATATGGAATGAGCTGAGAATCATTACAGTGTTCTCTACCAGGAACAAGGCGTTGTAAATTTGGTGGGTACGGGTTCCCATCGATGTCGACGAGAAATGGTGGTGGTAATAAATGTGGTGCCATCTGAGTTTGTTCATCCAGAACGTGGTGGTGAATATCTCGAATGAGAGGCCTATAATCTGTGTGAAAAAACTGTTCCTCAGGAACCTAAAAAAAAAATAAATAAATAATAAAAATAAAATAATAATAATAATAAAACATGAATTTCTTGTATCATGCAGTATAAATTCAGTTTTTTTTTAACTTCAAGAGCTTGAGACTTTCTGTACAAAATTTCAGTTTTTAAGTATACCGTCATTAGATTTATTTTCACATCAAACACAGTAGCATACAAATCACAATAATCAGTTAATGTATTTAGATTTAAAATTTCATACTTATTGCTCTTACCTTTTTATAGCGATCATTTGAACCAAACCCGAATATGCTAAGATGACCATGAGAATCAGTGGAGGCAAACATAAACCCATCTGGAGAAAACTTGCAGTCAAATACTGCCCCATGACCTTGGCCTTCAATCTATAATACAAACACACTTGCATTACTGTATTTTGTCTTCTCTTACATTAATGAGCATTATAAATATTCATGTAGCTTTCTTTCTTTCTTTCTTTTTTTTTTGTATTTAACACCTAATTTCCTTAAAATTTTTAATACCAATAATGGTACCCCTCAGTATGTAGCTACAACAATAGAGATATTTATATAGAAGCACGGTATTTACAGAAATGAAAGCAAGAAAACTTTAAAATCCAGCGGTCTAAATAGCAAATTATCATTGAATGAAAAACAAGCCTCGAACAGAATTCGCGGCTTGGCATTTTCATTTTGTGAGTTAACTGAAAGCAATGCAGTTGTAACTTATCAAATTGAATCTTGTAAAAGTCGCAACTCAATCTCAATTAGTGCTGATAAAATTTAAATATACAGCAGGGAAAAAAAAATCTAAAAGGTTTCGGATTTTAAATTACGTCTAAAGGGCATTTTTTTAATGTTTTGTGTGTTACCTTTATTTATTAAATATCATATTCTATGTACTTAAACCATAAAATTCAGTTCAACAGCATTATCGCAAAATTATTTTAAAATGAACAATCTTTAGTATTTCTGATACAGAGTCTCGTGCGCTGGAGCAAAAAATTTTTTATTTCATACAGTGTTGCCATTGCTCACTTTAAAATCATTTAGTTTTTTTAAATCAAAAATTCATTGAAGTGTTGCAAAATATGAAATTGATAATAAATGAAATTTCAAATTCAAATTAGGGCTTTCACATTCTATGGAAGAATATGCTATTCAAATTTTGACAGCTCTAGCTACCCTGTTTTATCACAATGCAAGAAACATAGACACATTCATGCAGCTTCTTCACTATTTAATTTCTTTAAGGACGATAATATTTGGTGGCAACAATTTGAAAAGTGGTTTGTAGTTTAGTTTTCAATGCAAAATGCAAAAACGAAATCAATAGTCCTTCAGGGCAAATTCCCCTTTGGACTAAAAAAAAATACTCCATACTAAAAATGTTTAAAAACCAAAGTATGCATTTCAAAAAATGAAGTAAATGAGAAGATTTCAAAGCTAATAATTTTCTTCCTTTTTAAACACTTAGCAGTTTTGTTCATACATCATACATTCAATGCTACTTTATGCAGTGCGATTTGCCTGTATGTTATATGAACATCTCATTTTCAAACTATTTAGTTTTTATTATATTTTATTTATTCTAACTTGCTTTTTTATTTACAACATTTAATCAATCACAGCACAAACGGTACTGTTCTATTATCGGGATCGAATTCAGAAATGAATGAATGTACGCATTTGTGTATGTATGTGTATACTTACACGCATATACATCCGTACTTAGATATATGAACACACACATCCATCCATACATACATACATTTCTTTATCCAGTCCTGTTAACAGAACAGTACTGAACAAACTTCTCTTTTCACCTGTTTGATTTGGGGAAATATTCTGTATTATTACATTTCCTGAGCATTTTGTTTAGTAAAGCTTTAATAAATATCTCATAAATTTAGTATTAAATGCAAATGGTACAGCTTTAAGTTATACTTAACGTAGTTTACATATAAAACCCATATGCATTAAATACAGAGGATAGTGACGGCAATGACTATTCTGACCTCGACATATGTGAAGATTAACCGACAATCACACAAAAACACTCAGTGTGTCAGCAAATACCATCAACACTATGGGAAATCTATAATTCTTGGAACAACTTTCAATGGTATGGTTAAAGAAACTCATAAAAAAAATGACTTATCCTTGTCAAGGTGGATGCCAAGCATAAATATCAAGCTCACACTATCAATGAAATTATCATTTTCACACTGATCTGTGAATGCAGTAAAAAACTAAGAATTACTGGCAATATTTAAAATTATCATACTGAGTTAAAATTAATTTGCATGCAGTAATTCAGATGATCATCATATTAAATTTAATCTACGTAAAAAGTTTACTTATACAGAATACTGAAAAAGCCTACATTAGAAAAATATATTAGATTTTTATTCTCTATTTTTTTATTACTTATTAGCCCAAAGGTGTTATCCAGAAAGGCTATTATTTCATTTGGTATTTTGTGTTTCATTAGAAAGCATTTCACTTTTCAAATTGTTGCCACCAAATCTTAGAGCTTCATTATGGTTAAGAAAAATAATGAAGATCGCATGAATATATGTATCTCCTATACTGTGAAAACCAGTACTATAGACATCAAATTTTGAATAACATAGTCCTCCACTCGAACATGGGCACTGGAAACCCAAACTTGGAATCTGTTTTAATATCTATTTCATATTTGTAAAACTTTAACGAATTTTTGATTAATAAACTCAACAATTTCAAAGCAAACAATCACTCTGAAATTACAAGTTTTGCTCTTGTGTGGTCACCGACTCCTGGTATGCTTAAAAGCAACTTATTCCCTACTCCCTTTGTGTTTTCATATTTCTCCTGTAAGTAAGCAGTGTCAATTTGAGAAGAGCCTAACCCTTGTTCCTCCTACTGACTTTGCTTAGTGCTCTTTAATCACAAAGCCAATCTGCAGTTATGGATAATCATGTAAAGAATTCAAATTTGGAATGTGAAAAAATACAGCTACATACAATACAATACAATATTTTTTAAATACTCTGCTTTTATAAATTAAACTCAACAACAGTTTTATATATCAATGAGTATTTTCTGCTTTCTAAATACAAATGTAAGTAAATGAATCAAATATGCATGTAATATGTTGTAAAATATTTCTAAAAAATAATTATTAAACTTTTCTCATAAAATACACATTTCACTCTGCCAAAACAATATATACTACATGCAATTGACACTGAAATCTTAATTTATAATTTATTTCCCAAAACTAGATACAAAAAAACTAATTTAAAGCATACCAAATTGAAGTGATTTTTTATTATGGTCCCAGTTATCAAATCCCAGATAATAATCCGCCCATCATGGCCACTGCTCAAGAAAACTCTGGGATCAGTCGGATGGGCTTCAAGGACAAAAACTTCATCTTCGTGTCCCTGTTAAAAAATGAAAGGAAAAGAATTGTTTAAAAAGCACAGTGAACAAACAGTTTAACAATGTAATAATTTAATGGAACTTCTAGATGTGATGAAAATGTATCAAGCCTTATTATTTCCTTACAAATCACAAAATTTTTACAGAAATCAATCAAATTTAACCTTTCTTACACATTAAATTTTTCCAGGGCCCTTAACATTCCATGCTTATTCTAATTTTTCTTTTTGTTATCCTAATCATTATTGAATACAATTTTATCAAAAATTTGATCAAATGTAACAAAAAATTGTGAAAACAATCTCAATGTTACAATATTAATACCATGACATAATAATTAGGTTTTTTATATAACTGTTACTTTTTTTAATTATTTAGCAAAAGATGGCTATGTACACACTTTTAGAATACCGTTTAATTAATGTTTAAAATGCTATGAGTATTTTTTTAAATGTTCAATCTGAACAACCCTCCCCCCTCATCAATTTTTTTTTTTTTTTTTTTTTTTTTAATATTAAGGCTGCATCATGATTTCCATATACAGCGGGCTTCAATAATATTTCCTACTTCACCATTCTTCACGTCACAAGTCGCATCAATTCAGAGTTTGAACTTAGAAAGCTTTTTTTAAGAGGACATATGCATTGCGAAATGTCAGCGGACTGACATTTAAGCTGACCACATTGAAAGTGTAGTCAAACTGTAGCAGTCTTCATTTCAAGAATGCAATGGTCTTTCAAAGTAGGTTTTGTTTATTTGTTAGGCAAGCACTCGAGAGCTATCTGCCGAAGGGGAGGATGCTCCTTGAGTACTTTCTAAGAGAAATGGCTCATTAACACTGTTCCACACAGGAAAACAAAAAACATTTAGCACGCTAGCCCATTTACAGCATTTGCACCTTCTGATCAACGAACCAGTGCATCATCGCAATTTACCGACACAACGGGCGCCGCTTGGAGCTGGGCATTAACTTATCCAGTCATGGTCTTGTTGTGCGGTGTCTTGCAACACGTTCGTCTTCTGTGAAAGCTCACTGGTATAGATGAGAAATGGAATAAAAGTCTCTCATAATAGAGCAGACTTAGATGTTAATAAATGCGGTCTAGTACGGTCATAGACATGACGTGTAAAACGCTTTGCGGCGCACAGTCGACAGAAACTCTTTCTTCTGGAGGAGGACATGCACTGCGTTCAAATCTTCGCCCTTTCCTGGTGAACAGCTGGGTCTGTGCACCGATCGAACAAAGGTTTAGGGGCAATTTTTGAACTCTTACTTTCAGTCGATACACTAGAGTATGAACACGTTTATCAGTGTAGTTCGTCATGTTCATCTGGTGAAGAAACACCATCAATGGTGAAGCAGGACAATGTCAGCGGCCTTACACTGTGGTGCTTGGGTGACAATACTAGGTACATCTAGGCTCAATTCTAGCAATCGGGGTGGCAGCGGTGTCTGACAGGGCCGTATGCTCAGCAAAAGCTGGTGAACCTACATTTTCGGGTGTACGTTAGGTCATAGATGTAACCTAGGGACAATATTTTATTTATTGTTGCGACAGAACACTTACAGTAGGCACAGTAGTTGCGACGATACAGTGCATGTTGGAAGCTCTGCGTTAAAAAAGGGTAAGCAGCATGATTAACATGGTGGTCTGTATATCCGCTAACGCCCGCACAAAAAAAAAAAAAATTAAGGCACGGGCACCAAAACCATCTGTTAGGACTGTCAACGCTTGCGTGATGGAGGCTAGAACGGGATGCAAGGCGATGCGATATAATACATACAGACTGGTAAGAAAGGATGGGAGGGCAAGATTAGCTCGGGGACACACACAAATGGAACAGTCTATTCAATCACACTTGTTACAGGCAGAATATCATGGAATGTTCATGAACGACAGAATCAAGTAAAATATGCAGCAGATGAAAGACTCATAGAGGAATAAGCGCAAATTTAAAAATATGTGGAGTATGAAAATGGGCAGAGTAGATATATTAATATCGTTATGGATTTATGTAGAAAAGGCCGGAGAATGGCTGGCGACCTCGTAAGGGGTACACAAAAACTGGTGAAATAAATAACTCACGTACATATGACACAGCTATATTGATATACAATACACATGGTAACGACGCTAGCGAAACGCCCCATTATCGCAGCGGCCACCTTTTTGACGCTATTAAAAAACATCTACCCCGACTAGTTGTTCGGTTTTCGGCAGAGGACTATGAACAGTACTTTTTATTACTTTTTGGTCTTTGAGGAAGATACTTTGTGTTCTTCTTGTTAGTGGTCATGGACTTTCTGTACTTCGTGTTTTGTTTAATTAAATTCCTTTTGTTAAATGTTAAAGTTTGACTGGGTTAAATTTTACCAATTTTGTTTAACAACTTTACAGCTAGCTGTAGTCACAACGCTACAACATTAATTAATTAATCACATATTAATTAAACATTATTCACACATTAAAATAAAAAAGCATTTGGCCACACCTTCAATTTAATCCCATTCTCATATTACAAAAACTGAAGAATGTTATTGTGAAAAAATGAGAAAATATAATGCAAGCTTGACAGCAAAAAATCACTTCCCAATATTCATTCACAGAGCTTAGATCTATTTTTCAATAAGTACAAAAAACAATAAACAGAAGAAACAGAAATAAAATGACACAACTGATACCTTTAACACATTACACAAACTTCCAGTAGACGAGTTCCACACTTTTATTGAGGAATCACTGACAGCTGTTACGACTTTGCTATCATCAAGGGTCCAACCAACCATTGTTACTCTTAATTTCACTTTTACATCTTCAGGTTCATCTGACTGACTGTTGAAATGAAATTAATCAATTTAAAATCAATGCCAACTTGACACAATACATTTAATAAAATCTTTTAAAGAAATAAAATAAAAAAGCATTTGGCTGACAAGTTTCACAAATAATATACAGCAGTTTTAAAAACTTCAAGTTTTGTGTACATAAGACATGAATCATGTTTTTCATTTGTTGTGGGGCAGAAATATCTTGCTGATTCTCATAAACTGATACCTCAAATCAGATTTACTTCAATAAATAAGAGCTAGAACATTTTCTAGTATTTCTTTGAGGAACTTTATAGTTTTCAATTATGTCGTCAATTTTATGAAGACCAAGACAATTTTGTTGTCGGAAATTTTTTTTAAACAACTTTTTTTTTAGATGCTGGCATTAACATGCTCATTAAATACACCTGTTATTTAACCTATGGATTTAAAAATAGAAAGTTTTCTTTTAGATAGTTTAGTCAAATGAAAAGGTTATTATTATGCTAAAAATTTCTTTTGCTAGGATATGGAACAATTAACATTTTCAAAACCTTTGACTTTGCCAGGCATTATGGAAGTGAGGTTTGAGACACTGCACAGCGAGGAATGACCTCATTCAACAGTGCAGTGCATAGCACTATTTCGCTTCCAGTCCTGTGAAAGGTTTGCATACGAAATAAGTGAAATGAAATGGTATTTCAGAACACCAAAATTCTTTAATAAGGAAGTGAAATATGGTCATGTGCTTTTCACTTGCCAAAATCAATCCTCATTTGTAAGAAACTACTGGTGTATACAATATACAGTCAGAAGTCGTTAATTCGGACACCCATAATCCGGAATGATCTATAATTCGGACCTCAAAGCTCAAACTTTCGCGCATAGTTGCGTTGACACACATGGCATTTAACGCATGCACGTACTTTTACGCTGCGCATAATACGTTTACGCATGTGCGTTTAATGTATAACGGACAGTATAAGCTAAAATTATCTATTCAGTTAATGTTGCAGATTGCGTTGTTCCTTAATCTTCGAATTGGATCCGGCTTATTATTTTTTTGCAGACTGTTAGAGCAATTTTATAAAAGTAAGCTTGAACTTTCGATTATGTCAAATAGAATTTCCATATGCTGGCTTCAAAGGATCTACAAAGCGAAAGTATGTTTCGATGTCCATCAAATGAAAAGTGGCATTGCTGCAAAAAATGGATAAAAAGATATCCTTTGTTTCTCTAACCATTCCGAAATCTGTTTATCAATTTCACGCCGCGGTGCACAAGTGGATCACAGCACTATCCTTATCTTCAGGGTAGATGTTTTTATTTTATTTGGCTTATAATTCCTTACTAAATGTAGTATTTCATCTCGATGTACTCAGTCTTTGATATGATTTAAATCAAATTCCTCGTCATTATAAGTCACTTCCGATCGTGAAGAAAGTGACACAGAGGTTATTGAAAACGAAAAAATTTCGATTGACAATTAGTCGGTATTCTCGACACTGCAATTATAGGACTTCAACAGCGGAACTTTGTAACTGAACAAGAAATTATGTCTGTTCATAGAATTCAAGAGGAAGTATTATCACATAAAACGAAGCTACTTAAACAACTTACATTGAAAGAAATGTTTAATAAAGTAAACAAATAAATATTAAGCTTTTTTTTTTTTTTTTTTTTTGTAAATTTTGATACCCTTTAGATCATAATTGTTCTTTATTTCATAAATTATGGTTTCATATTTTTAATTTTATAATTTCTGCATGCCATCTTACCAGATTTTAAACTGATGATCTATAATCCGGAAAAATCATAATCCGAATCCGAAAAAGTCCCGACGAGTCCGGATTAACGACTTTTGACGTATATATTATATATATAAGGTTTCACAACCCCCCCCCCCCCAAAAAAAAATTTGCACCAAATATAGTCATTAGACTTATTCATGGAACAAGATTATAAAAGTGCAAAGGCAGATTATAAAGTAACCATACACTTCTTGGAATATAAATTCAATGAAAGTCACAGAGTTTTATGAGTGAGATGTTGGGATATACAAAAATATGTGCATGACTCCAGTTATAAGTTATAAGATGCATAAAAGACTTGCATATGAACATTTGTTGCAGCAGACCTGGCATTTTTCTAGATATTGTGACAGTAAATTTTCACTACCACAGAATTACACAATGGTATTTGAAATGGCATTTTCAGGCAACATGCTCATTAAATACACCTGTTATTTGACTGCAGATAAATGAATGCTACTCAGTGTACTATTTCACGTTACTATTCTTCACTTTCCAAGCGTAACTTCTGAGTTGAGCGACTCAAAACCAAGTGTGTATTTCCGACTAACATACATACATAAATACCTCAGATTACACACATTTGATTTAGATTATTATATGTTAACTTACCCAGGTAACTTTGTGGTCATCTTTAATTGTATACTTGACCAATTCTGCCTTTCATACTTCCAGATTAAGGCTGTGCCATCTTTACTACCACTGATGAAACGACAATCTAAATTGCTGAATTGCAAACTATCGACTCGATCCTATAATAAAAAATTTACCATACAAATTATAATTATATACATTAAAGGCAAGTAGATATATTACTAAACAGATTATGGAGCACAAAAATTAGCTCACTAATGCAATTATACTTAATTTTAGCAACTGATATTATCAAAGTCTAGTTTATGTATCTTTTTTTAGTTAAGGCTTAAATGGCTACTTTTGAAGTAAAGGGAAGCAAATCCAATATAATTAGTTTGTTATCAAATCACAACAGCATATTTTAATAATTATAATATGAATTGCAATTGATCTGCTATGACACAATTCAAAAAACACTAAATCATGGACATATGGAAACATTAGAAATGCACAAAAAAAGGAGGAACACACATACATATGGTATCCTTTTTCTAAACCAAATTCAAATTTTGAGGTACAATTTTTCATACAAGTTAAGCATTTTAAATATTAAGAATTCATTAAACAAGACTTACAACATGCACTTCTCTTTCTAAAATCTTTTCCGGACCATTCACCCCAGCTATATTGTATACTCGCACATTATGATCGGTACTACCAGTAGCTAGAAACAAGCCACCTAAAAATGAAGAAATAAATTGATAGCTAAAGAGAAATTGCATTTATAATGATGAATATGAATACAATCATCAAGAAATTGACAAATCCTAAAAAACCCATAGTTGCATTTATAACCCCTTAGCGACGGGTAGCACAAACGCGCGCTTATTGCGGAGGCTGGCAGTGTTTTACGCGAGCTTCTGTCCAGGGACAGGGGCTTTTTTGCTATTAAGCCTAAATCGATGAAATTTCTGAAGTATCAACGCATTGCTTAATAATGCTCTATAGAGTATTTAAACGGCTTATGCTTTATAGATATTTTTATATATACTTTAATTGCCTTATTTCTTGTTTAAATGCATATTTTACACATTTTATGACTTTTAACATTATACATATGAAAACTAAATATATTACTTAAAATTCTCTTTTCATATGAAAAATTTGAAAACAGGGATCTACACACAGTCCTAATTTACATTCCTCGCACTCGTAATAACTCATTTGCCGTTTTGGAGGATTTTTCCAGGAATGTGCACAAACGAAGCATCGTCGTCTCATTTTCTTATCAGTCGCTTCTGAACAAAGTTTTGAAAAATATCTTTCAGTTAATCTTTCAGAATCAATGTCAGAATATCAGAATTTCAGAATCAACATCTGAAATATTTTGCATCATTTCTGCTATTTCATGCTCTGTTAAACATTTTCGACGCTTCGACATTGCAACGGTAAAAACAGAAAGAATTCACGTCTAACAAGATCTAATTATTTTCTAAAAACTGAACTGCAAACTGAAATACCCAATGCTCGAAAATAAAACTTCTCTACTTACAATAAACAACTACCATGTGCGAATTTAAAGAGACATCATAAATCACGCCATTCGGAAACATTTATTTCCCTTTTTGTTTATATAATCAAAAACACGTGTATGCGAGTCATGCTTCTCTCATTTCGAGAAGAAAGTCTATGTACATGTATCTGAAAACCATATGGAGATACAGTGCCATCTTGTGGCAGAAATTATAGTTTTTAAAATGTTCCAGGACACTGGCACAAATACGTGACAGTCGGGGCTGAACGGAAAAATGCTCTGGCACGCCTGAGTGCCGGCCGGGAAGTGAGTGTGTTTGTCGCTGGCACGTAGACGTGACAGTCGGCATGAAGGGGATAATGATGAATATGAATACAATCATCAAGAACTTGACAAATCTAAAAAATCCACAGTACTGTAGTAGTACCATAATACTAGACACCGAAATTAATCAGTGGCGAATATTATAACCTATTAAATTAAGTTGTATTGTTATATGAGCAGAATTTTAACTGAATAGCTTTTCTTTCACTCTTATTTCAGTATGAATGCATGAACAGTTTATATAAGTGCGAGTTGAAATGCTTATCCACAAATCACCTTGAAAACTAGAGTAACTACACTGTGCAAAATACCAGTTATAGTTAACCAGTTATAGTATTATTTCTGTAATCAACAATGGATAAGGATGAAAATAAAATGATGGATGGAAATAAAATGTCACTGAAATGAAAATGATGAAAAAAGTGTAAATGAAAAACTGTGGATCACCTTTGAAACATTTATACCACCTGTGCACAAAATCAAAACATGAAGTAATCAAATCAATATTCCTTTGCACAAAATAACTGCTCTTAAATTGTATTTCATTTACATCTAAACATTTCTTCTGACTTGAGATTACTACTGAGATCCATATGTCAGATAAATAATCCATTTTGACTCATAATTACATTCAAAAATTACTTTACTTCAATACCCCACAGGTTTCAAATTTGTTACAACCTTCCGACTTATACTGCATAAGCACATACTGAAACTAATTTTCAATTTAATGTAAAATTTTGTTTCAACGTCAGCTCAGGGGCAAAAATATAAGTTGCTCTTTCAATATCTCAACTTAATTTGGTTGGAAGTCTTAAACTAAGAAGGTTAAGTTGAACCCTAAGACCTCCAAGAAAACTAGAAATATTAAGCCAAACTAAGGTTGGTCCAAATTCTAATTTTTATGTGTCTCCCACCCTCTGAGTCTTGAAAGTCTTTTGAAACAGATAACGTATAAGTACACAGTCTACTGCTTTGAGTTTTATTTTTTATATGCTGGCATTAAAACTGATGGCTGCTTTAATCATCCCCCTCATTTTATCCCATATTCAGGTTTCAAAATAGTGTTTTAGTGGTGCCACCTAACCTAAGAAATAAATAAATAACTACATGTGGAAAATTGCATACCAGAATTATGTCACTTCTAGATGTTTGCTGTTGCCACCCTGGTGATCACTTCGTATTCTATCATGATTTATCCTAGATGTGCTTTTCCTCTTTGCTACCGGTTTTCTGCTTATTAAAAACCAATTACAGTCTTGGATCTCTACCCTTAAATGTATTTTCGACACTTTTAAAGTGATTTTAATTATCCTAGCTTCTTCCATTTTTAGAATTCTTGTTCTATAGGCCTCTTCCCCCTTTTTCTTTGTTAATATAAATACTAGTTTATCCAATATTCTTCTAAAAATTTTGAAATGGAATATACATCATTCTTTTACCTCATGATAAGGGAGATTTTACTGCATCTGAATAACTCAAGATCTCTCAACTTTAAAAAAAAATATCAAAGTACATTAAAATTGCTCATAATGTCCTCATTTCACTTAGTGCTGAATTCTCATAATGCTCTAGAGGAATATATTTAATAATAATTTTCTTTAACATCAATATATATTAAAAAAATAATATACACAAAATATTACAAAAATTTTACCTGGACTAAAAGACGAACATATCATCTGAGCACCAGCTTTATTTCGTTCAGTGAACTTCAAAGGTTTGGGGCTGGAAAATTTTACATATAAAATTTTAATTTGCTAATTTTGATTTAGAGCAAACATGAACAATGCAATGATATAAAAATAAATTATTTAGTATTTTTAACTTATATATGGTTGCATATAGCAAAACAAATACAAAAATATGTAAAAAAATAAGTATAAAACTATGTTAACATCAGATTATTTAATGGAAGTGGGAAACTGAATTTAAATAGCTAGCTAGGACTTTTAAGAGATTTCTATTGATTGTAAATACTTCAAGACAAACATTATGTGCAATTGCATAGATACTACAGAATAATTTTTACACATAAATACGTAAGGTTGCTAATACTTCATGAATTTAATTAAAAATAATTAGTGAATTAATCTCAAGAAAATTCACACAACGAAACTGTCTCTTAAAACACACTGAAGGAATGACTTTTCTCATATGGTTTGGTTTTGTTTATTTAATTATGGCAAAGCACACTAGGGCTATCTGCCTAAGGGGAGGGATGCCTTCGTGGAGGACTCTCTAAGGGAAACTGGCTCGTATACATGTCACACATGGGGAAAACCACGAAAACGCTCATGCAGCCAGCCCGTTCACGGGATTCAAACCTTGGACCGAACTGTTAGTGTTCAGCGACTTTACGGCCGCTGGTGGGCCCTTTTTTCTCGTATGAAAACTCTCGTAAAATACATTGAAAGAATGACCTTCTCACTTTTTTGGTAAAGTCCAACTATCTTTTGGACAACATAAATACGTAAGGAAAGACTTTTATGTCTGTCTGGTAAATGGTAAGATGTAGCTGTTAATGGTAAATATGTGCTTAAATAATTAAATGTTTTTGAGTATGAATTAAAAAAAATTCTTAAATTCCTGTTGGACAATCTACTACAACAAAAACTTTACACAGTTTAAAACTTTTATTTAAAAAAATTGCTAACAAATTTAAAATCTATGCCACAAACTTTTTATTTATCTGATAAAAATTGAGCTCCTTAAAATCAACTATAATTTGTATTTGTGCAATATACAATCTTTCAAACCAGTACTATAATAATAATGAAGATAGTTAATTCAAACATACTTGAACGCATTATTTTTGGGCTTCCATTGCCAGAAGCAAATACACCCATCATTGCCTGTAGATATCAAAAGCTGGTCTTCATTTTTTGGATAGGGACAAAACTAAAATACAAAAAAGCAAATATTAAACGAAAATACATATAATAAAACTTTCAAAAAAGAAGGGGCAAAAATACATTTAAACATGCATTTGCATGTTGCAAAGAAATAATTGCAAACAAAAGTAATTCTAATTTCAAACATTCTACTCTTGTGGGTCAACTGTAAAATTGTTAATCAGCAGCTATAATCAGAGGCACATATGAATTTATAAACACATTATATGAATTTGTTTTTCATTTACGAAGTTTACTTTTCACTAATTTTTCAAAAAAAAAAGTGTTCCATTTGGAAAGACTTACCACACCTTCACAAATTATAAAAATTTCCAACACTTCATTTATTCTTTTATATGGCAATAGATAATAACATGCCATTAACACTATGAAATTACTAAATAAATCCGAACTTTCCTAAACATATTCAGCTTTTGATGGTAAGAAATATAATAATAATAATGATGTAGCATGTGTTAGCTTCGTTTTGTATTTTAAATTAATCACTCATAAGCTGTTTTTAAAAGAAAAACAAACATTTATTAAAAGATAAATCGTACTTTTAACTTTATAACTACATGTAACTCATTCTTAAACATACATATCATAAACATTCTTACTGCATCTCACCAATATATATTTCTACATTTCAATTGTACATAATCTAAATCAATATGGGAAAAAAAGGGGGGAGGAAAAAAAAAGAAAGATCAACATCCAGAAATTAGCTGAAGCCAAAATGATAGAGATCCCGATTTCTTGTCATACTAAGTTTTCACTTTTTTCTCGCTCTCTAGCAATTTTTTTCTCTAGCTTCCTTTGGTAGTTTTTCCGGTTCCTTCCAAACTTCTGCATCTTCCATTAGCAAGTAATCTCAAAATTCCATCTTGAAATCGTGGTATATATACATGAAGTATTTCAAACGGTGTTTTCCCAATAGTTTTATTGATTGTGTTATTCTTCAAGTTCCTCTCAACTTCTTTAATTCTTCTGCCTCAATCCTTTGATCTCTACTTTTCATCGATGTTAACATCGTTTAAAATAGAACAGTTGAGAGATCTCCCAACCGTACCATTTCCTTGCGGGTGTCAGGTTGAATTTAATGTATGAAAAATTCCCTTTTCCTTGCAAAAGTTTTGAAATTCATTTGAAGTAAAACAAGAAGCTTGATCTGATATTATATGATCTGGTAATTCAAATTTTTCTATGAAACTCGGGAATGATATCAGTATGTTTTTCAAAGATGTGTTTTTCACAACGTACAATTGAACGAATCTGGTCATATTATCAATGATGACTAACAATTCCTTGTTTCTTTTAGAACCTGTGACGAAAGGTCCAAGATGATCAATGTTGTTGCAAAAAGGTCTGTGGCCTGGGGAATAGGATATAAAAGACAATGTCTTTTTTCCACTTGGAACTTTGCTGATGAGGCATTTGAAACACACTGATATATGTCCACAAACATATCTCTTCATAGCAGGAAACCAGCGTAGTTCTTTGATTTTTAAGACAGTTCTAACAACAACAAAATGTCCCTTAAGGTCATGAAACTTTCAAAATTTCATGTCATGTTTTTTCTCATGCTTTCAGGTACGATGTATAATAACTTCTTTTCTCCATCCTCGATAATATGGAACGGTCTATTCCTTTTCAAAATATAATTCTCTAAATTTTGGTTTTCTTCTTTGGTTCTTTCACTTTGGTATTTCTTCAAGATAATTATTAATTCTCCTAACTTTTCATCTGCATGCTGTATCATAAGAATTTATTCATTTAAATTTAAGGTCAGACTAACTTCTAAATTATCTTTGATCAAAGAATGTATAATGTCTGATGAATTAATAACAGGCGTTCTACTGATTGCACCAATATGAGACGCTATAATCCCTGGTTTGTGGCATATTTCAAAATTATACTCTTGAATAAGGTTACTCCAACGAGCAGTTTGGCAATTGGTAGTTTCTTTGAATTCATGTAAACCAACGCTTGACAGTCGTTATCTACCATAAATTCAATATCGAGTAGGAATTGTGGAAATTTGTCTAGAGTCCAGACAATTGCCATTAGTAATTCTTTTCAGCTTCTCTTGTCTTCTTACTCATGCAGTAGACAAGATGCTATTTACCATCACTTCCAAGTTGAAGTAACATGACAGCTATACCCTCTGAACATACATCAGTATGGACTTCTGTTTCAGCTTTAGGATTGTACAAAGCTAAAAATGCTTGATTCGTCAGTTTATTTTTCAGCACTGTAAAAGAACTGCTAACTTTCTTCCCATCTGAATGTTTGATTTTTCTTAGTTAATTGAGTCAAGGGTCCAGCTTAAATGACATAATCTGGAACAAATCTTCTAAAAAATGTAATACTATAGTCTTCAAAAGTTTTGCTTCATTTGTGATGCATACTTTAAGCAATCAAATTAAATAAATTGCCCATATTTTAAAATTTCAAGCAGAATTTTTAAGTTATAAATGCAAGTTACACATGACATTCAAAATACCTGGATTAAATTAATAATTTTTGGTACTTTTTATTAATGGGGCAGCAACCAAAATGTGTGCATGAATGCCAGTAATAGTAACCTTACACCCCAAAATCTACCAAACATTGTGACTCTTCAATTTAGGCTTTGAATCATTGTTGATTTTTTTTATCAAGGAACTGACATGGATTTTACAATTTGAAAACGTCAGCGATAACAAGTCTCTTATTAAATTCTATTTGGGGGAAAAAATTATGGATAATGAAAGACTTTGTTCAAATAACCCCAAAGTAAAATTCTTTCAGGACTAACACAGCCATGAAATAGCACTGCAGCCAATGATCAGAACAAAAGAAAATTTCCAAATCCCAAACTAGTTTGACGAAAATATTCACTTCGTAAAATATTACACAATTTTTTCCAAATATTTGTGTATGATTGTATTTTCGAATAGCAATACATATGGAAGTGTGTCACTAGAGTTGGCATTAGTATTGCAAATTGCATTTTATGTTGATATTTATCACATAGATCGAATACATAGTAGAAGGATAAAGCTTGGAGACATGTAGCCATGTAGACATTTATACATTTACCACATAACTTTATACCTCAATAACTAATACTGAGGACACATATGTCATTATGAATGTGATAAGCATCCCCACTATTTTATACAAATGAACACATCTTGAGACAATGGACAAAGTGGATAAATAAGCAGCATGCATTTATGCAGGCAGAGGGTAAAGCAGGAAAAGTGAGTTTGCATTTTAGCAAAGGGGTATTTATAGAATACTTTATTTAAATTTTTAATTGTGATTCAATAAAAGATATCCACAAAGTTACTCTTGTGTAATAGCGTAATACAGATTAATTTTCAGATGAAGCATTTTAGATTCATAGTTAACATTTTTAAGACAGGAAGCAGATGTAGCCAAGTTTTTAATTAATATCTGAACAATTCTTATAAATATCAAGATAATTAAATTCCTTCCTCTGATTTGGCAATTTCATTTATAAAAAATACTTTTTTATAAACAGCAGGATAATCAAATTCGTTTTTCTGAATTAGCAATTTCAGTTTATTAAAGTACCCTTTTTAAGACTCTACTAAATTTTATAACAAAAATATTGGATGAAGTTTTATTTTAAAATAAATAGAATATTTTCCTAATGAAGAGGAATAATATATCCTACAAAGCAAGAAATAAAAATGTTCTAAATTGAGTTGAGAAAGGAGATTTGCATTATATCTTAATGGGTTATAAATTGCTTTAATTTATTAAGTGAAAAAAAAGAACATAGCGTAACATATATGTTAATTTGATAGTACTGATACTACATAAGGATGTCCAAAATAGTACACTAAACTGCCAAAATATTATATTAATTAAATGGATGAATATGTAATCACTTAAAAAACATTAATTCAAAAACAAAAATTAGTAACGTTTTTAACGCATAGAATTAATTTCATACGGTATTTTCTTCCTCCTTTCCGCATGCCTTTGTGGTTAGTTGGAAGCATACTCGATGCATATTCGAGAGGTCGAACTCGATGCATATTCGAGTCCTGGCAAGAGGACTGCACATTTTCCACATCTACTGTTTCAAAAAACCTAATGAATCTACAAGTGATGCCTGAACCAAGAGGCAGCAGACAATAATTCATCATCACCAGGATTTGGTGTTTGGGTCCCCTAATCCCCACTCGCCCTTTAAAAGAGAAAGCATATATGATATTTTTTGCCTCCTTTTCATATGCCTTCATGGTGTAATTGGAAGCAAACTCAATGCATATTCCAGAAGTCAAGGGTTCAAGTCCCGGAGAGAGCACTGCACATTTTTGACATCTCTTGCTTCCAGAAAACCTAATGACTCTACACACTGATTACAAAAAACATCAATATGCTACAAAAGCAATAACTAATTAAACCAAGAGAAAAATGCCCCCATTTTATTACAGAAATATGTAATTAGCATTCACATACATTAATCAATTCGTCAGTTAATACCTGTAAAGATGTCACCATTCCTGTATGTCCATGAAGTACAGCTACTGGTGCAGTAGTACGAAGACACCATACTCTTATTGTTTTATCACAGCTCCCAGCAGCGAGTAATGTATTCTCGTAATTGACAGCCATGTCTGTTATTTCTGCAGAATGGCCTCGGAGGGCAGCCAACAATCTTCCATCAACTGCACTCCATATCTTCACAAGTAAATCATCAGCACCCTAAAATACACAAGAAAAGAATTGTGAACAATATGGGAAATAACTGTTCTGGCAAAATATCAAATTTGAAAATAAAATGCTTTGCTTCAATTTCAAAATATACATTTTTATAAACTGTATCACAATCAATATCAATAATAAAAAACATATACAACATGCTTCTCTAAGTGTATGAAAGTCATATTTACATCACCAAAAATTCAAAATAAGTATAAACCCAACTAATCGATGCAACTAATGGAACGCTAAAGTCACCAGAATATTTTAGAAATTAAGACCTCACCAAAAAGTAAACAAATGAGAGCTGTAAAGCAAGTACAGAACACTGACGACAACAAACATTGCGATTTACAATAATAACTGATTGTGATATCTGAACATGATCATAAGATCTTCACCTTGGTTTTATGGAAATCCATTTAGTTCTCAATAATCTTTAGTTTTGTAAAGAAGAATATAAGTTAACTGCTATTTATTGGTTTTTCTGTCACATTTTGAAAAAAATTATTAAAATTTTGAACTGTTTCAATGAAACAGCACGCAGTGCAGTATTTTCAAAGTTAAGTATTCTGGCATCAAGAAAAGTGTGAATTTAATGAGCAAACTATATATAATGCAATGTAAAAAATTACGATAAACATGTTAAGTTTTTGTATAGGTTATACCTGTAACTTGTATCTGATGATCATCTAACAAAATAGCATAATAAAAAAAAAAATTCTGAAATGGCAGGGGTAAGTTTGGTAGTATTTCAGCCAACTTACACGGTTTGATGAGATTTCATAATTGAATATTCTATCTTATTTAAAGCTTGCAGCAGTTTTTACATTCAAAATTAAAATTTCAAAATCAATCAATCTTACATTCAATAATTTTATTGTATTTATTTCAATATTTTTTATAAGTAAACCTTTGAAATTTAAGATAATAGCAAATAAGGTGACTTTTTACAGTTTCAGCCCATAAATTTATTCTTCCACTTATTAGGTTTTTCTACCATTAACTGCATTTTATATGCTCAACTATCCAGAGCTTTTTATTCAACATTTCACAAGCTATCTGGATAATCAAGCTTTAACTGTTACTTCATTAATTAATAGCTAACTACAGATGGTACTGATTGTCAAGAACAATTTGATATATTAAAATAACCAAGTATATATTGAAATTGTTTACACTGGGGAACAATTTGTAACACAATTTCTGTCAAGTTCGATTTATGAACTTTTTTAGAGTTAAACAGACATACTAATTTCAAAACTGTAGTTAGTTTTCTTCAACCATATCACATTTTTCTCTATATATTAATGTGAACACTCTCAGCACTGACCATGTAACACAATACACAGGAGGTGTTACAGCTGTTCTACTGACTGACATGAACTCTCCGATTGGCACCAGGTGAATGATGCCCTAGGAGACAAGTGACATAGACACCTTTCTCTAGACTGGTTCAGTTACAGCTAAGATACCTTAGTGAGACATTGTGTGTCGCTCTGATATAGCGAAGCGCATTCCAATGTGGAGTCCATATGCTTGTCTGTATACAAGGTTAGCAGTTTTTATTTATATATGAAGTGAACACTTTTGCATTACAAAAATGCCACAATATAACAAGAAAAGCAAATGTAGAGTATCCTAATTTACCATCAGTTATACACCTATTGCCTCACTCAGTTGAATTCTCAGTGTATTCAAAGAATTGTCCTCTTTGGGAACATCAGAATATGCTTCTGGTGAGTATCGAGTTAACCGCAATGACAAAAATTTTGAAACTGAAGATGATTCCATTTGTAAGGGCTAAGACCAACATGAGTTAATGATTTAGCCTGAAATTTGGGACTATCCAAAAAAGCTTCAGAGCTGTTAGCATCAAGACTGCACAAGAAAAACTTGTTTGGAAAAGGAGCTAAGGCATCCCACTAAGCGTGTTTCTTCAATACATTCAAAGTGATGATGTGCATTGCCACAATGTACATGGTTTAATGGAAGAGTTGAGAATTTCAGCCTATAATGAAACTCAATGGTGATTGTTCATCGACAACTCAAAACAGAGCTTGAAGTGTTTTTCACAACAATGGAAATTTATTTTGTGCAGGCCTAATAGGACATTCAGTTTGTTTGTATGAAGAATATTATAAACACCTAATGCACAGCCTTTGATTTGTTGCAATATCACATGCACTCATGGATCACCTGTGTGGACCTTAGCATGATCTGCATCATTTTTGACCAGTAATGCGAATATGCCAAGTATCCCTACACTTTGTGTATTTGGAACAGCAGAGCTTGTCAGAAGCATGGCGTGCATTTGAATTGGTAGCCAAGATCTAGTCTGAAACCTGATCCAAACATCCAGCATCGGCACTTGTTGACAGAAAGAACACCTCTGCGTATAAAATTGGGTTTCGTGAAGCAAATTAGATCACGCTTTGCCAACTGAAGGAGACCGTTTTAAGTATCTCATTTCAGCATTTCCTAGCCTGTCATTCGAAAAGATGAAAGCCTGTGTGTTTGATGGTTCACAGATGAACATTTCATCGGAACACGACAAAATGTAAAAAGCATGCTTGGAAGGCATTCAAATACACTGTCAAAAACTTTCTTGGAAATACACAAACATAGAATTACAGTAAAATTGTCCAAATACTTTTGAAGAGCTTCAAAATGCTTGGTTGCAACATGAGCATGAAATTTAATTTTGTACATAGCCAACTTGACAACTTCTGAAAAATCTTGGCATAATCAGTAATGAGCAGGGTGAGAATTCCACCACTGTTGAGCACCAAGAAAGAATATCCACAGATTAAACAAACACTCTAAAAAAGCAATAAGTAAAAATTTTTAACTCATATGTTTGTTTACCATTTTGTAAAAAAGTTTTACTGTTTGTATGAAAAAAAATTTAACTTGCAGCCTTTGTATACTATATACAGCCTTTGTATTCTTTGTGAACACTATTCTTTGTGAAATTTTCCCTTTATTTTGCTTTATTTGCATATCTTGTATGACTTTTGAAACAAAGAGAAGGTATTCTGCAGCATAAAAGGTTGATGTGATAGACAAAAACTGAGGTTATTTTTGAATTAGAGGACAAAAGTCAGTCAAAAACAAGTGAAAGATCTAAGCCAATGAAATTGCTATTCCCTAAGGTTATCAATGTGAAACTAAGAACATTCAAATAAACACAGAAATATATAAAAGAAAATAAATTTTATACTATTTATAATTAAAAGTAGAAAATTAAACTACAGAAAAAAAGAAGGGAAACAGAACAAATATGAATCATTCAAATTATATTCTACAAAATTTAAGAAACATATGAGAAATATTTTGCTGACCTTTTTATAATAATAATGAAGTGTTCCTTTTCTGCAGTTAAACATGAGAAACATGACAAGCAAAATTAATTTTCCATAAACAAATATCAGCTCGTGTTAATTTAAACTTAACACTTTCCGATTATCCACATCCTCACCAAGAAGCCATGAAAAAGTATGGATGAAGCAGTGCTACATGTCATCAATAGTATTTGTGCGGCAACTACAATGTCACCAAAAAGGATTTACATGGCAACCCAGGTAAGCCACAAGCGTATTGCATATGTTTAAGTACATGTGAATTTTCAAATTCAAGTGTCATTTTTCTGATTAGTATTTCTTTTTACACTGAATATATCTGTTTTTGTCTCAACAAATCTTAATGAAATTGTGGAGTTTGCCCTTATATTTTCATTCTATTGAAGTGTTTCGTTAGAGTGTACATTGTGATCATGATTGTGGTGGGTACACAATGTAAATGCTATTATCTGCTCCCCCCCCCTTTGTGCAGATAATCAGAAAGTAAACTTATTAATTGTAAGAGAACCGTGGGCTAATCTTTGGAATATGGTAACAGGTAGTTTGGCGACATTTTGGTAAAGCAATTAAGGTTACTAACTAGGACTTTAGCAGTGTACATGGATAAAGTCAAGAGTCTGCGCAATGCCATTTTTGTGCAATTCTGGGATGTTTTTTTTAAGTGAAAATAGGTCGACGTGTACATGGTTACCGTGTATATGCAATTCTTAAAAACGTGGCAAGCAGTTTGCGATTCTGCACTTTTGTTCCATAAGTTCTAGCAGATTGTTGGAAAAAATGCTGAGTAAAAAAAATATGCCTTTAATTCATGTAAACAAAATGGCGTCCAAACAAAAACTAGCAGGTTGCTGTAGCAGGGTTGGTCGCCAAATTTTCGCCACGTTACCATAATCCAAAGATTAACCGAACCATGTTATACCAAAATGTATCAATTCTTAGCACAAATGTTTTAACTTTATATTCCTTCTAGTGTTACATTTTCTTATGAATGTACTTATTTGACATATATAGCTCCCTGCAGTTTTCAGAAACTAACTATTAAAAAAAATTCCGTTTTGCCGGAGCAAACGATAAAGTTGCCAATAAGGGTACAACTGATGCCGGATGGAATATCTTCGCTTGTAACCATTTACAACTCATTTTCAAAACAAGTCACAACCATTTCTTATCAGATCGATTGTCTTTCAATACTGGCATACAATTACATTGAATTTTTACAAGATAGCTTAATTTTATGCCCTTAAGACCATTCGCAGTAACTAAGTCAATTAGGATGCAATAACACCACTTACCCGAAGCCGAAAATATAGAAAAGGCAAAGTAAAGGGTTAAATTCATAAATTATAGTGAGAATGCACTAGCGAAGTAAAGCACTGCGGTTTTTCAGAATTTCTGAGTGCGCAAATCGTACAAAATGGAAAATTCTTGCATTTACACTTGTATTCCAAATTAAGATTTAACCTGAAATTAATGTAGATAATTACTGAGAGAATTAGATTTTTGTAGCGTAGTTTACATGAGATGAGATCACTTGGGGTCACGTGATACGAACCCGCGAATCAGGATAATGAACCATGAAAGCATAGTGAATTCTTAAATTAATGTCTTTTTATAATTTATTGTCCTTATTTATTGGTCTTTTTCAAAATTTTAAACCATATTAAAATGTTTATGAGTTCAAAATAAAAAATTCTTAGACCTAACATTTGTTAACATTTTTTATGTGTATACTGTATGTTGTCACCAACAAAAGTCTGCTTGGCAAGATTGGCGAAACGGAAAAGTACCAAAAAATCTTTAAACTTAACAATCCTGAATATCAAATGTTTACAGTTTCTATGATGCTTACTGGTAGATTTCTATGATGTACCAACAAGAGAATATAATTTTAAAACAAGCATTATTGATCAGCACTGAAAAGCTAGCATTCATAATATACTCATTTTTATGGTCAGTATTTTAAGATGTATTAAGTCATTTTCAACAGCTTTAAAAATGAAACAAACTAGAACAAATAAAAATTTCAGCGGAAAAATGCACAAATTCAGTTAATTAATTCATCAACTAAAATAACAAGTATCCTTTCAAATGAACATACTTTTTAAAAATGTTAAATATAATTATGAGAAAATTCAAGCTAGCAAAAATAAGCTAAATATGAATAAGATAAGGTCAGAAAAGCAATATTAATACATACTGTAAATATGTATTTTCCAGTTCTATCAAACAGCACACAATAAACTGATGATAAATGCCCTAAAAGTCTTCGATAAAGTTGAGGACGAGCATGGATCTTGGGTGAAAATGCATGTCGGATGGATATAGCACCACTTAATTCTCGAGAGACTAGTACCTGAGCTAAATGAGGGAGAATAACAGAATTATTTCTGTTTAATATCACAAAAGAATAGAGAAATGGTTTTTATTAGATAAATATTGCATAAATTTATCTTTAAAGACTATTTCTCTGAAAGATTCTTTAAAACAAAATTCTGCACATTTAATTTGATATTTATAAACTGATATAAGTGATGCCTTAATCAAATTTAGAGATTTTTTGCAAGGTTGAGTTTTTATCCCCAAATAACTTGAACACTTTATCGCCAATTCCTTTTACAACCCCGTATAGATGACATTTTGTAAATATTATTTCATAAAGTTTTTAAAGTTGGAATTTCGATAAAAACAAAAGATAGGCAGTCTAATTAGGCCTAGAGGAGTACACACATAAAATTTCGTGAAGATAGCACTTATCGTTTTAATTCTGTGGGAGTTCCCGAAGCAGGCACACTGATTGAATAGAGCTTCAAAAAGAGTGCTGAAATGAGCATTACTGGAAAGCATGTAAAAGTGCAAGAGATTTTACCTACGATTAAAAAAACACTAGATTCTGAATACTGTAGCAGATTTAGCATTACCCAGGGTGTGCCACAGGAAGACCTGCTACTCGACACCCCCTAAAAAGATCTTTTTTGGTTATACGATGATTACATGCATATGAATGGGGAAAAAAAAGTAACTTTGGTATATGATATTTACATTATTTACACTTTAGTCTTTTTTTTTTTTTTTTTCCCATGGTGGTACTTTTTTTCATGGTGGTAAGAAAGTGACACCTTTGAAAAAGCACAACTCAATATTGCATGTTTTGCGCATGTACCGAGATCCGTATAAGATTCACTATCTGAAAGCAATTCGTGTAGCACTTTGAGTGCTTCAGAAATGGTCAGTCCTTTCTGATCCGTTTGGAAAATAATTAAAAATTTGAAAAAAATAAACTAATATTATATCTACAATTAGAAATTATAAACTATAAAATTAAATTAAATAAACATCTACAACTCAAATCTATTAAACGTAGCGCTAGCAAAACTTTGAACGAAAGCGAAAGAGAAAAAGAGAACTGCTGTAGTGAAAAACCAAACAGCTAACCAATAACATTACCATTGATATTCAGAAAATCACCCCAACAAGTTTGTTAGTTAATAACCAAACATCCCCTCAAAAAAAAAAAAAAGAGAGAGAGAGAGAGAGAGAAAGAAAGAGAAAAACAGGAAATGAAACACAGATGTGGACCCACATTTCTGTTGTCAATGAACTGACTGATGAGATGCGGAGAAACAAAGAATACAGTCTCTCAGTTGTCGTAGTTTATCGGGGAGCCCATTCTGGGCACAGCTGGGGATTGCCGTTCGATTTTAGGCAAGATTTCAAGATAAAAATTTAAAACTAATATACTAATAATATTCAGGAGATACAGCCAAAAAAATAACAGAAATTTCTTTTCAAACAATTCCTTTTATACCCTAAAAAAAATCTGGAAGATTTCTTTGTAAAATGAGGGTCTTAAAAAACTAAACATGGCTAAAATATATGGATTGGTTTGTGCTGAGCTGCTATCAACTATAAATGAAGAAGGTTCAGAGTAACTTATAAATCCTTTTTCATTCAGTTTTTCTGTGCATACAGAAGGAAATTTTTAGGGTGCCCATAACGGGCACACCGTCCCACTAAAGGTTAAGCTGCGTACAGTATGTTCTTTTTATTCTGAACAATGATTTAACTTACATATTCAAATGATTTTAATCTCAAAACTGTTTGAAAATACAAATAAATTACTCATAGCATTTCTTTGTTAATTATCATGAGTTATTTCAATTTTCTTTTATACCTATACATATATGTATGTATATATTCAATATTTAATTTCATTTCTACTTTCAATTTGCATATGCATAGCAAGGACGAAAGTTGCCTCAACAGTTGGAGGAAGTGTGAAATAAGCTAATTCCTCCTGAAGAGTCGGTATCATTTCATTATCTTTTCAATTGTTCATTTTTAAGTAATTTTCTTTTTATAGCTTTAATGATCATTAAAAATTGTTGTCTTAAATATCACTGACAATTTCTGTCACAATTTTACGCATATCCACTACTACTGGCCATTGCTAGTAAAGCAATTACAAGTGCAGATTTATATGTAAGATAAAAATATGTAAATCAGCTTTATAATTCAATTTAACCATAAGCTTTTCATTACTCATTTTTATGTTAGTATTTTCTCATTGTATTCTAAAAATTGGAATAAGTTTCCCAGACTCTGTCATTTCTAGATCAATGTATGATACATGGCTTGCTTTAGGCTGATGACAACTAATTGGGAACTTGAACTCAAGATTTTAAGAACTGAAACTTTTCTAACCTAAACTAAAACGTTTCTTTTGGCAGTCTTCCATATTTCATTAAATGTGCACTTTGCTTCTACCTTTGCTGCTGTTTTTTTTTTTTTTTTCTTTTTTTTTTTTTTTTTTTTTTTTTTTTTTTTTTTTTTTTTTTTTTTTTTTTTTTTTTTTTTTTTTTTTTTTTTTTTTTTTTTTTTTTTTTTTTTTCTGCAGCTTGGACGTAATTTTGCTGCACTCTCTTTCTATTCCACCAGTATCAATGTAAATTTTCTCGAAATAGGCACGATTAGAGTACCAAGTTAATTGTGACCAAAAATGTCAATTTAAACAAAACTGGAATTTAATCTGCCTTGACTGCCAAGTTTCCCTTTCAGTATGGATTAGCATTCTACACAATCTTTTTTTTTTTTTTTTTTTTTTTTTTTCTTCAGTATACACCTACTACAAATGGAGGACAAAATAATAATAATACCTGTGAAATAATGGAAAATCTTTATTGATAGAGGGTTGGAGAATCCTTTGACTGAAGTACAGATTGGATGTAACATGGGATAGATACATAAAGATCATGGACAATATTTAAAGGATTAGTAAGCCATTCCTCCTGCAGAGCGGTCTCTAATTCCAAAGTCCAGATAGAGGTGAAAATCGGGAACGAAGTTTGGACCAAATATGCCCATAAATGTTCAATAATATTCAAGTCCGGAGACCGAGGGGGGCCAAGCGAGATGTTCATTTGCATCGTCATGCTCTTTGAACCATTCTTAAAGACACCTAGCAGTGTAAATAGAGCATTGTTGTGTTGAAAAAGCATTCGCTCCTCAGGGAATACAGTCTGGACAAAAGGATGGACATCATCCCCTAGAATGCTTAGATAGTGATTGGATGTGATCCTCCCATGCAGAATAACAAGTGACCCAAGACTGCGCCAATATATCACACACAACACCATGAAGGCGCCACCGCCTTGCTTCACAGTCGGCAAGAGGCAGTCGGGATGAAATGCTTCTTCGCGCGTTCTCCAGACATAAACGCATTCGGTCATCTGAAATGGGGTGAATGACGATTCATCTGACCATATTACCTGTTGCCACTGCTGTGGAGATCAGCCTTTGTGATCTCTGCACCATCGGCATCACTTGAAAGCATTAGTTGCTTTCACCAAAAGTTTACAAATTGCCACTCTGCAATAAATGTTCACAGCATGAAGTTCCCTTTTGACAGTTTTTGTTGAAACGGGGTCCTGGAGATGACTGTTCATTTCGGATGTTATCTCGGATAATTCGGCCACTGTTGTGCTTTGAAGACATCATCTTACCCTCTTTTGTGTACGCTGTCATAACGACAGATACCATACTCCTTGCACACCCCACAAGGTTTGCTATTTCCTTAATCAATGCCCTACTTAAACACGTTCCAACTATCATTCCTCTTTGGAACTCTGTCAGGTCTGACATTTCAACTTTTCACAGGCAGTTCGATCGAAGCATGCAATGCAGGTGACTGCTGTTGAGAGACTGACACCTTCCTCTTCATGCTCGCTAGGTGACAGACTTCTGTTGCAGGTGGCACGTCTGTACTGCAGGTGTGAAATACATTATACTTTTTCACAGGTGTTCACATTTTGTCCTCCATCTGTATCTGTCCTCTCTATGTGATGTGCAATCAGTATTTCTACATCTCAGTGTTCCTACACCAGTACTTCTAAAATTTGTTTTTATTACATATAAATATATATATATTTATCTAGTAAATAAACAAAAATTTCTTTCTAAGAAACATTTCCTCATCATTTCCTATGCAATAATCATATTGATCATATTTAAATTAATCATATAACTATTTTCTTCTTCATTCAACAAAATTTACTTACTAATATTTGGTGGATATGCAGACTGAACTGCAGGTGATGGAAATAATGGCATCCCATTCTTTTGTGCCGAAAGATTGATAGAATTATACTTTGGCTTTTCGATATCTAAGGAAAAATCCACAAAAGAAAAGATTACACTCAATTGCACAATATATATTTTTTTAAATAATATAAAAAGGTAATAAAATTATCATTAAGTAAAAATCACGTAAAAATTAAAAAAAGTAATAAATTTGAAAATTATCACCTCTTACTAAACATGAAGAAACATATCAAATGTTTTATACTTGAGGGAATTTATTATCAGAATTTAGAACCTAAATTAAATAGCATATGCTATATGTCATAATAGCTATTAGAACATATAATTTGCCAAATGACATAAATGTTTCAGAAACTAAACAAAACACAAAAGACAGCAATTTTATAGCTTTATTATATCACGATTTTAAAAGAAAAGGCTAGGCTAAAGATCTTTTGTCTGGCAACAGAGGGGAAAAAATTGTTAAAGACAATTTTATAGCATCAAGTCTTTATTTCCACTCTTATAATAACTATGATGAATCAAATATTATTCAATTTTTTTTTTATATTTTATAGCATAAAATAATTAGATTGCAAAATCCATCACAATATACAATTTGAAAAACTACATGTGAACAATTTTTTATTCTATTTATTTAATAATGTACATTTTATTTTTAAATTAAATAACAAGTATGTAAGATATAATTTATATGCAAGATAAAAATATGCAAAGTAAACTTCTAATTTAAACTGGCAATAGCCCCATTATAGCCTTCTTTTTAATTTAGACATTTCCCCTTTTTGTCCTAAAAATATTAACTGCTTATAATATGTGACTCTAAAGTATAATCTGAATCTGAAATGTCATTTCGAAATTAATCCTCTTCATACTATCTTACACAACACTACAACGCAGATGCTGTTCAACCAATCAGATTAAAGATTTTCGATTATTAAGAACTGAAACTTTCTGATTGTCTCATGCTTCTGAATGCTTTGCTTTGTTGTTGCCAACATACACCACACTCGTTTCTCTGTATCATCCACTGTCTAACGATGTATTAAGCTTTAAAAAATATGCATATTGTGCTCATAATCTTTTGAATCAGATTATGCATCTTAAAAATTAGCTTTACCCAATAACAAAATTATATTAAACCTACTGCTATGTCTGTTTACAAGTGTCACCCTCCGCCTACAAGTGTCATCCGTCTATCTACACAATACAAATCTCTCCAAGTTACATCTATGCAATAAACCACCTCCAATCCATTACAGCTAATCTAACAAATCTATTACACATATATAAACAGGGTAGTCATAAAAACACTTTTCCAATATACAAACCACTAGCAGCCTATACACCCAACCAATCAAAATTAAATTTATTATTATTAGAAGGTGTATACTTAAGACTGTGATGAGTTAAAACATTAGAGCTCTCACGGTTATGATTATAGTGCAAAATTTTCTAAATGGCAACACCCACTATTTTAGCATTAAATTAATCCACACATTGAAAAATCACAAATGGCAGTGCAGCGTATGACAAATACTGCCAACCGAATTTTGCCCGCTAGTAATAATAAAGGTGAAACTTTGAAATACTAATATAAGAGTAGAGTGTTTTAAAACTACTCTCTATTATTAAATACTTAAACTGGATAAAATATAAATAATAAGGTCTTAAAATCCATTACCTGCACATAATGCTATTAAGACATAATGTGCAAATACTGATTAAATTAAAATTAAAACTAAAGAGGCAAAAAAAATGTAAGAAAATAAACATTATATTATTAATTGACAAAATTAATAGTGAAAATTAAACGAAAAGATTTCAACTTTACTACTACGAAACTTACTAACTGGTTTTCTAACATTTCCAAAAAGGGTTTTAAGTAAGAGTATTAATAATCAAATAAAACATATTAAGAATATTTGTACTGAGGTAGAACAGCAACAAGAAGAAATTTTAATGCTTACAGACCCTAATAAAATAATCAAGCTCCATTAACTTTCATTAATTTACATTTAAAAAAAGTTGGAGTAATCTACAACCATTGAAGTTTTATCTCATGATATGAAAGGCATTCTTAAACCTAAATTTTAGGAGGAATGGCATGAACGTTCGAGAAAGTATTCCATAGTGCAAAATATAAATAGTATTTTTTTTTTTTTTTTTTTTTTTAATTTGACATTTCTTTATATATAGCTATTCTTTCTTTGACTAGAAAATAGGTAATGTTTCATTCTCTGAGTTGCTACTATTTGCCAATTAGCATGAAGATTTCTCCCCCCCCCTCCTCCTTCATAACATTTACTACTTTTCATTTTTTATTGCTTTACAAATTAATTTTTATAGTTTTTTTTAATTCTAATTTTTTTCGCTAATACTACATGGCGAGGATATAAATTCGACAAAAGCAACCCAGACTTTCCTTTCTCAATCCGAGAAAAATTCCAGATTCTAACATTTATTTTATCACAGGTTCAACAAGATGCCATCAATTATGCTTTGGCTCTTTATTCACAGTTGTAATTATTTCTTTCCTTTGCATATAAAACTGTAAAAATTTTGAAACTATTATCAAAGTAATACAGACTGAATAATTTAAGGAGTTCTGATATTAGATTTTTTAATACTTTTTGCTTATTTACTCAGCCATATACATAAGAATTTGTATAAAGACTAAAATTTTAAACTTGTTGAAATAATTACCTTCTTTTGTCCTTAAAAGAGATTGTCTTCCCACTCCTAACAGAGATGTTAAGCCTGGAACAGTTGGTGGTATTTCTTTATCTAAGATGGGTCCAATTCTTGAGCATATCTTCAGCAGATGGTCATCTGATATCTGGGATAGGTAACTATCCTATAATAATAATAAAGACATTAATATACCAAAATTATACCATTTATTTTTTAACGTTTAATGGCATTTTATTACCTCAATTTTTTTTTTTTTTTTTTTTTTTTTTTTAAAACCGACTACTAGGTTTTTAAAAACACTTGCATATTACGAACTTGCAGTGCTTTCTTAAATTAATGAGTAAATCAAAAGCACTGATAATTTAAATCCATTGTATTTATGTGTCCTGTAGGAAGGAAATGCATATGGTCGAACGTCAGAGTATACCTGGACGCCTCTTCTACAATGACTGGAAACGTCTACAATTTGAGCGAACAATATTGACTTAATTTTTTGAGTCAATATGTATCAGACTAGTATGGACAGCCATCGCAATGTATCGGAGAAAGCCATTCTGTGGTTCTCAATTGGAGGGCGGGTGGGTCCATTTGACTTTATTGAAAGGGGACAAGGTTTCAAGGAGCTTTAGATCATTCGCAGTACAGACGAGTGACGAAATTTATAGCATGCGCTGGCTGAAGTTCTAGGAATATTCTCTCATTATTTCACTAACTCACATGCTGTATTTGTAGTTTAAAAAAAAAAATGGCACAAAACAGTATAATGACTAACACGCAGCAGAATATGCTGCTGTGTGATGTGAAGAAAAATCCCATTTTTTAAGGGGAAAGTTAACGCCAGAATTTAGGTCTAAGAAATAAAGAGAGATGTGGGATACCACGAAAGCAACGGTAAATAATAGATAAATGAATTAAGCTTACTTTAAATCTTTTTAGAAATAAACAATTTTAATTATTTAAATTTATAATATGATTAATTTGCATTACAATCTAATAGCAAACTAAGTTTTTTTTTTAATTTTTTCCCCCCATGCTTACATTAAAACTGTGTTTTCACACAATTTATTTTACAGTTAAAATTAGAAAAATATTTCTTAATGTAAGAAATTAGAAAGAAAATATTTTTTCTTAATGTTTATTTTTTTTATTTTATTTTATTTTATTTTATTTTATTTTTTTTTATTTTCTGTTTCTATGAAAATTATTTCTTTCAGGAAAAGAACTAAAATTTATTTGTTATTACGGTATGGCTGATTGTTGCTGCATTCAGCTATCACACATGCATCAAAATTTTTTACTTTAAATAATTTATTCTATAATTAACAGGAAAGAAAATATTCTTTAATATAAAATATGTAACCAAAATTATGCTAATCTGTTCTGTATGCGTGATTAATTCGTATTGCAATTTTTGTCACGCATATATTAGTAATACAGTCAAAAGTCGTTAATCCAGACTCGTTGGGACTTCGGCGATTCTGGATTATCGATTTTTCCGGATTACAGATCATCAGTTTAAATCTGGTAAGATGACATGCAGAAATTACAAAATTAAAAATATGAAACCGTAATTTATGAAATAAAGAACAATTATGATCTAAAGGGTATCAAAATTTACATAAAAAAAGCTTAATATTTATTTGTTTACTTTATTAAACATTTCTTTCAATGTAAGTTGTTTAAGTTGCTTCGTTTCATGTGATAATACTTTCTCTTTAATTCTATTAAACGGACATAATTTCTTGTTTAGTTACAAAGTTCCGCTGTTCAAGTCCTATAATTGCTTTAAATCATATCAAAGACGGAGTACATGACATGAAATACTACATTTAGTAAGGAATTATAACATTTAGTAAGGAATTATAAGCGCCATGGTGTTTCCCCCCCCCCTCCTCCCCAGAGCAGCGTGAAATTGATAAACAGATTTCGGAACATACTTTCGCTTTGTAAATCCTTTACATATTAGTAAATATATATCGCAAATTCTATTTGACATAATCGAAAGTTCAAGCTTACTTTTATAAAGTTGCTCTAACAGTCTGCAAAAAATAATAAGCCGGATCCAATTCGAAGATTAAGGAACAACGCAATCTGCAACATTAACTGAATTAGATAATTTTAGCTTAGCTTCTTATACCGTCCGTTATATATTAAACGCGCATGTGCACACACATATTTGCAGCCGTAAAGGTCTTACGTGCATGCGTAAACGCCTATGCGCATGCGTCAAAGCGACGCATGCGCAGAAAGTTTGTAGCTTTGAGGTCCGGATTATGGGTGTCCGAATTAACGACTTTTGACTGTACTTTTTTTAAATATTACATTGCCGTTATTTTAATTTCATATACATATAAGAACTGATTATTTTAGATATTCTTCCTTCTCAAAAGATTTTATTCTGTGAAAATAATTAAAAGATAGTAATATTATTTTCACAATGGAAGGACTAAAGTAAAAAAAAATCAATGCAGGTCTCCTGCAGTTGAAGAAGTCCTTGTTAAATCAGTGTTTTGACACATTCAATAGAAAACTAATAATAATCAATATCTCTTTTACAATATAAAAATAAAAACTCTGCTATGAACAGGGTTTTCTTTTTTTTAAGTTTGCAAAGAAACAATGATTTTTTAATACTAATAGATTACAAAAGTACTATTTCATGAACAAACCCTCAGTCTCATAGCATTGTTACTTTATAGCATAATACAATAATAATGCACTATAATTCTGCTAATAAGCCCACCAGCAGTCGAGCGGTAGAGTCGCTGAACACAGGTAGTTCAGTCCGAGGTTGGAATCCGACGAACGGGCTGGCCGCATCGGTTTTAGTGGATTTCCTTATGTGTACCGTGTATACAAGCCAGTTTCCCTCAGAAAGTCTCTTAGGAACCATTAGAAAACAGTTTTAAATCGTAATAAAATTACACATACACGCAGAAAAAAATTTAAAAGCCTTAAATTTTACATTACGCCCAAAGGGCAGTTTTTTTTAACGTTTTTGTGTGTTACTTTATTTATTAAATATTATGTTCTTCGCACTTAAACCATAAAATTCAATTTAACAGCAATATTATATAATTTAAAAAGAGCATATCTTTAGAATTTCCAATACACAGTCTCGCACGCTAGAGATGAAAATCCTTTTTTCCACTTCCCCCCCCCCTCTCCTACAATGTTACCATTGGTCGTTTTGAAATTGTCGAGTTTCTTAATCAAACACTCATAAATGCTTTACAAAATATGAAACAGATAATAAAACAAATTCCCAGTTTCAAATTTGAACCTACAGATGCCTATATTAGGGTAGAGGATTATGGAAATTTAATGGTTCTAGGTACCGTTGTTTTATCACAGTGCGAGAAACATTCATACATTTAAGCAGATTCTTCATTATTTAATTTCTTTAAATATAATACAGTGCGATAATATTTAGGGGCAACAATTTAAAAAGTGAAATGCCATTTATTGTGAAACACTGCAAAATGGCAAAACGAAATCAATAGCCCTTCTGACCTAAAAATTATTTTTAAAAGTACCACACTAGTAATACTACAACTACAGAAAAAATATTATAAATTTATTTATTTATTTTTCATTTTTATTTTACATTAGTGTGAATTTCGCGTAATAATGGTTGACATTCCTTATTGTGTTCACGGTATTGTTCGTAAGATATTTCACTGTTATATTTTAAAATAAACTTAATTCTTGCTGTACATAAATTGAGTAGATGCTTCTTGGATGTCTATACTTTTATTAACTGAAGAAGGATTATGTGCTAGATAAATACTTATTATCTTCTACATTTTTAAAGTATATAATTACAATATATATCTATAATATAAATAACCTTCCTTTCAATAGACAATGTTGAGACACAGAAGACCTGTTGCTCAACTTTGTTGGTCCGAAAATCACACTTTCAATTCTTCTGCTGCCAAATTTATACAAAAAACATCTTCCATTGGAGAACTGGATTTTCTAGAGGCATTTCACATTCAAAAAAATCTTCCTGTTAACGATCCTAATTCCAATCCATCTTTGCCTTCGGCCTTTAAAGAAATTATGTTTTAGTTCTGGTTTTACCAACAGATGGCATTACTTGCTTATTCTTGTCCAGGCTTTCTTATCTTATCTAATCATTATTTCCTATCTTGTTCATTTTCGATTTTGCAGCTGAGGATGGTGGTTCGGTAAAACCATCGAAACTAGTCCTGTGAAAATTTTGAAAATATAACGCTGATTTTTGTTGTTTGGCTTCTGAATTAGTATTTATTCGGCGTGTTATTGTGTCTTAATTTAGGACTGAGACGTCCATTCCAGTGGCCGTTCAGGTTCAATGGCCAAGGTAAGTAACGGCATATTAGGTGCAGATTTTTTGAATCAATTAATTGATATAAAAAAGAAACAGTTAATTGATGACATTACTCAATTCTCAAGTACTATAATGTCAATTGGTGTTGATCATATTATACCTACCATAAATAATTCTTTCAAATTTGCTGAATTGTTACATCAATACCCAAATATTACAAAACCTAATGTGCTAAATAAGCAAACAAAGCATAATGTTAAACACTATATTTGTACAAAAGACCAAACTGTATATGTACATGCACGGCAGCTAGATGGGAAAAAACTGAAACTGGCAAAGCAAGAATTCCACTTTATGCTTGATAACAATATTATCTAACCATCAAAATCCCAGTGGGCCAGTCCTTTGCATTTAGTAAACAAAAAAGACAGAACACTTAAGACGGGGATTATAGACGGCTAAAAGCTCAGATAATCGCAGACAGGTACCAGAATAGAAGATTTTCATCTCATTTTGAATGGGAAATCCATTTTCTCCAAACTAGATCTCTTAAAAGCTTATTACCAAATTCCAATTGCAGAAGTGGATAAGCCAAAACAGATATCATTACTCCATTTGGGTTATTCGAGCTTAATGTCATGAGTTTTGGACTTAGGAACGCACCATCAACTTTTCAGCATTTTGTGCATGAAGTATTCCAAGGCCTTGATTTTTTGCATTCCCTTATTTGAATGATATATTAATAGCCTCATCGTCAGAAGAGGAGCATAGTGAACACCTAAAACTAGTGTTTAAAAGATTAGACAAATATGGTTTGTGCATCAATATATCAAAATCTCTGTTTGGAGTTGAAGAAATAAAATTTCTCGGATATCTCATAAATGCTGCAGATTCAAGGCCTCTTCCTGCAAAAGTGCAAGGGATTTTGAATTACAAATTGCCCAAAACAATTCATGACCTACCTACTTTACTATGTATGGTACTACAGCAGATATCTAAAAAATGCATCAGAAACACAAGCCATTCTCCACGAGATGCTCAAAGGTGCTAAGAAGAAGGATAAGCGAAAAGTTTCATGGACAGAGGAAGCTAAATTGCAATTCGAAACGTGCAAAACAGATTTGGCTAACACTGCTTTGTTAACGTTTCCCAAACCTGATTGCCTATTATCCTTATGTACAGATGCCTCAAACTGGGCAACAGGATCAGTCCTCCAACAATTGGATGAAGGAAGCAGGAAACCCATCACTTTCTATCCGAAGAAATTGAATGAAGCACAGGGGGCATGTATGACTGAGAATTACTACAAATATATCTCTCAATAAAACAATTTAAACATTTATTAGACAATAGAGAGTTTACAATTTTTGCCTTTAGGCAAAATAATGAAAAAGCATCAAGCAAATGGAGACAACTTCAGTACATCTCTCACTTTACCACTAACACCCAGCACATTATAGGCAAAGAGAATTTTGTGGCAGATACCCTGCCTCGAGTTGAAGAGATTGCTATTATTGACTATGAAAAGATTGCACTGGAACAAGGTCAGGATGAAGAGCTGAAAAAGTTAATTGTTGGAGAGACTTTGTTGATCTTCAACAGCTCTAAACTCTCTTCTGGACACATCTTATGGTGTGATTGGTTTCATCTTATGATGTGATTGTTTAAATTCCTAATTTTTCACTCTGTGCTTTAACTAAACCATAACTTTGAACTGAAGAGATAGAGTCTGTCGATCCGGCAGTTGTTAACCATGTGTTGTATAGTGTGTATGGATTATGTGTCAATAAAACTCCTCCATTACGTTTTCGCTGATTTATTTTATAAAAAGCAATTCATATGATCCTACTGTCAAGTCGATGCAATGTATCGGAATCATTATCAATATTGATTTAACCATGTAAAATAGTTTGTCATCTCCGGACATGGACAAATTGATTTCCCGGACACAATTTTCACATATCCCACATTGTTTTCTCATGCTTCCCATGCACAGCTTCTAATATTATCAAGACTAAATTAATATTTTAATATTATCAAAACTAGAAAAAAAAGTAATGACCTAAATTTAAAGGATATAATTAGTTTATTTAAATTCATAGAGACTTCTCATTAGGGAACAGTCATAAAAAGAAAAAGTACGAGATCTTATTATACAGAAGTCAAAAATACAAGTATTTTAGGCTGAGCTCAGATGGTTAATTAAAGATTTCAGACATGTACTTTTGAAGTCCTTCCAAAATGAGAGACAAGAATTTTAAAAACTTCACTTGGGTAGTTCAAAAAGGTTTTGTAAATATAAAATCTAACTTTTCATGTGATATTCCCATCACTAAAATTCCATAATATTTTAATTAAGTAAATACAAAAAGTTCTACATTGTTCAACAAAATAGTTCATTATATTTCAGAATGAATTAAATTAGATTTCAAGTTCTCATATCCATCAAAAGCTTACATTTTTTCCAAACAGATTTGGAAAAGAACCACAAAACAAAAAATAAACATTTCGATAATTTGCATTTAAATTCATAACTTTAAATTTGTATTAGCCACTCTTTTGTATCCCTTTGAGGGAAAGTGCAGAATCGTCCACTCTTGGCGCATTTTTAAGAACTGCACATACTCGGTATCCATGTGCACATCGACCTATTTTCACTTAAAAAAAACATCTCAGAATTGGGTAAAATCCTAGTATACAATGCAGTATTGGCGCGATTTTGAAAATTATCGCCAACACCAAAATGACCCGTTTAACTACTCATCGTATATGTCCCGTTTACTGCTCATCATAAAGTCGCCAAAAGTAGCCAAATCCCTTGTGCACCGAAAACTAGGATTAAACCCAGAATTGCACAAAAATGGCATTGTGCACTGTATCCATGTACACATCGACATATTTTCACTCAAAAAGTCAAAGAAAATTGACAAAAATCCAATTCTTCTTACTCTTGAAAAAAGCGCCAAACAAATAAGTGGGCGATTCTGCTCTTTACTCTTCAAAAGGTTTTTTTTTTTTTTTTTTTTAAGAAAGAAAAGGGGAAAGAAAAAAAAGATAAGTGCATGGTTAATTTATTTTGGAAACTTATTTTACACTTTTATTACACAATAAATTTAATAATAAACTAAATGCTCACGATAACAAGCAAAAAAACGCAATTCAGAAAAAAGTGAAAATTAGAAGATAATTGAAAATCTTTCCTAAGTATGTGTCTAATTATTGCTCCATTGATGAAATAAATTAGCTACATAGTTAAGACTTTTGTTTTTGCATTTTATAATATGTGTAATATGGTTAATTCTGGTTTAACTTCTATCATCTCTTTTAGATCCTTGGTATTTTATGAATTTATGTGAAATTTTGATTTTACTTTTATTGTGATGATTATTATTATTTATTCATCTAATAACTAAATACATTTTCACTATATTGCATGCATATACGAGTCAGTTCTCCTTCGAAAGTTCTCCATAAAGGCATCCCTCCACTTAGGCAGCTAAACCTCGAGGCTTTGCATAATAACATAAACCCCACCATTCTTATTACATATTTCAGTTCCAAAACAGTTAATTTTATTATTTTATTGGATGTCTTTTATTATGCTAAATTCCCAATTTTATCGTTCTACTGGATTAAGATTTATTCTGGATTTGCCAAGATATTTTTGTTGGTTAAACTTTGTTTTCTAGCAAACAAACTTAAGATCTAGATTTGACAAAATTAAAACTATAACATAACTTTTCAGCTTTTTTTTTTTTTTAATTCATCCTATAGGGATGAAATTTTTATGTAACTTCAAATAAGGAACTAAAGTAAGTTCATTTCACTTAAGTCTCCTTTTTTGAACTATTCATTATTTTTATTGGTCTCTAACAATCGAATTAATATTTTAGTAAAAATTTTCTGAAAATAATTGAAAAAAAACAAAAACTACTGACACTCGTATTCTAAACCATTCAAGCTTTATGAGAAACTGTTTAAGTAAGATTATTTTTCAGAGATTAACAGACAGGACTTTTATGATTAACTATTCTCACAGCTAGAATTGTATAATCGAAATTTGATTTCGGCACAAAAAAAGAGCCTAAGCACAAATGAACATCGTAGAAGGAGCAGATACACGCCAAATGCGATAACCCTTCCCATAAAATGCTGCTGTGCTGACGTCATAAGCGTAAAAGGTTACCGAACAATGTATAGTTCTCATTGGATGAAGAGCACACTAACGCTACGTCACAGTACAGGGACGCAATAACTCTCTTCCCCCCCTTCTCTCCCGTTTGTTTTAGTATTCAATAAACATCATAGGAAAGATAAGGAATATACCAAAATACGACAAAAAAATAACTTATTACTACATAAATTAGCATTATTTATACCTCAAACAATGTAATTCACATTAAGATGTCTTAATAATATAGATTCCGGAAAAAAATTCAATTAAAATGCATAAATGCAAAATTTACGAAAAACTAAAAATTTTTAACTTACCAACTCATTAAAGCTTCTACTATGCTCATTTCCAAGCCAATCAACACGTTTCGGCAACAACTGTAATTTCAAAAAAGTTTTACAATATTAACTATTATTAATATATAGCATGCAATATAACGTAAACAAACGCCAACTTGTCAAACTAAACCACGTGGTGGCACACGAGGTGTAAAAAGTGATCAAACTCATGTCAAAACTTACATGGTGTTCCTCAATTTCTTTCCTAAGAACCTACAAAAAAAATACATGTAAGTACTACATTCGAATACTACAGCTTAATAACGCTCAAAAGAAACTCTACTTACCTCTGCTGCTTGCTTACACGGCCCAGTGTTGAGAAATTTTGCAATCAATAAGTATAGTTCTGAAATAAACATATCGTTATACCACTTATGAATTCTACCTGATATTACTTACTAGCACAAGTTAGGCTTCACAATATAAATATTCTAACTTACCTGCTTCTAAATTTGAAGACTTATTCTTAATCCTACGATCACTCGGCATACTGTAGATAGTTCAAAATTTCCAAAATAATCAAATTACACACAACCATAAACTGTTCTGTTTCAAATGAATTATAAACAGAAGAACAGCTCTAAAGCATATCCTCTAACGACATTGAATACTAGTCTTTGTGTAATGATATGTAACAGTAGAAAACATAGTTCCAACATTAAATCATTCATTGGATATTTAAATACATAAGAACAAGTATTCATGAACATTAATAACACAAATTATAGTCATTTTTACAATCAAAAATCGAGAATTTCTCTTGATTCAGTCCGATGATTTCCAACGTATGTAGGATGACGACCAAAGTTCACCGCGCATGCGTCATCGTTGAGGCTTTCCTTGGCGAGACCGAAGGCAGTGTAAAGTAAGAATTTTCGAGTATAAGACATTTTTACCTAACAAGATCCTATGGTATAATAATTCACTTATAATAGACTTAAATAAATCCATAACTTTCGAGATGTGATGGAAGTCACCATCAATTTAATGATGAATGTACATTTTGACGTGGTGGCTGAGTAAGGTTACATCACGTAGTGGAAATTCATTCGTAATATTTTCCTTTAACGTTTAAATGGCATACAATAATAAAATAAATACATATAATTATATTTTAAACACTGCAGATATCATTTTTTAACTAATGAATGAAAAAACAAGAAGGTGTATTAAAGATAAAAAATATTTCTAGTTGCGTATGATTGCGCAATTTTCTACGTGAATTTTACCTATTTCGTTGGATATAATTTTTTACGTTTGACAGTTTCAAATAATTTTACAGACGGTGTAATAATATTTTGTGTTGTTTCCCGTAATTGTGCATATTTAAACAGATAAATGTTTAACTATTTTTTTTAATGATGTAAATGCAATATTAAAATTAGCTTTCTCGGAATTTCCTCGTGCTTCAGTAAGTTTATTATTCTATACCCTTTCCTCATTTTAACATCAAAATATATTGTAAGTTTTAACACAGAATTTTATTTAATGCCAAATTTTCATTAATAAATTAAATATTTTTTAATAGTTTCTTTTAAAATATTCTGACTGTTATATTTAATTATAAACAACTTATCTGTAAGCACGAAGGGTGGAGTGATTAAAAACTGTTTTGATTTTAGCTTACTGAATAATATCTTAAATAATTTCTTAGAGATTGTGATAGTGGTGAATTTAAAGTGGAATAATCTACTTTAGAGTTTAAAAAGTACTACCATAAAGCCTTTCCCTTTCTTTTTATAAAAACCATTCAAACTAAAATTTCATTTATTACTTCATATGTTTCTGAATCTTAATTCTGATTATGGTAAGAATGCAAAGCCTTTCTGCATAAGGGGAAGGATGCCATCATGGAGGACTTTCTAAGGAAAACTGCCTGATGTACAGAACGCCCATGCAGTGAAACTTTTTGCCTGGAAATGAACCCAGGTCGAGCTACCCATGTTCAGCAACTTTACTGCTTGGTCGCTGGTAGACCCTCTGAATCTTAAAGTAAAATTTGAGAAAACAGTGCAGTGCATTAGTGCAACAATCATCATTCATATTTATCATTCTGATTGTTTTCTTTATAGATGCTTGTGAATTTAATTTACATATTATTTTAATGCAAGGATTATTGCAAATAATATGGTTACTGAGTATGAAAATGAAACCAACAAATTTTAGAATTAGCTTATAAAAAATATATAGAGAGTATATTGCAGAATGGAAGCCATTAAATACAGTATATTGCAGAAATTAGACCTCTAAATGGGTGAAATGCAGCAATACCTTGAAAATATTGGGGCTCAGGATTAGGAAAAATAAAAATTAATTCTAAAAAATTACTACATGAAAGTAATTTTAATATCATATATTCCCGCATATAACCTGCACTTTTAATACAAAATATAAGATCAAAATTTGTGAGTGTGGTGTTATATATCAGATATGGAATATGAACTTAAAAAATTTTCTTCTCTGATGACATTAAAAGTTTGTCAGATATGTCTTCTGTCATATCTTCATCATGTCATCGAATTCTGTTTTATCTTCACCATCACTGTTATTGTGATCCGTTAATAAATAATCATCTTCCATTCTATCTAGATTGTTACATATTGTATACTTTTTTAATGACTTTTGAATTATATCAGTTTAATTGAATTCCATGCTTTTATTATCCACTCACACACAGTTTCCAGACTGGCATGACCCATTTGGATTCCTTTCCCTTCTTTTTTCATTTATTGACTTCAATGTTCACTTCAAATGACTACAGAAAGAAAAAACATCTAACTGCTCTTTTTGTGAATTCATTCAGGCAGGGTGTGCATTATTGCCTCCAATAATGATCTTCTTTTCTCAAAACCCTAGAATAACATTCTTGTGCACAACAACGCATGCTCTTTGCAGAACTATTTACTCTTTCAAGCATTTTCCCTACACACATATTGTTCCCATTGATAATTTGTCAATTCAGTGTACCATTGCTCGAAAGACTGAGAAAATCTTCGAATGAATGACTTCAAAATATAAAAGCATCGAACATGTATCTTACAGATTGCTTCGTAAAGAAAAGGTTATGCTTTATACACCAGATATACCTTAAAACTAAAAAATTTAGTTTGAAATTATAAGCGCATGTTATACATCAAGATAATACGGTATATAAATTATTGCTTTTTAGTCTAGTTTTTTATTCATAGAAGTCTCTTTATGAGCAGTTTATTTGTAAGTGATTTTAAAATTATGCAGTATAATATGTGGTCACCTAAAAAATAAATGACTATTTAAAAGCGTTGGATCGGATGCTGCATAATTACCAAAATTTCTTTCATCCCAGTTTTTGAAGTAAAGTTGATTCCTAACTGCATGTTGACTATGAGCTCATATGGTGACTATTAAATTACCTCACTCTTTCAAAAGCTTAGCACTTCTTTAAATCAGTAATAAATTTGAAAACTTCTCTTACCAATCTGAAATTGTTAATACAAGTAGAATAACAATTTTTAAATATTTTAATTTTTTGAGTTTGTTAAATTAAGATAAAATAATCTTTATTTATTTATTTTATGAGATGGGAGAAAGAATTATTAAATCAAAGAATTATTCATTTGGGATTTGCCTGTATTTCTAGCTTAGAAAAAAAGATGAAAATGCAATTTCTATTAGCATACATTATTTCTGCACCATCTTATACCAAAAACACGGTAAAATCCTACAAGAGCCACCCTTGGCAACAAATCGGGAAGTGCAAAATCACCCACTGCTTCTCGTGTTTCTCAAAATCGCCAACTTGAAAATAACAAGTCAAGGAATTGCACAAACTCGATATCAATCGGCCTATTTTGACTTAAAATATCAGAGAATTTCACAAACTTGGCACTGCACACTCCCTTTGTCCATGTACACATCGATACGTGCCATATAAGTGGGTGCCCCAAGGGTGTGGGCTCTGCAAGGATCCAGCCAAAAAAATTATATACAGTACAAAGTCTTTAATCAGGACTCATCGGGACTTCAGCGATTCCGGATTAGGGGTTTTTCCGGATTATATATCATCAATTTAAATCTGGTAAGATGGCATACAGAAGTTATAAAATTAAAAATATGAAACTGTAATTTATGAAATAAAGAGCAGTTATGATCTAAAGGGTATCAAAATTTACAAAAAACAGAAAAAAGCTTAATATTTATTTGTTTACTTTATTAAACATTTCTTTTAATGTAAGTTGTTTAAGTTGCTTCGTTTTATATGCTAATACTTTCTCTTTAATTCTATAAATAGACACAATTTCTTGTTCAGTTACAAAGTTTCACTGTTCAAGTCCTGTAATTGCTGTGCCGAGAATACCGACTAACTTGTCAATCGAAATTTTTTTGTTTTCACTAACCTCTCTGTCATTTTCTTCATGCCTTTATCCATTTTTTGCAGCAATTCCACTTTTTGTTTGATGGACATCGAAACATGCTTTCGCTTTGTAGATCCTTTGGATTAAGGTACAGTTAGAAGATTAAGGTACAATGCTATCTGCAACATTAACTGAAATAGATAATTAGATAATTTTAACCTAGCTTATACCGTCCGTTATACATTAAATGCGCATGTGTAAATGTATTATGCGCATGCATAAATGAGATGCATGCGCAGAAAGTTTGTAGCTTTGAGGTCCATATTATGGACATCCGGATTAAAGACTTTGTACTGTATTATGTAATGCAATATCCAGAAACCGAATTCTATTAACACCTAATCAAATACATCATAGTGTTATCCGAATTTTAAGGACTTGAACATGCCATTAAAATAAGCACTGGGTTTCTTCATTTAATTTTATATACTTTATAAAAATAAAACATATTGTAGGAACATTACAAAATAAAATTCTTTTATATAACTAAAAAGGAAATGACTGCTTATTATGTGCTTGCTTTATATATCAGTATTTTGGTATTTTTCCGTAATGCATCTGCTATGAATTTTGGCAGGTTTTTTTTTTTAGAAACAATTTCTAGTTACAATAATAGTTTATAGATACACATACACACAGTGACAGCCCTGATGGCACTATCATTGGGTCTCCGCCTGGTGTTCCCTTCTCTTTTAGAGGTAGCAAAAACTGTGGCAGGTGCATAATGGAAAAGTACCAATATATGCATAATGGAGAAGTACAATATATATTGTTAATCGTGCAAACGGCCAAGGGTTTGATACTGATCTCTCAAGCTTCCCAAAAAGAGCATGAGTAATAGGCATTTTCTTCAGTACAAAGTCCGAAATCCATACGTCCATTATCCGGAATGATCTAAAATCTGAACCTCAAAGCCACAAACATTTTTTTTTTTTTTTTTATTAATGCTTTATGCATGCGCATTTGATTTTGCCTTCTATAATAAAACATGGGGAGATTTTCACTTAAAATTTCCGATTCTTAATTTCACTTAGGTTCTAAATAAAATACCTCGTTATGGAAAAACAATCATGTAAGCATAAATTTGTGAGATTTATAATATGGCTCCGTAGCTGAGTATCTACTTGGCATACATCTGAAGTCCGAACACATTCATCACTATTTTATACCCCTCACGAAGATGCTGACTGGCGAGTCCATTATTTATTGTATTTTGCTTTCATCGCCGCATATTTATCAATACATTACAGCTTCAGTAATAACTCATGCTGTGATGGCTAAATTTTTTTTTATATTAGTAATTGAATAACAAGATGTATGGCAACCTATTATGCTAACATTACGCTTGGCGATGATTATAGATTTTTAAATGCTCTAAAGAAATGTTTGACGACGGAAAAAATTCAACAAAAACGTTTCTTTTCATATGCTAAAAATAGATTTAGTTAATGAAACTCATAGGCCAAAAGATTACATTTAGTGCTATTTTAAAGAAGAATAACTTATATATTATTGACCATGAATGCAGAAGCGGCTGCAGAATATGTCGGCACTGGACGGCAGAATTTAGGGAAGGCGAAATTTTTGGAATTTGGGGAAAACCAAGCGTCAAAATTAAGGATGAAAAGTTTTTATGATTTAGGGAAAGCACTGGGATCCAAAGTTTAGGCACAGTGAAAATTTAGAACTTAGGAAAGCGCTTTGTAGCAGAATTTAGGACCCGTAGAGACTGCACCAGGCGGTATCGAGCGCTGGCCCTAGATAAAGCCTTAAATATATGTGGGAGTTTATTTATTCAGGACTCTGATTAGTTTGAAGCATGTGCAAGAAATAAATGTAGGTGTAGTAAATAACTAAAGTAATACAATTCAGGCTTAATTCAGTACACAATAGGAGCAAGACAAAATTTATCGAAACAACTTGGCTTTCATCGCCAATCTCGTGATACACAGACAATAATGTATAACGGACGCTGTTAAGCTAGGCTAAAATTATCTTTACTGATTCTAAGGCTGATTCTTTACTGATTCTTTACTGATTCAATTAATGTAGCAGACTGTGCTGCTCCCTGATCTTCTAATTTAATCCAGCTTATTATTTTTTGCAGACTGTTATTTTTATGGCAATTTTATAAAAACTAAAGTTGAACTTTCGATTATGTGAAAAGAGTTTCCAATTCTGGAGTTGCCAAAGGATCTATCTACAAAGTGAAACTGTTGCGATGTCCATTAAACAAAAAGCGGAATTGCTGCAAAAAATGGGTAAAGGCATATCTGTCTGAAAATTATGCAAGGAGTATGGCACTGGAAAGTCCACTGTATATGACACAAGAATAAAGAGAAAGGAACTTTTTAATTTTTTGTCGAAGCATCTTAAACAACTTACATTGAAAGAAATGTTTAATAAAGTAAACAAATAAATATTAAGCTTTTTTTGTAAGTTTTGATACCCTTTAGATCATAATTGTTCTTTATTTCATAAATTATGATTTCATATTCTTAATTGTATAATTTCTGCATGCCATCTTACCAGATTTAAATTGATAATCTATTATCTGAAAAAATCCCAAATCCAGAATCGCCGAAGTCCTGACCAGTCCGGATTTCAGACTTTGTACTGTATAATTCCAGTTATGACCTCAGTTTGTAGCTTAACTCTTTTTCTTCAAACATATGTGTTATAAATATAAACAAATATGCATGAATGTCTGTGTACTTAAAAATATCACATATCAAGAGTGATATTTTTATTATGATATTGTAAAGTGATATTTAATTTTGTTTTTTATTAAAATACCATTTATCTGAAATACAATGTTACAAAATAATAATAATAATGCATTATAAATAAATTATACAATTTTAACTAATTCGTGTAATATAAAAAAATAAATTCTTCACAAAAGGAAAAAATCACCTTTCATTAAAATATAATTAATTTCCATCAGTAACTGAGCAAATGATACTTTTTTTTATCCTTCAGAATTTTTTTAAATTTATTTTCACGTTTTTACCTCAATAAAAGATTTTATCTTTATTTTACTTTGATTCAACATATTAGTGACTTTATGTATGTGCATTTATTTCAGTATTATATTTATATATGTTTATGCAAAGCTTAGAAAAAAGGAATTTCATGTTTGATAAGTGAAAACAAATATTTGGAAGAAAAAAAAAATGTATGAAAATAGACTCCATTAAAATTACTGTAGTAATAAATTTTTGTGTGATATGAAGCTTCTTAGTATCGGAGACACAAAAGAATTAACGGTTATCTTCTGTTATTAGGACCGGATTAAAATATGTATGTATTATGTATGTATGTATGTATGTGCGTATACACAGCCATACATACATACTAACTATGTACTTACATTATTATATACATGCATGGATGCATGCATAAATTTTTGAATCTGGTTCCACTAACAGAAGAGTACCAAGGCTTAATATTATGAAAAAATGCCCCATACATACATATGTCCCGATAACAGAAGAGTACCAAAGCGTAATATTATGAAAAAACATGTATAGTAAAAATTGCTTATATAATTTTTAAAGTCTGTTTTGAATCATGGTTAACTAATAGCTGACACAACCTGAATTAATGAAAAGTAAAAAATAACCCAACATACATTTTATACTTGTTTTGTAGAATTCAGTACATTTACTGCTTCATTTTTTTATATGTTGTAAAGATTTAAGTTTAAAAAATTGCTTAAACTTTCCTTGATTGGTTATCTGCACTTCCGCTTGTCTCTTTTTAAGGATATGTCTTGGATCCGTGAGAGTAAGCGCTCATGGCTCGAAAAGTTTTGCATAAGTGTTCTAAAAACTGGACCTATACCTCGTCATATTGCCTTTATAATGGATGGCAACAGAAGATATGCGACAAAAAATGGAATGGACTTAAGGGTCATGCATTAGGTTTCCAAAAGTTGTCTGAGGTATTATATTTGAATTTCATAATATTTATTCAGGATTTATAGTCCAGTGCAACATTCTGATTTTTAAAAAAAAATGTACTTCCTTATTATAGCAACTTCCAACCTTAAAAAAAAACTTAGTAAAAATGAAACATGGTGCTAATATGAGAACTAGTAAAAATGAAACATGGTGCTAATATGAGAACAGCTGGTGAGGTATCTCTGTTTATTAATGATTGAATCTCGGAGGCTGCTACAATAAGAAGATACCAAAAAATACCATAGCTTACTCTTATAACTTTAATTAGTCGATACTTCATAATAGCTTACTCTTAATTATTATGTAACTTATCCTTGAATGTTGTAATTATTGAATGGCTCAAGGTGAGAACTTATAAAGAGGCATAATATTTTGTTTTAAACTTCGTTTTCTCTTAAAGATTATGCAATTATAAATAATTATCTGCAGAAGAGTAAAATTCTATTATTAATTTAAAGAAAATATGATACTTTCTGATTATCCGCACCTCAATTGATGAAAAGCCACAAAAAAGTATTGAAGTAATGTACTGTGTCTTAAAAAATATTTATGTTACAACCCACGGTATCGTCAAAAAGTTATTTATGTGGCTTTCCAGGTATACATATAGCATCCCCCCAGACTAATTTCCACTTCTTCGGACATTTTTTGCAAATGTGATTGTAGATTATGATTCATCCTATAAGAATTCCATCATTTTAGCATTGTAATGAAGTACTTACTACAGTTTTGTCTCGAGCAAAATCTCGGATTTAGCTTTCTACTAGGGGAAAGCATATTATGGTGACTTTAGTCATCATGCTCCTCTTTTTTTTTCTTCTTATTTTAAGATTTTAGTGCTGATGTTGTGTGCGATGCCGAGTTTCTGTAACTCTTTGATGCTTTTCTTAGCAAAAAGATTGCTGTGTACATTGAGAGCACAACTATGCAAAAAACCAGAAAGTGTGCATCTTGTAAGGGAAAAGAAGAATAAAGCAAATAGGCATTACTGAATGCACTGTTGAAATAGTAGATGTAAAGATATCCAATTATATATTTATCTCCAAAGTCTGCAATAAAATCTTTAATGCTCTCCAAAGTTTCCAGTTGACACTTTTCAGAGGTTGTGCAGGTAATCAGAAAGTACCAAAAACATAACTTGAAATATGTTATTGTAATTTTTTTGGTGCATTATGCTAATTAATTGGTTGATCTTTGGATTATGGTAACTTGGCGATTTTTTGGCGAAAATTTGGCGACCAACTCTGCTACAGCAACCCTCTATTTTTTTTTTTCGCCGCCATTTTGTCTTCACGAAGTAAAGACATGTTTCTTTTCTTTTTATTTACTGAACACTTTTTCCAACAATGTACTAGCCGAATTACGCTTATGCTAGAAATTTTATGTAACAAAACTGCTTAATCATGACAAATATTAACTGCAAAATTGGGAAAAAGTGCACAATCGCAAACTCCCTTGCGCGTTTTTCAGAATAGCACATACACAAAAACCATTTACACGTCGACTTATTTTTACTTAAACATCCCAGAATTGCCTAAAAATGACATTGCACACTTAACTTTATCCATCTACACTGTTATTTTCTCATAAATTACAAAAATTTGCACGAAAATGCAAAAAAATTCTGTGAATCTTTAAACTCGGTAAAAAACACATATATGAAATTACCTGATTGCGAAAAAGTATATACCCTTTCCAAGGATGAACATTTCCACGTATAAAATAAATAAAATATCCAAAAACTTTTACCTCTAAATTATCTATTATATTATAAACGTTACCAACGAATTCATACCGCAAACATTACAAATGGTTACAAATACTTAGTGTCAAATATTTAAATTATTTCCATTCACGTTTACTTCAACTGAAACGTATATCAAATTCCTACAAACATATAATTCACAAAATAACTATCATTTAATTAAAATGTCACTAAACCATGTACACGTCGACTTATTTTTACTTAAAAAAAATCCCAGAATTACACAGAAATGGCATTGTGCACACTCTTCACTATATCCATGTACACTTCTTTTTTCTCATAAATTAGAAAAATTTCACGAAAATGCATGAAAATACTCAACGTATTCTACTCAAACGTATTCCAAAATACTGCAAACATATAACTCACAAAATCACGATCATTAAATTAAAATATAATTAAATTAAAAAACACTGCTTAAAATATAAATAAGCACATGCATTAAATTAATAAAAATTAGATTACAATCCTAATTACTTTAAACTAATCATTGCTAATAACAATTTTCCAATAATACCATATTAATTTATTTACTCCTTACGTTTAGAACAATGCATAAAAAAATAATATCCTCAAATGATTAAAAATACAACTTACCTAATCTTCAGAATCTTCATACGTGGCACGCACACTTCCACTATTTCACACAACACACAATGAAGCTTAATACAAAATGCAGCTATAGTACTGCAGATGTTTTTCCAAATTTATCCCCTTTTCCGATTAAAGAACTGTAATTTATTTGTCCATTAATGTCACATGACCATATCTCATGATCTCTCATTTCCCTCACACAAAATAATGCGTAATCGGAACTGAGTACTTCTCACATTATTACCAAAGTCCTAGGTAGTAACCTTTATCGCCTCCAAAATGTCGCCAAACTACCAGTTACCATATTCCAAAGATCAGCCGTTTTTTCCTGCTTCCAAAGATCAGCCGTTTTGAAACAAAATGCTATTAAAACAGATTCCTGCTGTTTTAATAGCATTTTGTTTAATATGTTTTGTGAGGTTTCAGGTTTCTAAATCAAAATTTAGTCTATCTAAGTATACCAGGTGTAGAAGTATGAAATGTGAATCCACCCTCCTAAAAAACATGCTAAATATGGAAGACTGATAAGCTACAAAGTATGCTACATCGCTTATTATACATTTTTTCCATCTTTTGAGCAATTTGTAAATAACATGCCAGTAAAAAATCTTCCCCTTTTACCATGAACTATTAATCGAACCATTTTTTACATCTTCGTATGAACCAAAGCGCTGCTGAGCAAGTGCATGACTCATTAAAGCAAACAAACGATATTCGGGAAGAGACAAGTCAGATGAGTAAGCCGCATGGGGTAGAACTTCCCAGCTGAATGCTTCCAAGGTGTTGCAAACTGCTTTTGCCTCATGTGATGGAGCATTGTCATGAAGAAAAGTGGCTTTGTGTTGCCTCTTTTCGTATTTTGGACTTTTTCTAGCAGCAAATGTTTCAGATTGGTCAATTGTTGTTGGTAACAATTCGTAATAACCGTTATCCCAGATTTTAACAGCTCATAGTAGATCATGCCCCTTTGGTGCCACGAAACACAGCATTGTCTTCCTGCCAAAGTAATTCTGTCGATGTTCATGGTGTGTCTGGGTCTACATATTACATTTTGCACTTGGAATTCTCTATGTAAATCCTCTCTTTATCCCCTTTAACTATGCTATGCAAAAACGACTTCCTGTCGTATCGAGTGAGCAAAATGTCACATGTGTTTTGCGCTTTTCCATTTGCCTGTCGCTCAACTGATATGGTACCTATCTACTGGTTTTCTGATTTCCATTCTTTCAAAGTCAATTGGAAACAGCTGGTTGGCTAAAGCCCAATTGCTCGGCGAGTTGTTTTTGCGTTTCTGAATCATCTTCGTCCAACTATGCTTGCAATTCCACATCTTCATATTTTTTTGGTGGTTTTCCACGTTCCTTATCTGCAACATCAAAGTCAGCTCTTGAAATACTAAAACCATCATTTACAGGTGTCTTGCGAAGGAGCGTGTTCACCATAAGCTTCTTGAAGTAATTGGTATGATTCAGCAGCAGTTTTCTTGAAATGAAAACAAAAAATTAATGCTGTCCATGAATGCTCTTTGTTCGGTAAACATTTTGACATATTGGACACAACACTATGTACACACTTTTCTAATTTATCACTCATGCACTTCTGATACTTGTTGATGACACAACAAAATGGCACTGTGTCAAATCTCGCCATCTGTTATCTGAAATCAGCATTTCATACTTGTACACGTGGTATTATATATGCATGTATTTTGATATTATAATGTGTTTAATCTTGTAGTTTTATTTGAACAGACCTTGGAATGGTGTCTTGATTTGGGTATTACCGAAGTGACAATTTACACATTCAGCATTGAAAATTTTAAACGACCAAAAGAAGAAGTGAATTGTCTGATGAATTTAGCTAGAGATAAGTTCCGAGAACTATTGCAAGAAAAGTATGTGTTAAATTTTTACAGTTACTTTATTGTGAATTAAAAATTATGTAGGATGTAAAACATTTATTCATGCTATAAAATAGCCTTATTTTGGATATTAGATTAAAATATAGGGTACTATTCGGTTTTGAGGGCCATAAAAAATCGCCAAACTATTGTTGATGCCAGTGCTGTAAAAAATAATTGCAGCAACTCTAACGCAAGAAAGGAAGTATAATAATAAATAACTATCTTAGGTTAATGTTTTAATTTACATGAAAGGTTAATTTCATGTACTACTTTTTTATCATTATAATTTATATAAAAAAGGTTAAACGTGACTCGGTAACGTCCAGAATTGCCCTCTTATTTGTGTGCCGCTTTTTACAAGGGTAAAAACAATTGGATTTTTGTCCATTTTCTTTTACTTTTTAAGTGAAAATAGGTCAATGTGTACATAGATAAAGAGTGTGCGCAGTGCCATTTTTGTGCAATTCTGGGATTCTTTTTTTAAGTGAATATAGGTCAACGTGTACATGGATACCCAGTGTGTGTAATTCTTAAAAACACTTCAAGCAGTGGGTGATTCTGTACTTTACTTAAAATTCTATTGCAGACTTTTCGTCATGGGCAATTCCCAAATTGTTAAATCCATAAGATATCAAAAAAGGATTTAAAAATTAAACTAATGTTTCAATGACGTCTTAAGAAATACATAACTATATAAACTTACGCCATCTGAAGTCAGTGTGTACGCTAGATTTGGTGCTTTTGCGCATACATTTCCGCTGCAATTTTTTTTATGGTCCTCAAAACGGAATAGTACCCAATATAGTATACCTGTAAAAGCAGCAGCTAAATTTTTTAAAGAATAAAAATAAACTATATTACAAATATTTCCATTCTGTTTGACCTTTTTACATTGTTAGAATTTTTCATTAGGTTATACATTTAAATGTGTTAAGATACTTCTACAAATTCTATTTGTGATGCATATTGAGGATTCTTCCCATGTAGTATTATTTTACTGGGATGTTACTGTAGTTTTAATTTTTACAAATGTTAATTGGAAAAAAAGTATTATGTTCTTTTCTGATAATTCCACCATACAATTTTGTACCTGTAGAAAAGAAAGTATTACCATAGAACATAATTTAACTTTTTCATTTACATTTTTATTTTCACTAATATATATCAACATTTATATCAAATATCAGTATTAATAGCTTTCAAATATAACCTATAAATTTTACTTTTTAAAGCAATTAAAAAAGTAGTATGTGTAAAAGAACTTTATGAGCTATATTTTACAGCAATGATCTAATGTTTTAGAAATAAAACTGAGTTTGTTGATGATGACTTTGGAAGCCGTTATTGCATCATTTGTTAATTTAACAGTAATATTTCTATGCCACATTCCTTTCTTTGCAGAATTATTGCAGCAAAAATTTTATTGATGGCCAAATTTGAAATTTCACTACTTTAAAAAAAAAATCGGGTATTTTGGTGAAGTTAACAGAAACATATAAAAAATTGCAAGTTGAACTCTAGTACTTGAGTTGCTAGTCATAGTATCAGTGATGAAATCATATACTTATGGCATAGGATAAAAATCTAGATTTTTTAAAATCTCTCTTAAATATAAAAAGGAATTTATAATGTAAACTGTAAGAAGATGTAACTTATCATTATTTATATGTTTATATGCAAATTCTTAGAACATAACACTAAAAATTATTTAAAAATATCCAAATAGAAAAAGTATTTATTTATCAAGCAGCATTTGTCTTTTATTTCTGAAGAAAATTATGTTTAAATGTTACTATAAATCATTCTACTTGAGGTATGCTAATGTATAAAATGTATTCTTTTGGTACTTTTCCGTATTGCCGGCATCAAACGATAAAGTCGCCAATAATGGTACAACTGATGCCAAACGGAATATCTTCACTGGTAACCTTTTACGCTTCATTTTCAAAACAAGTCGCAGCCATTTCTTATCAGATTAATTGTTTCTTTCAATACTGGCATACAATTACATAGAATTTTTACAAGATAGTTAAATTTCATGCTCTAAGACAATTCGCGGTAATTAAGTCAATTAGAATGCAATCACACCGCTCACCCGAAGGCGAAAATATAGAAAAGGCAAAATCAAGTGTTCAACTTCATCAGTTCTAATGAGAATGCAGTAGCATTTGGTAAAGTAAAGCATCATGGTTTTAATTTCTGGGTAAGCTATTTATACGAATTGTATTTAAACTATAAATAATTCTTGTATTTAAACTAGTGTTCCAAATTAAGATTTAACTTTAAATTAATGTAGATAATTACCAAGAGAATTAGACTTTTGTAGTGTAGTGTACGTGAGATGAGACCGCTTGGGGTCACACGTGATACTAACCGGCGAATCAGGATGTTGAACCATTAAAGCATAGTAAATTCTTAAATTGACGTCTTTTTACAAATTTATTGGCTTTTTACAAAATTTTAAACCATATTAAAATGTTTATGCCTTCAAAAATAAAAAATTCTTAGCATTAACATTTGTTAACATTTTTTATGTGTATACTGTATGTTTTCGCCAACAAAGTCTGCTCTGCGAGATTTGCGCCGGTGAAATGGAAAAGTGCCACTCTTTTTAAGGCCAAATCCAATAACCAAAAATTTTAATAGAGGAATCTGATTTTGTTTGATCTGAGCATCATATACATAAATTTTCTCTTGTTAACAACTTGACATGAAATTTCTCTTGTTTCCATAATTTTAGAAGCAATTAATTTTGACAAAATAGTTAAATAATTTTTTAAAAAATTATCATTTGTCTAAAAATATTTAAAATTTTTGCTAAAGGGACTTTCTTTTTAAATTTCTGTATTCAAGTAAAAAAAAAAAAAAAAAAAAAAAAAAGTTTAATTTTTGTAACTGACAAGTACATTTTGGTATTCTCCCAATAGGGGATCTACCTTACTTAACTGTGTAGTTACTTTACAGATTGATAGGTGGCACCACTACTAAAATTGTTGTTTTTACTTTCAAATTTGCATGATCAGGTTTATTATTATTTAATATTAAATTTTTTTTGTTTCACAAAATATTTTTCTTTTGCTGCGTTTTATGGTATGTATAAGGAAACTTTCAATGTGTGAATAAGAGGGTGAGTTTTTTTTTTTTTTTTTTTTTTTTTTATTTATTTATTTTTTTTTTTATTTTATTAAAGTAGCTGGTTTAAGTATTTCAATCAATTAACTCACTGTTAACTGGATTTTATAGATACAGATTGTTAATGTAACTAGAAACTGTTATATTAACAATCTGTATCCATAATATTAATATAACTGGATTTTATGGATACAGTGACTCTCTAAATTTTATGGATACAGATTATATCAAGAATTTCACACATATACTGAATGAAACAGATAAGATGTAAGCAGAGCCTGACTAAGGGGCATACGGGGCAGTTGTCCTGAGCCCCCACATTAGAGGGGGCCCCAAATCGAATAGAAAGTTTATTTTACATTTCCTTCTTTAATGAACTTTTTTAAAACAGAATATCACTACAATGTAAAATCCATCAGTTTTATGTTAGCTTCTTCATTAATCTATCGTATGAGCAAAAAAAATCCATATGTTGTAAATCCAAGGCTTTCTAGGGCAGAATTTAGCTAAATTTTCACAATTACGATAGACAGATTTAGCCAATCAAAAGCCTGTATTTTAACATATCGCAAAATGCGATAATGTTTACAAAAATACAGGCTTCTGGTCGGCTTATTTGAGCCATCGTAATTGTGAAAATTTAGCTGAATTTCGCCCTAATGTCAGCAAGGATATGAATTTTTCGCAGCTAGATGACAAAGCTAACAATCAGAAAACTGCATTTCGGAAACTTGTTATACATCTATAATGAGGTGAATAATTTAAATACCTCCATAAAGTCCGGTTCTTCACTACTAAGCAGAGAGGGGCCTCCAAAGAAGTTTTTGTCCTGGGCCCCAATTAGGCTAAGTTGGGCCCTGGAGGTAAGACAAAATACACTCGATTTTGTACTGCTATATTTAGTTGTTTCAAAACCTATTTACAAACATCATTTGCTTCTTATTTCAAATCTTTGTAAATGTAAATAGAAAATTTATTTGAGAGTAAATTGATAACAAAGATTCGAAGATAGCGTTTTAAGAACTCTTCACAAATTCAACAGAAAAATTAAATGTGAAAGAAACGGTAAGCAAATAAGTCAATACAAACAGTAGTCTGCAAAAGAGGAGGCACCATCTAGAATAAAACTGATTAACTAATTAAGACACAATAGCATGCCGAATAAATACTAATTCAGAAGTCAAGCAACAAAAATCAGCGTAATATTTTCAAAATTTTTACAGGACTAGTTGCGGTTTTGCAGCTGAGGATGGTGGTTCGGTAAAACCATCGAAACTAGTCCTGTAAAAATTTGAAAATATTACGCTGATTTTTGTTGTTTGACTTCTGAACTGATTAACTAACTAATGAAATTCGGTAGATCGCCAGTTGGGACAACACCTCATTTCCTTAAAAAAGGAGAAGCAGCATTATAAATTAGTTGCTGTCTTCTCTTTTATTGATAATATCTCTGTTCATCTGTAATATATTGTCTTGTGTTATGCATATGTGTATTTTCTATCATCTTTTTAGAGACAAATTGGACAAATATGGAGTGTGTATCAGAATATTTGGTGATATTACACTTCTACCAGTAGACTTACAGATGCTTGTTGCTGAAGCAGTTTTATATACATATAACAACACTGAGTATGTAGCTTTTCTTCTGAAATATTTATTAAATATCAAACATGTTTCATTTGGTAATACTGAAATTTCTAATTATAATTTCATTTTATTTATTTCATTTTTGCTTTCATCTTTCATGTATTTATTTCATTTCAGCATTTGGGCTTAGATTTATGTGATTTAAAATATGTGAAATGGCTATTATTCACTAATTTTATATAAAGAAATAATAAGATTACAGGTTTTACCAGACTACACAAATACTTTTTACTGTAAATTTTTACTGAAAATAATAAGAAATTGGATAAACAGGTTCTTTTTTCTTTTTCTTTTTTTGCTGTTCAGTTTCTTATATTAGGTACATACTTAGTTAGATTGAAAATTTCACTTATTTTGTGTGTCATCTGAGAAATTCTCTCTAAATCCAACAAATCTAAATGTCTGATGTATGACATAAGAATACAATACATAACAGTCACTTTAAATTCACAAATGTAAGAAAATCATGCTAACTCAGGCAATATTCAATCACATATTGGATTCAGTTTTAAATAAAAGCTGTGGATATTTTCAGAGAATTTTATGGGTTGTTCATTGGGAAAGAAAAGATTAACATAATGACTATTTATCAAGTAGAATAATTGTGCTGTTTCAGAGACCTGTGTTAGGTTTTTAAATAATCCAAAGTACCGTTTTTCATAAAACTTACCCAACTATAATTCTTGGATTTATTTTTTATGTTGTACATTTATTTTTCTTTTGCTCTGATTTTTGTTTTTAGTTAAATGTATATGTTAAGAACAACTTGTATCTTTAGAAGAAATAAGCACAAAATATCTTGTGAGAATAAGTAACTAGAAATCTTTATGGATGATCTCAGAATGAGTAATGTGCTCTGTAAGATCATTCAACTAGTCACTGCCACTCATGTAGATTAAATCGCTCTTTCCATTGAAGGAGGCAGCAGTGGGTTAATTCTAATTCAAAATTCATTTCAGGCCTATCCAAAAACATGCATATGCAGATGGTATTTACACAATTTTAGAATGATTTTGACAAAGAATTTTTAAAAAGAAAGTGTTTTGGAATGAAAATTTTTGACATTTTTGGCAACAGCTTATTATTTGAAATGAGATTTAAATT